CCATTAAAAAATTATTTTACAAGTTTATTATTATCTCCAACATTAATTGAATCAACATCATCAATTGGTGATGAATGGTTTCGTTCAATTGTATTAAATGATTTAACATATCAATATGATCTTCTTCTTTATTTATGTTCATTATTATGGAATAATTCAAAATATATTGAAATAGTTGAATTATTTGATTCATTATTACCATCATTTATTGTACATTCACCTTATTTTCAAATTTTACGTGATCTTGCTTTATTAACAATAATTAAACAAGCATCTGAACCTGATCGTGCATATAATTATTTACGTAAAATTCATGATTGTCATTTATTAATACATGCAACACTAACATATTTACCACGTTTTGATGGTCCAACATGTTTAAAATTACTTCAATTATGTTTAACATCATGTAAAAAAACTCATCAAGATTATATACAATGGATACAAGAACGCTTAAATACAATGTATGTTTATAAAACATTATGTCTTGGTGCATTAGCACAATTTAATAAATGTATGGAAAAAATATCTAAATATGATAATCAATCTAATATATCAATTGAAGATATGGCTATAAAAAAGACAACAGCAAAATGTTTAACATGGCAACATGCACAAGAACATTCACAACGTGATCCATTAGTTGTTGTTGATATGTTTATTTATGAAAAACAATTTGATATGGGACATAAATGGTTAACATTATTAAATAATTATGTTGAAGAAAATATAATTGATCGTGTTAGATTAAAATTAATTGAAGAACATATACATTGGTTATTGAAAGAAGAAAATATTGGTAATGGAAGTAAAATTTTACAAATTATTGATACAATTAAAAATCAAAATGATAAATGGCATTTATGTACTGAATTAATTGAAGATTTATCGAAAAAACCATTAGTTATATATACAAAATCCATACCTTTTTCAAGATTATTTGTTAAATTTCGTCTTATACAATACATGTTAGGACATTTTGAAGAAAATTCAATTTTTTTTCAAGAACAATATGAACGATCAAAATTATGTATTCTAGTTACTGGTTTAGCTTTATTTTTTAATTGTATACCATTAGAACAAACAGATTCATATGTACAATTAGTTGGACAACCATTACTTATACTTGAACAATTATTAATGAATAGTTCAATTGATATAGCAAAATCAACAATTGAAACATTGAAAGTTTTAATTAAAAAATATTCTCTAGAAAATATTATTAATATTAAACAAATTGATGAACTTATTGAATTTTATACAAAAAAAAGTGTACGATTAAATGTTGTACAACAAACTGACGAAAAAACAAATAATGAGAATAAGTAAATAGAAAAAAAATGAAGACTTTATTGGAATACTAGATAGATTATTAGAGAATATTTTTAAATGTTAGGCACTATGTTTAATTAATAGAAATGACATTGATTTAGAAGTTCTTCAAGTCAAAACAGTATATGAGTAAAATTATTCATTAACCATGTGATTTTTCAAAATTAAAAGACGTAGATCTCGAAATAATGAATTTTTCGGAAGCTAATTTTTATATGTTACATAGATGCTAAACTACTCTAGTTCCTCTAAAAAATTTAGCGCTACAGCATGTCGTTCAGAGAAGTTACTCATGAAAAAAAACTAACGTTAAAAAGGATATCGATTTTCACACCATGCATTTTAGTTCCAAATTATAATAGCTTTTTGAAAACTAAATGTAGACAATTTTTGAGGCTATCAAAACCGCTATCTAAAGTTTCTTCTGAACACGACAAGGTTTTTCAAATTCAATTAAACGTATAAAAAAATTGAATATTATCAGAGGCTCAAAATCCACTAATCATAAATACCTACATAATTTTATGAATAAAAAACATTTCATTGGTATTATTTTCAAATTTAACGAGTTATATCGTCACATTTACTTAAAAAATATATTTGTAATCAAATATTTATCAGATAATAAAAAAAAGTTTCTTATTTAAATAATCTTTAGGTCTGTTCTTCCAATGTCATCTGGTTCACCAGGCGAAAGTCGTCGTTCATCATTAGGTCCATCTTCTAATGCAACTCACAATAAAAGTTCTCAAGAAATATCACCATTAGGTCATCGAAATTATAGTTCTGGTGCAAATACTTTGCTTGGTAGTTTACGTCAACGTATGTCATCTAAATCTTCGACATTATCTCAAATGGTAACAGATTCTGATCAAAATTTATCAGCATCATCGTCGACTACTAATAGTCCACCATTAACAAGGTCAATACCAATAAAATCTTCACAACAAACAACAACATCATCATCAATTTTTGATTATTTATCAGCATCACTTTCAAATCGACCTAATCCTAATGAACAACCTCAACAAACAACAAAAACAACAACATCAACACAACCAACTGATTTTCTTGTTCCTGCAGCTATACCATCAAGACAATTATGGATATCAGATACGGAAGTATCTATTTGTATGTGTTGTAATGAAGCACAATTTTCAATGTTTAATCGTCGTCATCATTGTCGTCGTTGTGGTCGTGTTGTATGTAAAGCATGTTCACAACAAATGACAATAATTAAAAATCGTCTTGAACGTACATGTAAAGATTGCTATCAATATATGCAAAATAATCCAACACCAACAATAAATACTCGTCAAGAAACAAATACTTCAACAAGAAAAATTGACAATTTTCGACCGTAAATTTTGATTTTATAATTTACTTTCATTTTTGATCCTTGAGTAGAATTAAGAAATATGTATTGTGTTAGAGATCATTTTTCGTTTATATATGATGTTATTAATGCGTACAAAATCATCTAGAGAGAACAATGTAGCAGTTTGTATCAAAGATCTGTAATCCACAAAATAACCAATCTACGAACAATAGATAATCTTTTCGAGACCATCAGCTAAAGGGAACGACTGTAGGCTTGAAAATTATAGAATCGATAGTCTTGTTCTTGTTTGTTAATTCCAACATTCTTTGAAATTTTCCACTGTCTGTGTTAAGCGTCGATTGCTTTGGTCTCAATACAAAAAAGATGAAAATATTATAGTCTAACGATTAATATAAGTATATCGATTCGTCATAACTTTATGACTCCTTATTTAACGAACAAGAGCTTAGAACAAAACTGAGATTTCTTTTTCTTGGCATTTCATTGAAAACTATAATAGTCAATAATTAAATATTGAAAAAGACTCATGAGTTTTAGATTCAGTTTTGCTTGAATATAATTTGTAAAAAATCAGTTTCATTGAGTTTTGAAAATAAATAGACACTAATCTGTATGTTTCTTAATAGTTGATGAATATGACTACTTTATATTTTTTTTTGTAATTCTAGCCTTTCAAGATCAATCAGTTCATTTAAAAGACAATCAATAAGTCAAGTTTATTTAAGTAAAAATCGACAATCTGACACAACATCAAATAACCTTCTATTAGGTACATCACTTGTTAGTGAAACTTCAAGTGTCGAAGAAGAAGAACCTTTTCTATTAAGTTCAAGTTTTTCGACAGTAAATCCATTATTGAAAACTCATAAATTAAATCGTCGATCATCAATTGATTCAACTCAAAAACAAGATACTGATGATATTCCAGCATTGCCTCTTATTAGTGATCAAGTTCATTATCAATTAACAGGAACATCAAGTGATGAATTTATACGTAATGATTTTCATTATGATCAATCACCAAGTATATCATTATGTTTATCATTAATTGAATTACATTCCGATCAATATCAATGTGGTAAATTAGTAATAAAATTATGTGAATATTTATCTGAACAATTATCAACAAAACAACGTAATAGTGAAATCGATTATGGTTTAGTATTAAATATAATAAAAAATCTTTTATTTACTGCTAAAATGAAATTAATGACAAGTACTATAAATGATGAACAATTAGGTGAACAGCAAAAATTAATAACTTCATGTGATATATATAATAATCTTGTTGATATATTAAATCGTTTAAACATGGCTAATTGTTCATTACCAGTATTAAATGATCTTTTACAACAAGATACATTAAGAAAAATTCGAAATAAATTATTAGATGATGAAAGATATCAATTGGCAATGGATATTTCAACAAGATGTAATCTAGATACGCAAACAATTTGGTTTCAATGGGGAATGGGTAATTATAATATTTTACATTAAACATAACTATGTATTGATCTAATTCATTGTTTAGTTAGTCTATTGAATAAAAATAAACGACTTGGTCATTATTATATTTCGATAACAGAAAATATTGCAATGAATTAGAATCCTCATTGATTCATTGTATACTAAAAAACTAGAGATGTTCATTTCTCTTGCAGTATCTAACGAGACTAAATAATAGGTGGATCTGAAGTCTTAGAAAAGCATTTGGAGTTTCCTTTCTTTGATACATCAGAACAAACCACAAATTTTCGATAGAAATCAAGCTAAATTTAGAAGTTCAATCATAAAGAAATTAAAAATCGAAAAGTGATGTTTTTTCTATAAATGTTCTAAGAAATACAAAACATTTTTGTCGTTCTTGCTTTATTGAGATACTTAAACAAATTATTTCGAAACTACAGCTATTCTTATCTAAAATTTGTTTTTCTTTTATGTATTATATTTCTAAAAGCTAGAGAGCATCTTGTACTAATTATTTAGCGATAAATACTGACGTACCGAATAGATACCAGGTGTATCAAATTTTTTTTTCTGTCTTATTGGAAAAGCGATCTACCAACTCCTATTCAGTTAGTTAACATGAAACTAACATGTTTTTTATTACTTTAAATATTGTTTCCAGTTTTCATATTTATCCTTGTCTAAAAAAACAAAATCACTTCGATGTTCGTTATCTACAAAAATACATTGAGAGCTTCGAACTATGATTGCCACATTTTTCATACCTTTAATTCTAACGTGCTTATTTTAAATAGCTTATCTTCACATTGGTCAGTATGTTGAAGCTCGTGATAAATTTGACAAATGTTTACAAAAACATATGGATACAACTGATTCATTATCAAAACAACAACAACGTAGTACTTTAAGTCAAGAAAAAATTTTAAATGATATTATATCATATCTTGAATCATCTCTTCCATTAAAATATTCTATAAAATGTCAATATATAGCTGCACAACAAATTCGACAAGCAGGACAAACGCGTACTAGTTTAAAATATCTTAATAGTCTTTCAGTAATGCCACGTTTATCTGATCAACCAAATAAAGGTTATTATTTTTTTTGCTTCGAAATTCTCGAGATCTAATAAAATAACTTGTTTTTTTTTTAATAGTAATTCACGATGAAATTTTATTTTATTTATTAACTTATAGCGACGATGCACATCTGTTAGATTATTATATTCGTCATGAATTGTATACTCAAGCTTTTGAAAATAAATGTTCATTAACAGTATTTCGTGATCATATATATATGCCATTATTAAAACGTAATCATATCAAACATCTATTTAGTTATATATTATCACATAACAATCTTAATTCATTTACACATCATTTAAAATTTATTTGTACATATTTAAATGAACAAGAAATGTATCATTCCTTACAACAATTACAATTATTTATGAATGATTTTATAAATGCAGCAATTACATCAGTTAAATTATTTACTTTAAATCGAACAACATATATAGATTTATTTGAAAAACGTTTAAATTATTTACAAAATGCTTTAGAATGTTTTCAACAAGGAAAAGTTGATACAGAACAATCGATGATAAAAATTCAAAGGTATAGAAATTTTGTTGTTCTTGGATTAGAAAATCTATTACGATAAAAATTATAGTAAAAAAAAAAATTAAGACACACCCATACTGTTCTCGATCGATACGATTAATACTTCGCATTTCTTCAACAAGAAATAGAACATATTTACTTTTGTATAATCAAATTATTTCGAAGTATGCTGTATACTTCATAGCTATCGCGTACTCCCAATAGAATGCTTTTCATATTTATGTTTACATGTAAAGAAGGTAAAGTCACGCAAAACATTTTGAAAATAAAACAGATTCAGAACTCAACAAGGTTTGTCCTGCAGGACTCTATAAGCAAATACTAACGATTGTCTAAAATTAGAAAATTTTGATGTTCGGTTTTTCTCTCTTTCATTCCGATTTGATATTTCAAATAGCAAAACTTTAATTAGTCTTACACAATTCAGTTGTATTTCTTGTTGTGTCGATGATGGTTTTTGATTAGGTTTTTTTTCTTTTCATTTTTTATTTCTCTTCATTTTTGAATTGATAACATGTCTATTAAATTTGTCTTTAATTAAATCTGGAAGTATACTGGCTTAGTGGAGAACATATTAAGCAGTTAAAAAAAAGCTCACATTGAAACAGTTTTCTTACTCTAAAAAATTTCATATTAAATATAAATTTGGAGAATAATATCTTTTCCGTTAATTTTAGTACTACAAATAAAATTGATCTTCAATTAGAAATTACTCGTTATATTTACACCCAATTAAAACGACTTAATACGAATGGTTCAAATATATTAATTAATTGTCCAACAGTATTTGATGGAAAAGAATCCATATTTAAACTTATCTCAGGTTTAATAACAATATCTGATACAATAACAAATGCATTTAATTTAATTAATAAAATAACCAAGGTAGAATTTACTTGTTTTTGTTTTCGATTTAAATTTCTGTTGTTTCTTTTTAGGAAATGAATTTTTCACCAACGGAAGTATTTGTTCCATGTGCTGAACAGATTGGTAAACGTCGTGATTATCGTTCTCTTCAACAATTACTTCAATTAGTACGTGAAAATGGTTATACAGATAATAAATTATATGATGATATTATTGAAAGTTGTGTACGACACTCGGGTTCTGATGTTGAACAAGTAAAGTCAACGAATACAATTCTTTTAATTTTCATATTTTATGTTTATTTGTTTTCTAGAGTCGAGAACAAGATACATTAATTCAAATGATTAAGAATGATGATACTCGTATAAATGTTTATATTGCTGTTGGTAAATTACGTGCTGCTTATTTAATAGCTATTCGTCTTGGAAAAGAAGATAAAGTTCGTTTGATTCGGGATGATGCACAAAAAAGTGGTCAAACAGCTGTTTATGATATATGTAAAAAATGGTTAGAAAATCGAGCAACTGAACAGTGAAATTAATCTAGTCTTTCGCGTAATAAACTGCACCAATATTTATTTTATTTTCTCTTGTGATTATAATATTTCTTTAGGTGATTTTTTTTCTTTATAGTGTTAACATCTTTCTTTTTTGAAGAAATAAAAAAAAACAAATATGATTTTTTTTTAAAATTCTTGTAATTCATTTAGATTGTGAATTTTTTGTTTTTTCAGATGTTGGCAGATTTTCTAGAAAAAAATGATATTAAATCATTCAATCGTAAGTTTTATTTAAATCAATTAAATGTTGTTGAAATGTACTTAACGACGAACACATAGTTGAAAAATTAGGATTGTCAAAAAAGAAAATCATTTCTCATATTTTTATAATCTTGTCATGTATAAAGTGTCTGTCTAAAGCTTTTCGAGATGTTAATAATATCGTTTGTCTACATAGGGAATTGATATGTAGAGCTTTAGCTTTGGAATATTGAATAAATACTTCATGGTATGAATTGAATTTCTGTCAATTGTGAAAAACTAATTAAAAGTTATGTATTATGTTAAACCAGCTGGCGAGTACTGAACATCTTTTGAGTCTCGCTGATAAGGGTCATTTGTATTTGTTCATTCTTAACTTACTTAATGAATTGGAATGATTTCGCTATTGATAAGTAGTCTTGTGAAGAAAATTGCACAGGCGACAGAGATTACATAAGAGAATATTTTAACTTTTGCTATCTTCGATGATAGAAATAAGATTGTGATACTTTGACAAGTATTGATCATCGTTCGGTATTAAACATATTGAGGGTTGAATCAATTTTTTCTGTAGAAATTCTCGAATAAAAAATCTAACATAACATTTACATTGTTAAGCACATTAATATTATTAAGTTGCTTATTTTAATTATCAATAAAAGAAAATTTCTGAGAATAGATTTATCACTAAACAAAGAACTTTTCATTGCATCAAGATAATTTTACATTGGAAGGATAATTTTAAATATTCTTTCATCTAAGACTATTCCTGTCTCATCTCAGTCTGCTTGTACTGATTAATTAATTTAAGAGAAATTATTTAGAATCCATCAGTTCTGATCATATTGATTTGTTAAAAGACAAAGTAAAACAAGAAATTGATGATAATAAAAATCAAATTCATCAATTATACTTAACCAAAACTCAAGATATAAATAAAATTAATACTCAAACTTCAAAACTTGTTGAACAATGTGAACAATTAGAAATTAAACGAGAAGATCTAATTAAACAAATTGAAGATTATTCAAAATTAGAAAATCATGCACGTCATGTTAATTCTAATTATCATCAAGTTCATCGTTTAAATCAATTTATTAATGGTATTAAACAATTAATTCAGTTACACAATCATATTCATGGTAAACAAGAAAGAAAAAAAACATATTTCAAAACTTTTCCTGTTTCACTTGTTATTATGGTTTTTGTTTTAGAATGTCGACAATTATGTAAAAAAGGTGCTTTAAATGAAGCAAAAAATTTATACGAAACTATAGAAAATCTAATTAATAATGAATATTTATTTCCACATAGTAATGATAAATTTTATCAACAACATTATCCACTATATGAAACATTTCAAAAATATGTTAGACAACTACGTACAGATATTTGTCAAACACATCATACTTTATGGAATGATGGTGTTGATCGAACCACTAAAAATCAATTGAAATTAAATTTAAATTATCTTGATCAACTTTTTCAATGTATATTTCATGAAGAAAAAGGAGAAAGATTATTAATGGAAAAAAATATTCAAACATTTGCATCGTATTGTTTTCAAGGATTTATTCATATATTAATTGAGAAAAAAATGAAATTAGTTATTGATGTTGAAACAACTATGGTTTTAATACGGATGGAAAACAATGAAGAAATAGAAAGAAATGATATCGAAGAATTCGATGAAACATTAAATTATTTAAAGAAATTTTTCGATGTATTGAATATACATTTGTTATCAAGAGTGATGAAAATTCAAACATCGAAAGAAAAGTAATGAATCTTGAATGATTTGTTTTTGTTTACATAATTTCTATTTTAAAGTTTAGTATAGTTGAAAGAAAGATATTCATAATATATGTGATCAATATTTCAGTCATAAATTCGCAAATACATGTCGATGTCAGAGATATCTATAAAATCGACGTACAATCATGGACACCGATGGTTCCCTTGATTTTCATTGACAAAGATTATGACAGTTACCTTGATAATTATTTGTAAAGTATTTTGTATAATTATAAATCAAGAGAATCATGAGTGTCCTCTATAGGAAACACCTACTTTTCGTCATAAGTCAATGCTCGTCATAGCTCTAAAAAGATATACAGTATTGCTCAGAAGTAATAGAATTTTAGAACATGATAATAAATTTGTCATTTCTGATTACTTTTTTTTTAAATCAGTATTTTTATGAATATTAAATATTCATTTTTTTTGTTATTTGTTCTATAAAAAAGTTTTGAAATATTTATTCTCTAAGTTAATCACAATACCATTGCATATTGAAGAGATGCCTGTAAATTAGAAGATTCAATCTTTGTAAGTTTCGATAGAAATAAGAAATAGACATACGCTTTTCACCATTGGAACTGTACAGCAGGTGGCAGTAATTTGAGTACACAGTAACGAATGAATAGGCATTGAGAGAGTTTCTAAAAGTTAGCTTGTCAAAATGTGAAAACTTCTGAATGTGTAATCTCTGATTTAGGTAACCATAATATACTATCACACAAATCTGATATAAGAATACATGATCTTTTAGGTTTTATTTTGTATCTACGCATATTAGCCGATGACATCGCTGTTATCATGTTTTCTTTATCAAACTTTCCACATCCTAGATATCGATTTTGTTTGTTTTAGAATTTATCATTAATAGGTTCAGAGTTCTAATTTCCAATGGACATAAGTTCATAATACAACTGCAGAAAGTTTAGAGTTGACTTGAATATAAAACACTAATTAATTAAAATTATATTTATTTTAGTTTATCACATTATACTCAATGGATAATATTATAGTCCTACTAAATGAACGATAACTTAGTGAAATTGATTGATGTTATTAGCATAGCATTAACTTCAATTCGAAATGATCCCAGATAATCATGCTATCTTTAATAAATAAACAATAATGAAAAAATTTTCCTGAAAATGAACATAAGATTATTGAAAAATCCTAAATTTATATTTCAGAAAACTAAAAGAAAACAGAACAGCATAAAGCTTCTGACTTCTAAAAAAAAAAAAATATTTTCAATATTTTTAAATATTCTTCTCTTATTCTATAGATCGGTTGAATCAGTTTCAATCATGAACATTTACTCTTCAACTATCGCCAATGATTTTATTGAGCTTATTCGTGAACGTCTATTAAATATTATTCCAAATGATTTTCAATACATCGAAATATTTCGTTCATTATTACAAACTGTCACGGATTTCGAAAAATATTTAATCGAAATAAAGTTTTTTTCTGCTAATAAAATCTCAAGTGTCATTTCTTCTGTTGTTGGAAACATCGATGAATCAATAATAAAAAGTCGTTGTCGTACATATTTATTTCAAAGTCGACAATTACTTCAATCAAATGCAATTATTACAACTTCATTGAAAACAATTGAAATTGGTGATGATGAACAATTATTTAAACAAAATGAACAAGATAAAGAAAAATATAAAAATGAAACTTCATCAAATATTTTATCATCAACTATTAGTTTAGATGAATTAGATGCTAATATGTTTCGATTTCCACGTACAACTATTGTGTAAGAACAGGAGCTTTCATTTCTTGTTTGAAAAATGAAATTTTTTTTTTTGTTGTTTTTTTTCAAGGGAACATGTTTATGAATATATGGAATTTATTCGAACTGTTTTACAAGAAGCCGATCAATTAGAAAATTATGGTGCACATCTTTGTGCAACAGCAAGAAATATGATGGAATTGTTTCATGTAATATACGCAAATTTACATGAAAGAAAAGCACAAGAATTTCCTTATTTGACCGGTAAAGATTAATCCAATGAATTTGATTTTCTATTTATTATAATGGATAAAATGATTACTTTTATGACAATCAAAATTGATTCAATACTGAGTTTTTTCTAGAAAATATGATGATATCATCGTCTTTTATTTAGAGTTCTGTCGAACAGTCCTCAGAGTTTTTCAGGACGGGATAAATGAGATTCGAAAGAATATAGAAAAAAATCAATGTTACAAATTCCTTTAATCCTCATATGAAAATGTATTATAGACATAATTTTTTTAATTTCTCACAAATATTTTAATACTCAAATAACTAACAGAAAAAAGAACAGGTAAAGAACTAGCTAAAAGATGCCTAACTACAAAATTTCAAAAAGTATCAGAACGTGATTCTATGCAACATCTGCTATTGCTAAATATTAGAATTTCGCGGAAGAAATCATAATGAATTTCAGTGGCGTTCATTTATTTTGTCTCAGCTGGTCAGTGAAGAAATAATGAGTCTGAACTAATAATTACCTTATTAAAAAAACTTTCAGTTGTTAATTATCATTGTCCACATTTTTATAGCCCTTCAAACAAAATCGAGTTTTTGAAAAATAGATTTCAGATGCAAAATTACCAGATTCTCACGATCATAACAAAACTTTTTCTCGTGTCAAAATAACACTTAGTAGTGAAGAATGAGTAGCTGACTTGTGTCGTAGCTAATATGTCGACACGAAGAAGAAGAACAAAAATTTGTCATGATAATTAAATGAGCGCAAACCAAGCAGTCAGTTACTGCACTTGGAACAGCCAGCCTCCTTTCAGACAATGAGACAAACGAAATTTCCGACATGAAAAAGTTTGTCTCGCAGAATTTTACTCTTATCATCTTTTCGTTAATTGTTGTTAATGACTTGAAATTCATCTAAGCAAGAAATTGTGTATCAAATCAGCTTTTAAAATTCTTTCTAATCAAAACAACAGATTTAATCAATTTTATTTTGAATTATAATCAAACTTATTTATCTTTTATTAAAAATTTAATTGAAAATAGTATCTAGTTCTATGGATGTCAATATTTATTTCAAAGTATTCGAACATTTGCACTTTTTTTTAGCTTTACATTTTAATACGTATATGTATGTTGCACATGTATGTCTTATTCTTGGTGAAGAATATTATCATTTAAAAACTAAAACAGGTGATGGTCAACCAATAACATTTGTTGATTATGTTCCTATATTTCGTAATCAAGCAGCTAATTTACTTAAATCTCAATTAGATATTCAAAGAGATATATTAACATCTTTTATTAAAGAAATCGGAGGTTTGAAATATTCATTTTGTTTCTTTTTTTCTTTTTATTCTAATTATTTCTGTATTAAATAGCATTTCATAATATTGTTGACGAAGACGACAATCAAGATATATTAAAACGAGCTATCAATCAATGCATAATGCATATGGAAAATCTTTCACATAATTGGCGTAATGTATTTTCACCTCAAGTTTATTTTAAAGTTATTGGTAAGAATAACCAAAAGAAAAACAAATCATATTTTTATTTCATTTCTTTTAAAATAAATTAGGATATCTATGTGATCATGTTAGTCATATTCTTATCAAAGAAACTTTATCACTTGAAGATATTCCTGAAAAAGAATGTCAAATAATGGTAGATGTTTTTACACAATGGTCAACATTTTTACAAAATATACTCGTTAAAGATGATCTTAGTCCTGGTTTAAATATTCTTGCTCGTTTAGCACCAAACTTAACAAGATTTAATGAATTATGTCTTGTTCTAAATAGCTCTTTACAAAATATTGTTGATCGATGGTTTAATGGACAAGGACCACTTGCTAGTCAATTTACAGCTTTAGAAATTAAACAGCTTATTCGAGCTCTTTTTCAAACATCTGAAAGACGAACGGCGGCTCTTGCTAAAATTCAATAAAATTTTTCTTTTTTGTTTGTTTTTGTTTGTCTTGGGGAAGAATGATCTTATTTCCTGTATTTTCATAGAATTTCTCTTTTTAAGATGAGATATGGGTTCTGAACAGGCTAAAACCCGAAGTAAAAAAGGTGTTATCTATTCAAAAAAAACTAATGAAATAGTTGATTGTCTCTTTTGTCGCATTGTACGAGGGGAATCACCATCAAATCCATTATGGTATCGCGATGATCAATGCGCAGTCTTTATACCTAGAGGGCCAGCTGCGCGATTACATTTATTAATAGTACCATTAAAACATATTCAAACTGTTGATACACTTACAGAAGAACATCGACCATTACTTGAACATATGAAAAAAGTTAATATAATAAGATTTTTCTAAAAATCTTCAAAAGAAATCTTTTCTTTTAGGTAGCAAAAGAACAACTTTGTGTACATGCTCAATATATTGGATCTGTTGAATCTCCACTATTACCTCTTGCACCACCGCCATCTCATTATGCATTTAATCGGGGACATTTACCAATATTGTTGCCGTCATCGGAGATTGTCAAAGATGAGATAACATCGGTGGATCCTTCATTTATTTTTTGTTTTCATCGTCCACCTTATAATTCAATCGATCATCTTCATTTACATGCAATTCAAAAACCTTATCGAACTTGGTGGAGTCGATTCATGTTTGCAGAAAATTTCCCTTGGCATGAATCATTGAACAATGTTCTTCGTAATTTACCTTCAGCCAATTCTAACTTGTGATTTTGATAATTATTAGTTTTTCATGCTTTTTTCAAACAAATACAAATATATTTATTTATATCAAGAAGTTTATCTATGCAGTTAAATAATCTGCAAATATTTCAACTTGGCGCAATGATATTTCGAATATTTATGCAAAAACTGATTTAAAACTCTTGGAACTATTAATGATCATAATCGTAGTTGAATGAATTAAAATGACAGTTTTAGATTTATTGTTCATTATAAATCATGACTTTTTTTGTGACATGTCTCAAAATGATGTAATAATAAAGAGAATGTATGAATTTCAACAATCATTTTTTTTTTCAGAATACAATAAATTCGATTAATAGTGTTTAATAATCGATGTATAATTTTGACAAAGATGCTAGTGTTCTTTGTTCTAAAGTATTATGAAGAAATTATCTGATATTTAATTGAGTTTTGTTTGAGGCTTAAAATCACTTCCAACTGTTGATAGCAGAAGCATACCTAACCAAAATACTCTTCAAGAATACACATAGAGATAGTTTTTTAAAATGTTTCCAATATATGAAACAGCTTTAGAGGGTTAAATTTGATCAGATTTTATCAATAAAATTATCGTATTTCTCTTATTGTAATGAATTATCAGAAATGAAACCTATCAAAAAACATTTATAGACCTTTTATGAATAAATAACAATCTTCGTATCTCTATTTGCATACATTGCTTCATTCAGTTAAAACTGTAATAAGCTACTATGGAATACACATGTGTTATTTTACATTTTACCGTCTGTTTATTGCCAGTACGTTTTTTATCTCAATTTAGCTGTTTATGAGCTTTCAGAAAAGACTGGAGAATACCTATGAAAGTAGAAATTCAATGCTTTCAAGAAAAAACCTATGCAATATTTATCTAGTTGTTGCGAGAAATTTCATGATCAGGTCTTCAGTTTATCATGAGGTGTTGATTGTCAAAAATCACATTTGAAATCTTAATACCACTGGTCTTGTCCAAAATGTTTGATACGATCTTGACAATAAAATCGTTGGCACCCTTTGTATTGATAAAATCTTCACTTGAATTGAGAGACATTTTTGTTATGTAGCTATTCTATGCATTTCTTCATTTTATTTTGCCACTTTCACTCTGTAAATTACTGCGTCGTTATCTTGACATTAGACGACATGAGACACTTGTGTAGATACAATGTAATAACTGTTTCTTGATAGCTAGCTGATATATTTAGAGTATGACTTTGTAACTCGATCATTCGAAGTTATTTTATATGCATTATTTTGCCCCCACCAGACATACACACTATCATGGTAAGAACCTTCAATCGACTTGAGTTCCGCATGTAATTGTCAGCAGCCAGATAACTCATTCGTCTAACATTCAGTAAATATTGTGAGAGGAAGATCTCCAAATAAACTACCTGATTTTTTCCCGTTTGCATACCTGATCAAAGGAAAAGGTGTAGACACACATTTTCAATTCAATTTCTTGTGCTGAAGGTACTCAGGCAAACAAGCAAATGAAAAGAAGTGTTGACACGAGGAACCTGCATTATCCGTTTTTTTGTCACATTCACTTATAAAGAAAAGAACGCAGTTATGATCACAATCAAATATTGTAAGAGATGCACTGTACTTATTTTTAGAGGCATACCATGTCGATTTTTGTAGGCTGTATTTCACATCGATGTCTTGATTTTGTGATCGGATCATAGATAAAACGAGAGAAAGATGAAACCAGCATGAATTTTTGACGGCCGGTACTGTTGACAATAGGTCAGACCAGATCGGACCGACCGATGTGCCAATTTCATCTTCTAAAGAGTAAAAGTGTACTATTGTACTTCTTCGTTGTTCTATACCTCCGAAGTACAGAATTACTCTTTTCTCTCCTTAAGTGACATGTCATGATAACAGAGAACGAATAAGAAATAACATGGCTAACACAAGAAGTTGCTTCTATTAGACCAAGGAAGAATAATATGACGCTTAGTCATGATAATAATCCCAAAGACCAACGATTATATGGGTGTACATGGATGAGGGTGAAAGTTTCCAGTCATGAACCTTGACAGAAACGATCGATTTCCTTATCTTAACCTTTCGACAACCTTTGTGTTCTTTTATCGTATCTTTTGAAAAAAAAAGTAAATATCGAATGATGATTAGAAAAAGATATGCCATGTTGGACAGCTTTGCATCAGTAAGAGGTAGGTCTCTCTTGGACAATACTTTCGACTCTCCATTCTCGGAAGTTGAAATACGAACTATTGCGATTATGAAAGAAAGCTAGGAAGTGCAAGATTGTAAAAGTATATAAAACTCAGATTTTGCCATCAGAATAATATTCATTTGTGTATACTGACTATTCAACTAAACTTATCAATACATAAACATATACAATAAAGATAACAGCATTGAATATTGATTATTAAGTTATTATACTGACAGTAACATTTGAAATTACAATAGCGAGTCAAAAATATTTTATCACAAAACTGATTCCAATGAAATGGCATACTTTCAAGGACAGAAAATTCACATTCGTAACACTACAGTATTCGCTAATATACCAGACAATGACATCGCAAGGATGATGTACTATCTAAATTGTGTCTGTTACTGCATCGACTATAATGAAAACCACATTCGTCGTTATACAAACTATGCAAACTGGGCATCATTATCTGATGAAGAAGATCGCCTTGTCTTTCTTCTTGCTCTGACTCTCAGTCCAGATTTATTCATCGGTAAAGTATTTTTTCCAAGGGACGCTTTCAGCCGTGACATGAAAGGTCGGTTTTATGAAATTAATCAAGTGAATCACCAACTGGTAGTAGTTTCATCACTAATCATTGCAGGACGCACTCATCGAGTCAACAGAATTCTTGCTTGCAAACAAGTGTGGCTACAAAAGTACTACGTCAATCCAATGAATCGATTAACTCAAAGATTTCGTCCACAACCAAGTCGAACAAGAGCTTGTGTGATTTCTTAAATATTTGTAATATGTGCGTAAATAAATCAAACAAAAAAGTATCTAACTTCTAGTGACGAAGAATCTCGTTAGTGTGGTCTCTCTCATGGGACTAACCTATGGTATTGAAGGGTATGGATGTGAGTATGGCGTATGGATGAGCGTAGTGACATTTTTCTTTCGCTGTAGTTGAGAATAGTGGTTCGGGTGTGAGCCTCAGTGATGATTTATATATGAGTGTGTAGGTGCCGATGTGAGTATGCCTATGTGTAGCTGGGGTTTGAGTATGTGTTTGGATGTCAATGTGTAAAATTTAAAGTTGATCATCAAAAATAAACGACAAAGAGCTAATACTTATCAGATTAAACTACATAGATATTATACTTATCCTCAATAGATCGTTCTATTGAACAGAAAAATTTATTATTTTATGCGTGTGTTGAATATTTTCGTCGTCTTATATCATAAAAACAGTCAGAAGAAAATTATCAAATATGTTTCATATGCAAGAAGAGATGTGATCTAATCGTTGGTGCAGGTTTTATAAAAATTATGATGTACAACGAAATATTATACTGCGAGTGATCATTTCTTTATTAATGAGAGATAATAAAACATACAGGTCCTTTGGACTCTAGTAAGATTGATGGAGCTGTTCAATGAGCTATTTTAAACGTATACCACCGTAAGAGAATTTATGGAGTGCCGGTAATATTGTATTAAGCTCATCAGGATAGCATACAATGTTCGACCTAATTGGCAATAATGATTTATACAAACTTCTGAAAACAGAAGTGAACTTTATTTAGTTGGAATAGAATTAGCAACTAATAGTTTCTCGCAAAGGATCGAGACCAATAGCAAATATTCTTCAATATTGAATAAAAAACATGAGCGCACATAGAAGGTTATTGAAAAATCGATTAGTAAAAACAAATTTTTTTATATGATTCACAAATGGTGCAGCTTAAAGTTTGATCTCTCATCTATTTTTTTTTCTAAACCATCAAAACACATATTATATTACTATCATACTATCAAAGTGAATTATGGTCAATAATATCAGCAATACATTATCATTTACTGATGATTTCCTTTTTATTTAAATAATGTATTCGAAGAACAAAAATTTAATTTGACATTGGACGATTGATTATTGTTCGAATCCAATCAATATAAGCTGCTGTTTTACTAAATACTGTTGGAAAAGCTTGTCGACCACATCCAATAGCATAACTAACTACACCGGCAGCATACCAACGACCATTTTTAAAATATAGTAAACCACCGCCACTATCACCTTGACATGATCTAAACAACAATTAATGTATGATGGTAATTGCAAAAATAACGATGGACTAACCCATGATCGTTATCAGCAGGTCTATTATGAGCGGTACAAATTTGTTTTTCAGGTTCATAGGCAAAATACATTGAACAATCCGAAATAACACGAAGTCGTGCTTGAAGAAGAACTGGACTTGAACTATCCCACACTTCATGTACAGTATTACCCCAACCAGCAACATAAACAGTTGTATCAAGTGGAGGTTCAAGCATCTACAATAAGAAAAAAAAAACATATTATTTCAAAATAAAAATGAAAAATAGTTTTTCTAACACTATCAACAAGACAAATTGGTTGAACATTTTGTGAAAATGTAATTGGTGAAGCTAATCTTATAATTCCAATATCATCTGTTGAACGTTGCTCATTATAAGTTGGATGTATAATTAATTCAGCGATAGGTATAAGTTGTCCAGATGTTAATCGATTATGTGCACCAACACGAGCATAGAAATTTCCTAGATCATTTGAATAATCCAAACAATGTGCAGCTGTTAATATATGCCATTGATCAATAATTACTCCACCACAGTCATGTACACCTTTATATTGTAATGAAACAGCCCATGGCAATGAATGTGGTACTGCTTCAAAACCATTGACTATACGAAGAGCAGAATTTAAATGAGGTTGACGAAATGTTTGACCACATTGTTGTGATATATATTGTCGTTCAAGTGGACAACAAAAACGAACACTATAATCTGGACAAGGTGATGTTGAGGAAGCCATACAAAAAACACCATTATTATTAATTAATGTTTGATGAAATGATGTATCATTATTTGATTTTCCCGAAACAGAATATTCAACATTTAAAACTGTATCACATCGAGCTGCTTCTGCATATGATTTTCGAATTATTGAAATATCTTCAATATCATTACCATTTGTTTTTTTTGGATTTTGTGTGTTGAACCATGGAGTCCATGATGCCATTTCAGAATTACATTCATCACTTGTACTTGATGGAAGTTCTTGTCCATCAAAAGCTTTGGATGATAAGAATAAAAAACAGGCTAGAACGTGAATCAATATTAGCATCATAATGTCTGTCTACTGTTAGACCAGCTCGAATATAAACTTATACTAAAGAATGATATTGATTTTTATAGAAAATCTTATAAATCTACTTTAATATTGATTGTTCTAGGAATCATGATGGAATCATTCGATTGTTTTTGTCTACATGTCATCGAAATTTAATATCGTATATACTAATGAAAAATTAAATCGCTAAGATTAGATGTGAAAATTATGAGAATAAGCAATTTGTCGTAGGTGTATCACAACGAGAAAATATAAAGAGGATTGTCTTGCAATTATTGAAATAAAAATAATATTTTTTTCGATTATTTCTCATACTTTTACAGCAAAGTTCGAAGTACAAAAACTCAAATTGTCGTTGCTTCATTATATTTTCTGATAGAAAACAAAAAAATAAAACAATGTGATCAATTTCAATACTTCATATAAACGATAACATATTTTCAAAATTTTTTTCATTTGAAATTTATTTTTCATTCAAGACCATCTCCCATGAGAGAAAGCAAATGGTTCAAGGCAACAACTCTAGTGCATTAGATATATTCGTTATCAACGGAAACAAGAAAAGTATTAAAATCAATTTATGTGAAATGAAAATACTCAGATGTAGACATATATTTGTTTACAAATTGTCTTTCTAGCGACCATTCATAATTCATTATCAATGAAAAAGTCATGTCAAAAACACAAAATATTTCTTTGAAAAATAAAGGTCTGCTATCGAATGAATAATATTTATATGTAGAAAATTATCATTGACACCATAACAAATCGAGATGAATGTCATTAGCTTCAGTTATTTTTTTCACTTGATCTTGTTTATCGAACTTCAGTTGATAAGTTACATGTTCAATAAATAGTTGATAAGAAATGAATGCTTCAAATTTTTGTTGGAATAAATGCACGAGTTAAATTTGGAATTCTAAATAATAAGAGAAACACCCGATTTATTTTACTTATGAAGATAGTTAAAGATAATTTATTTATATTGAAAAGAACATTATTATGATTAAAAATTTAATCATTTAGAATATGTTTGCTTTGAATCAATCCATAGGTTTCATATACATATTTTTGATAATTATAATTAAGTTTCAAACAGTATTTTTTCTTTCGGAATAAAATAATTGTTATTTCCTTGGATAAAGCGTAGGTGTTACTGAGAAGAAGAGTTACCCACCCACAGCCATGTCCACATTCTACCCAGACAAAAAAAGAATAGTATTATGAATAATTAGTCGATTACGTTCGTAATTATTCTTGTTGCTATCATTTCTATAGCGAGAATAAATTTACGATGATGATTATATTCTACTGTCTATCGAATCAGATTTTTATATATTATTGTCAAAGTGACATTGAAGCAATTTAAAAACGATACGGTTATTTTTATGGAAACAATAATATAAAAAATCTTATTCTATTTTTTTTCGTATCTAGATTTTTTTAATGAAGCTGTTATTAAAGCAGAATTATTTACTACTATTAGTAAGTAGAAATTTTCGAAATACTCTTATATTCTTATCTTGAGGCCACAATGAGACATATTGTGATTTATAGACAGTTCTACCTCTTGAATACTATTTTTATATAGTTATTTGAATGAATTCCATTTCTCTCTTCATATCTATGTGTTGAAAACAATATCTGATCATAGTATTTTAATCTACGTTACAGTTTCAAATGATTTCAATGTTTGAATGAAAGCTATTGATTTAAGTGCATTTCTTCTTATTGGCAGTTTATTTGATTTTAGTTTTCTTTAGTTTTTTAAATTTACTAGAAAATGACGTAATTTTTGGCCACGAGATGATTATCAACAAAACATTTATAGTTCATGACTCATATTCGAAATCGATTGTGCAATAACAATGCATAAATTTCATATACTAATTCAGAACTTGTTTTACTTTGTTATCCAGTGTGTGATATAAATAATATAAATATTAGTGACGTCATTAACGGTAATATTGAAAGGAACCAATGATTAATCCTTATTTCTTTACTTTTCGTATTAGAAGACGTTTTCTAGAAAAACGTATAATTTAATGATTAATATAAATTCCAGGTGGTTATAAAAACTAACTAAAAAAACATATTCAATGTACATAATATGCACTTCTCAGTCAATGAAATGAATCACTGCTACGATACTACACTGATGTAAGTAAAAGAGAAAAAGGACAAAAACAGAACAGAAGAATATTTCTTATATATATAAATAAGATGTATGCAGTGCATTACGTTGTGTCTGCAGACTCATGATTAAAACTACACTTTAGAAAACTTAAATATCATAATGTGAGCTTTTTTTTTGTTTTCTTCTATTGCATAATCATGCTGACACGAATTTTAAATTAGAAAAAAAAAGAAGAGTTATTTTTATTCTTGACGAATGAAGGTCACGATGAAATGGCAAATAGTTAGAAATGAAATGATGAGATAGCAATCTATGAATAATACTTTGTTTTTCTTTTTGTATCTATATTCTAGATCACTCTTTTATGTTGTTTTCTTATTCGTACATGGCTACATGTGCTATTGAAGATTTAGTATTAAGACCAATATATTGTCAGACAACAAATACAATGAAAAAAGTACAATCATCGTCATTTGAAAAAAACAATCAACAATGTCCAGTAAATTTTCATATGAACTGTATCCAAATGGATTCAACAACATCATTAAGAAATTCTGAATCAACGAAAAAACGATTGTTGAATCGAAGTAATACATACAATGGTAACAACGACCTGATAAGGTCAGTTATTGACAACAGCTGTTCTGTGCAAGCTGTTTCAAAAAATAATAATGATGAAAGTATGAAACGAATATACACAACAGATTTTTTTTTAATATAATGTCCTTGAATCCAATTTCATGTTTTTTTTTCAAAATTTCAATTATATATTTATGTCCTTTTTGTATAGCTCAAACAACACGACTTCGTCCAACAACGTTGTTTTCAAGAGATTCAACGTCTAGACGGCCTATTCCACTTTTTCGAACATGTTTCAGTCATCCATCGACATCACCTAATACTGTCATTCCAATTGATAACAGCGAATTTTCACCTGCTAAATTTACTTCATTACCTGTACTTACATCTCCACCGACTAAACGTCTTCGATCACCAACATTAAGCTTGGTATCGAAAAATATTTCTATTCCTAATATATCTGAAACAGTTTCTACATTATTTTCATCTACATCATCATCATCTATTAGTTTTATTGATTCATCTGAATTAGTTAATAAATTAAAAGAAAATTTTCAAATAATTATTTTCGATTGTGGTTCACCAATTCGTTATAGTGAAAATCATATTTGTAATTCTAATTTACTTCGTGTTTCTGATAGAATTTCTCGTAAACGTTTAAAAACAAATCCAACAAAATATTCAACTATTGATCTAAAACAATTAAATGAATATGACTTTGTTATTCTTTATGATGATCACAGTGATAATCATCATGAATTATCCCCAGGATTAAAATGTGCATGTGAAGAAATTCAACGTTTTTTTACAACAACAAAACATCCTGAAATATTAGTTCTTAAAAATTCATTTGATGATTTTTTAAATCTTTATCCACATCTGTGTAAATCATTTCAATCACATTCATCATCATCAATAAATGATTCATCATTACAATCAACACCTATTTTACCAAATTTAGATGTTCAAAACTATCCAATGACACATATTATCGATGGAGTATTTATTGGTAGTGAATCAAATGCTAAAAATATCGACGAACTATTTTCGGAACAAATTCGACATATTATTAATGTAACATCTCATGTACCATCCTATCATTTGGATCAATTTCATTATTATCATATACCAGCTGATGATACACATAAACAAAATCTATTAGACTATTTTGATCAAGCATATACATTTATATATAATGCTATTGAAAATCATGAAAAAGTTCTTGTTCATTGTGTTGCTGGAATTAGTCGATCGCCAGCTATAGTTATTGGTTTTTTAATGCGTTATGCACATATGAATATGGATGATGCTTACGAATTTGTAAAACAAAAACGTTCAATTGTTTCACCAAATTTAAATTTTATGGGACAACTACTTCAATATGAAAAAAACTTAAGAGAACAAAAATAGTATTGAAGTGTCATGTTTTTCTTTATTTTTACTATATGAATGTTGTGAATATTTTTGGTTGTTGTTGTTTTTGTTAAATTATTGTTTCGGTTTTTATTCATTTAAAATTCAGCTTTAAAACAGGTAACAATAGCTATGATTTATTCTAGAAAATTAATCATCGATTATAACTAATGGAAAACTTTCTATTCCTGCAGTTTAAATTGTAATTAGGATTACTCATCTTCCAGTGATTGTTGTGAAACAATATGAAAAATGCGTTAAACATTTTATTGTATAAAACAAGTGACTAATTTTACATAAATTTGATTTATATATTGACGACATTCTAGATCAACATGGTGTAGAGACAACATATATGTAGAATATCAAGTGGGTCATATTTAAATGGAAAAATTATTGTCAATGGAGAATGTCCACAGATAAAAATATGGTAAAATATAAAGACATAAGGACGGATGAATATAAAATAGATTGTTTGTAAATAACAAGGAAATAATATTTACTGATGACAAAGAAATTTTTTTACTAAAATATGAATCACTTCATCAGTACAGATGTTTACAAAAAAAACGGTCTCGAACAATTTTATTTTTATTTAAAAACCTTTCTCTTATAACTCGAAATAACTATATACATTGTTTTTTTTGAGGAATCATATGTCGATAATTATACTGAATAATGATTATAGAGAACTACAACTTTTCTTGTTTTTAGTATATTTATTTATTGAGAAGCATATTAGCAATGACCCGAAGCAGTCAATATTGTGGAGGTGGGCTGTCATGATCTTTTTTTTTTGCAAAGGAAGTATCTCTTTCTTCTAACAGAATACAAGAAGAAAATTACAGTTCTGTTGGGAAAAAAATAAAAATTTTACACGATTGAGAAGCTGTTACAGCCCCAACACCCTTCAGTCGAGTTACTGCTGACTCATAATCTTCTTTTTTCTCTAAAAAAAAATCAGTTATATATCAATATTATATTATTGAAATGAAACTGATAATCTAGTTGTATGATTCATCGCAAAAGAGATGTTCTAATAAACACTATTCAATTACAATACTGATGAACTAAAACAAGTCGTTATTGGTGAAAACGTCCAAACGATATGTACCCTGTCAAAGTGAAATGTAATTATACTATAAATAGAGATATTTTGTTCGTTATACATCGTAATACAATCGCCATCATTCTCATTATTATTATACGCTTGAAAATGATCTAATTTTTGTTGTTTGTTGTGAATACTGAATAGAGTGACATCGTTTTAGAAAACTTCGATAAACAAAAATAGCTCCTATAATGAGATTATAATTTGAAACATGTCAATCATGTCATAACACAATTCATCAACATCAATGCACCACAAATAATGATGCATCAATGAATGTGAATCCCATAGGAGCCTTTGATCAAGCATAAAATATAATGTTGAGAAGAGAAATTCTTTATAAAAATGATGAAAACCAATATTTTCTATATGATGAAGCTAAAATTGTTGAAAACTTTTATTCTAAACAATTGTATAATCTTTAAGAAAAACTATGTTTGTTTTCTATTTCATCTTAAGATGAACAAATGCAAAATAAAAATATGGTGCCCTATTGTATTCTTCATCAGCTATGAATCATCATATAAGATGAAGCGAAAAGAGCATGTGCATATGACATTATTTGTAGAACCATGTGTGAAATTTATTTTTTGTAAACATTTTCACATAAAAACTTTTGATAGATATTAACAACAATCTTTCATTATAGGATTTATTCTTTTTATTTATTTCAAAATTTAAAAATGGATAGTAATGTGTACATTGTTAACTTAATATATAACTTTCAAATATATGATTATTAAATAATAATAAATAAAATAAACAATATGATTATTTGTAATTCGAATTGTAAAAGATCAATAGTAAGGATTTAGCTATATTGAAAGAGAGCTAAAGTTTAGAAGAGTTAGCTCTCATTCTCAACTGGTATGTTGCTCTGAGTGTCGTTGTTGTCCTTACTCTTAACTAAGTACTTTGTCTTCTGTCGAGTCTCTTCCATCTAATGATAATATAATAGGATTTCACAGGAACGTGACGATAAATCTTGGAAAAATAAATCCTACACAAGATTTAATATCAACTTCTACGATTAATAACTGATGTTCTTTAGCATTATTTAATACTAATTTCATCATAACGTATCTGTATTAGCAAATAAGCGTAATCTAAACAGCTCATTAATATAGTGTCCTATGATTTTATTATTATGCTTAAGAATGATATTATATATCAATAAGTCTAGATCACGATGAAGTTTATATTAAATAAAAAAAAGAGATTAATTTTATCCTTTCTTATTGCTATTGATCTTTAACAATCAGATAATAATATATCAAAACGATAAAAATAATTATATAATGTAGTTTGATACGACAAGATTATTCTTTTATTTATTCGTTATTTACATCTTGATCGCAAGTAATTAATGAATATTTATTAAACTAAGTTTTGTAAATAGGTATCCATTTTCAAGACAAGGAAATTATGATAAGAAGATAGCTTTGAAAAAAAGTTATCTTTTCGTCTGTTAATAATATTCTCTATCTAAAAAAAAACATCAGAAAATTGGAATATCTTTTGTTCATTTATCCTATTAAAATCTAAAAACATATTCTATAGTTTCAAATGAAATATATCTTAGATGTTAAATAATTTTCTTTTTACTAGTCTCTGATTGAAAATTAAACTATTCATTTACTACATCCTAATTATTTTTCATCGCATTCAAAGAATATCTATTTCGATACAATCATATTTAGGTTAACAAGATATACTCTTAATTTTCAATCGTTATCAAAATAATTGTTCTAATCTCGAGAATATTTTCATGATGTTAGTAATTTTGTTAGAATAATTTATGTAGTTATCCTTTTTTTTAATTATTAGTTACGTTTATATAAAATAAAAAATAAAAACGAAAATTAAAATACGTTTTGAAAAATAAAGAGTTTGCTATTTGTTAATTTAAACTGATGTTCATCAGTCTTACTGTTTTTCTTGTTTTTGTTTTTTTTCCATAAGTCAAACGCAAAATATATAGAAATTCGTTAAATTTTATCTGTTTTCATTGCGTAATACTAACACTTGGCCAGCATGTGTGATATTTACAGCAACGGATTCTGGTAAATAAAATGGTTCACCATCCATTTGTGCTGTCATAGGGCAACATAATTCAATACGTAACTGACTACATTGTGCAATACGCATACCACGAAAACCAATATGTATTGTAGCCATATGTGTTGTACTTAAACCTACAACTTCAATTTTTTTATCACCAAAATCTTGTCGTTCAAAACCACCAGTTAAATTATTAATTGTTGTTGTTGATAATAATGATGATGATGATGATGAATTACTTTGATCATTTGAGCAATCATTTAATGTAATTAATTCATAAACTTCATGTGTATTAGCTGGTACATCATTTAATTCAACAGAACTTGTTGAAATTTGTTCAAATGAATCAGAATCTTTTTGTATTGTTATTGATGGAGATGATGATGATATATTACTTGATGGTTTTCCCCATGGATTAGTACCTGATGCATAACCAGGAATGTTTAATACAAGTAAAGTATGACAATTTTTAATTGAATCTGTTAAATTTTCTCCATCACATATTAAACGTATATATGATCTTAAATTCCACAATTTTGAACGTGCAAAATCATTTAAATATTTTCGACTTTCATTTAAATACATTAATTTATTTTTTAATGGTGATGAAAATTTAGCTGGATCACGTGATCGTCTATCATGAAATTCTAATGCTATAGCGGCATCTAAACCAAAACTCATATAATTTATAAAACGTGTATTTGGTAATGTACGATGATTTTGATATGATGGACGTTTTGTATCACGAATAAATTTTGGATGTGTTATAAATGATAAAAATGTTCTTCCACTATTTGGATTTATATTTGAATTTGTTACATCTAATTGTTCCATTGTTACTTGCCAACGATCAAGTGCTATTGGTTGTGCTTGAGGAATTTGTATTAATGTTGATAATAGACGTTTTGGATCATATTGTTCACCCCATGATAATACTCGAGATAAATCATTGCCTGTGCCTAATGGACATATAGATACAGGTGGATTATTTAATGATGGATATAATTCAGCTAAACGACCTAATACCCAACCAACTGTTCCATCACCACCAAATACACATAAACGAATATTTGATAATGATGAATATATATCTAATGCATTAAATATAGTTTGATCATTTTCAAGTAAAAATACTTGACGAGGATTTAATAGATGTAATAATTTACGATAGATTTTTTCACCACTTTGACCACCAGAACGTTTATTTATAAATAGAAGTAATGGTGTATAGATTCTATCATATTCAATATTATTAGTATTATTATTATTCGAAGGATATTGTGCACGAAAATTCGATGAAGAATCAGGAATACGATGTATCCATTGTGGTCGAACAATTATATTTCTAAAGCAAAAAAAAAACAATTAAGAATTTTTATATTAATTCGTTTTGTATGATTTGTACCTATATACTCCATAATCACACTTATTTTTATCATCTTGATTAGATATTTGCTCCCAACATTGTCTATGATAACCACGGGAACACCATAAACATTGAAGACCACCTGCTGTTCCAGACAATTGCGGACTACCGGGCACAGAACTTCTATTATTACTTATACCTTTAGTCATTACATCTAATGTTGGCAATGGTGATGCTCGAGAATTACCAAATAGCGAAGTTGACATTGATTTTCGTTTACAAATAGCACAAGGCTTAGGAAGTATTGATGTATTAGACCAAAAATGTCGATCATGATTAGTTTTTTTGTCATTGTCATTATCATCACAAAATGAAGGACGACATGATGGCATATAATGTGTTATATTTGATTTTGTTGTTCGTAAATTTGAAAGATGATGAGTATGTACAACAATTAAACAGGATTCACATTGAACTAGTGATAAGACAAGTGTTGGTTTAGGATTTTGACAAGATAAAAAGGAACATGCTGGAGCTGAAGAAGGATCAGTTGGACTATATGGAAACCAACAATGTGATACTGAATGTGCTTGATCACTCCAATCGACACCAATTGTAAATGGAATGTTGGATTCTGATGATGATGCAGATTGTTGAGTTCTAGAAACATAATATTTAATGTATATATTTATGATTTATTAAAAATTAAATCTAATTTGAATAAAAAAAAAAAAAAAGAAAAGCTTGTGTATTAACTAGTGTATTTATGCTTTGTTTTTTGTATTTTGACAAATATTGTTTTAAATTAGAAATTCAATATTATAAATTGATCTGTCAATTTATTCTTATCAATTCTTTTGATCGTGACAACTGTTAGTTAGTTTGTTCCTAAAAGTTGACAATCAATTTTCTTTCTATTTACTTCAAATGCATATACATCATCTATATGTCCGAAATAAGACAAGTAAATAGCATGTCAGAAAAATATTTTTGCTATATGCATTTATTTGCTTGTCAATGAATATGATTATTATGATTATTATTATAGTTTTTTCTTTAAATTAAGAATATAGATAATATATTTTTCTTCTTCTCACCTGTTAGAATTTGATATTGATTCATTTGTTCTTTGTTCTGATGTAGGAATTCTACAATCTGTTGACGATGTAAAATAATAATGTTGTTCATTTTCATCATCATCATCATTATTATTTAATGATTCTGGCATTAATGGATGATATTTATGATTAAATGTTGAAGATATCTGTTCAACTGGTGTCGTTGGTAATGAAATTGATTCGGTTCGACCTAATTTTTTATTATTTATTTCTATACTGTGATTATTTGAATCGATATCTAATCGTCGTAAATCACGTTCAAGTAATCGATGAGTTTGAGTATGATGATCATCATTTCTAGTTATTGAAGTATTACAATCACGTGCTTGACTAATAAAATCAAAACTAGAATGAGCATTTATATTTCCACGTGTTTGCATTGACGTTGATGACGATATCGTTGTATCAATACATGGTGTATATTCAAGTCTACGTGGTGAACGAGATATAGCTCGTGATGTCGACTCTGCCATTTTTGATTAAAGAAAGAAAAAGACTAAAATATGTGTGGAATACATGCGAACATTTTGTTTGATTATATTAGAAAAAAAAGAAAGGAAAATGATGAAAAATTATCGGAAACTATGTTGTCGTCTCACGCTTTTCTTTCTTATTTTTCTCTATAGTTGTACTAGTAGTATTCTACTTGTCAACAGTATGAACATCTTCAAATATGACAGTTTTTTTCTCTTTCATTTGTTCTCTATTACGGCATGATGTCTGCTATGTCACCAACATAGTCGACATGAATGTCGACAACCGATGAAGATGATGATGATGATATGGAAGACTGTCACATCTGCTTCTGTCAAATGAGACAACAATAATGTTCTCTTCATTGTTTTCAATTCTATTTCCACTCCTACTGTGTGTATTATATGTATATTAGGCACGCTAAGGGATAAATCAATGAATTCTGCTGTCGTTCTTGTTGCTTTTCTATTTTGTTACAATGAATTCATCTATTCAATTTATCAAATAATATAACTAAATGTACAAAAACAAAATGCACAGTGCTGTTCTATATTTCTACTCGCTGAGATCGTGCGTGATCTTATTGTTATTTAACTACTATATAATTTCTTCTTACGCACCTACCGGATTTGATAATTTAGTCGTATAAATATACACATAAGGATTGTCGCGCTAATTGTGACAATATATTCTTTTAGACGAGCATGAATAGAAGCCAGAAGTTTGTTATTTTTTTGTTTGACAGACAGCACACACACACACACACATGCAAAGCAAGAAAGAAAAACCTATGTTATCAAACGGAACTCGCGAGATTTTTCTTTCTTTCTTTTTTATTCGTTTCTTTTTTTCTATGATGCCGCCGAGAACGAGAATACGTACTGTGTATGGGTGTCTATATGCCGTAGAAGCAGAAGAAAAAGGTGTATGAGTGTTTGTGGAAGCTAAAAGTAATAATACACTCAAGTTAAAAACTCATGCTTTTCTACGTGTTGTTTTTTTTTTGAATTTTCATGAAATGTCACATAAAGTAAATAGAGAGGAGACAAGTTTTTACACCTGACAAATAGCAATGCATCTCATTTTAATATTTTTACTTTTGTTTTAAATATGAGACGTAAATAAATTAAAAGATAAAGTGCGAAAAAAAACTTATATTCGTGGCTGCCAGAAAATGATAATATATAATTGAATCTAGTTTTATTATATTTCCTGTTTTTTTTTTATTAAAATAATACAAAGAAAAAATAGATATAAATTTATGAAGTTGTTGTTTGTTGAGCCATTTTTTTCAAGATCATGGCTTCAAAATCTTCAAAATCAGGTTTTGTTAAATCTACAATATCATGTTGTTTTTTTGTTGATGATGATGATGATGATGGCGATGATGTTGTTGTTGTGGTATTTTTTTGTTTTTGAATTTTAACTGAAGCAAATGGTCGTCCATCTAAACCCTGTTCATTTTCAATAAATTGTGATATATGATCATCATAAAATTCAATTAATGCACGTTTAACATTAATATTAACAATGGTTGAAATATTTCCATATTTATTAAATACTTGTCGAAGTTCATCATCTGTATATGGTTTAGTATTTGGATTATATTTAATAATTATATTTACATGATTGGATGAAATTTTTTGTTTATCTTGTTCAAACATTGTATGAAGTTTTTCAAGTTCTTCATCAACAAGACGATTTCCTTCACGTCTTAAACGTTCAATTTCAGCACGTAATTTATTTGTCATAGATTTATTTATTGTTGAACTTGTTGTTCGTGATGCTTTTTGTTCATTACGTTCAAGATCTTCTTTAAATTTTTTTCGTTTATCATCCATTTGTGATAAACGTTCTTGATGAATTTTTTTTTGTTTTCGACATGTATCATAAGCTTCTCGAGCTTGTTTATCTGTTAATAATTCTAATGCTCGTTTTATAAGTAAAAAAAGTTCTTTTTTTTCATCATCATTTGGATATTTATCTGGATGGCATGTTAAAGCTTTTTTTCGAAATGCTGTTGTTAATTCTTGAATTGAACTTGTTTCGTTAACACCAAATAATTCATACAGATCCATTTGTGTTATATCAGCCATTTTCTTTTAATCTAAAAGAAAAAAAAATAAATAAATTAGATGAATATCTATTTTTATTTTTATTTTTTTTTTTATGAAATGGAATGATTAAATTTATTTCACAATGAAAAAAGAAAAATATTTGTGATTCTTTCTTTTTTTTGTTTGTTTGATTTTATCATTCAATACCAAAACCTTCACAATTTTCAATAGCCAAAAATAATTTTTCTTTAAGAATTTCACGAGTTGGATAAGGCGGTAAAAGTAATTGATTGAAACTAGAAAAAGATTGAATAAGCAATAGATTATATTGATAAAAAGATAAAATAATTACATACCATGTATGGGACATGGGTAACCTAGAAAGAAACAAATCGAAATGCATATTTATGTAAATAGAAAATTCTTTTATTTGATTTTATTATTTGATAAGAAAATATTTCCATAAAAGCTATGTTGTGATTTCCAAAAAAGTAAATTTTCACACATATGGAAATTTCTCACACAGAGAAAGAATGTATCAAAGAAAGAGATATAGAAAATTTATGGAAACCTCCTAAAACCTCATTGTATTTATTGCAACCTTTTGTAAAACATTAGTAAATTAAACAGAAATTGTGAAATTATCTCTCAAAAAAACTATTAAGAAATTTTTAAGGGAATTATGAAACTAATCAACCTCTAGAAAGCTATATCTAGGTGATTTCGATAATTATCACTCTTTTAACAGAAAATCTCTCGTTTTTTTAAACTATCAGAAAAGAAAAATCATTATAAAACTTCTGACAAACACGTACACATATGAAACAAATTTCCGCCCAACATCAGACTGTTCTGAGAAATTACTATCATTACTCAACATAGACATTACTATACTTCTCTACGTTAAGAATATCTTCGTTATGCAGTATTAGTCATTTTAGTAAATTGCTGCGAACTTTTGTAAATTACTTACATTTCAAGAAATAACTTTCTTAGTCATAAATCATATTGACATGTATATGGAAAAGAATATTTTGTAACTTCCAGTATTCACTGAAATTTTAGAAATATTTGAGGAATCCCTAGAGTTTTCACATTTTCAAAAATAGGCTCTTGTTCTCCATTGGAAAATACATCGATAATATTTAGATGGTTAATTATCTCTCTACTAAAAGTTTACTAGGAGTTTCGCAGTAATTATTGAATTCATGCTTGAAGTAAAATCTTTTTTGTGTAACATTATTTGACGAAACCTGTCAATGTTCTGCGTTATTGCATGTTTAGAGTTTGTGAAAAATCCTTCTTTTGTGTATTATTTATTATCGAAGTTATTTGAAAATAGCTTAGTGGTATATGAGGTACTTTGAAATTCGCCTTGAATTTTTACGTCTACTGCCTGGATAACAAGGGAGGAGGGAGCGAGTTTCGTGGAAAATTGAGCACTTTTTTGCAGACGGTTTCTATTACTTTCAGAGAAACTATTTCATGAGAAAAATTTACTTTTATTTTTGGAAACCTGAACACTGCTGTTGCTTTTTAGCAATTGAATATTTATACAAGAAAACTAAAAAAAATTTAAATTTTATCAATTCAAAATGAAAATTATTGATGTATTCATTATTAAAATTTATGAAAAGATTCTAAAAATTTTCCAATAAGAAGAGAAAAAAGTAATATTCTTATGAAAATTGAAATGCTATCTAACTTACAAATCATTTATGTTACATTTATTTGATGATATTTTTGCAATTTTAAACGTCATTTCACTTAAACCTCCAATTGGCATTCGATCACTACCAGTAACAAATAATAACAGACGTCTTTGTTTATCTGATGGCATTTCCTCTACAACTTGCCAAAACCATCTTAAATAAAATAATCATAAAATTTTGTTTTTTTTTTTTTCTTTAAATATAGAAAAGAAATAAAAACTTTGAAAATTTACTTGATAAAATTTTCATTTGGACTACAATTTTCATATTTAGTTATTTTAGCTAAACTACTTAAATTACATTGTTCCATTCCACATATTAACATTTCAAGTTCTTCTGGTACAAGTAAAAGTAATGCATTTGATGAACAAACACTATGAAAACCATAATAAAATGCTTCAAATTGTTTCGATATATGTTTATTTATATAGAAATCAATTAATAGTTCAACATATTCATTACGATTTTCATTTGTTACATCAATTTTTGATCCATTTTCTTTCAATAGATATATCATTGCTGTATCATAGTGAGCCACGGAAACCTTTTAAAGAAAGCATATGTATTAATTGATTTATCTTTTCACTTTTGTACATTGCTTCTTTTTTTCAACATCGAGTTATTAAGAAGACACCGTAAAAATATGAAGAATTATATCTCATGAATTAAAAGTTAAGTCTGCTTCATTCTTTTTTTGTTTATTTGAAAGAGTAATATTTGAAGAATTCATTTTTATAATTACATATATCTTCAACTGTTAATATACTAGTCAACTGAATCGTATAAAATAAAAGATCAATCTTTTCTAGAAATACAAATGATGAAACAGTCTCATTAGTATTTTCAAAGTATAGTTCTCGTATTTTGTCTAGCGCATCATTTGCTCTAATACAAAAATACAAAACTATAGATATTGTATTGCAATGCATAAAAATATCTTGTCTTTTATTTATAACTATTAGTGCTGATTTGGTAGAAGATCAAAACAATTTACTTGAATAATATTACCAAGTTAATAAAAAAAAAGAAAAGAAAAAATGTTGAGAAATCATATTACAATCTAATTTTCATTTTGTCTCGAGATCAAAATTAGATTTTTTTATTAGATGAAAACACTAGCATTGTATTGTGTTTCTTTTTTCCACATAGGTTAGTACTCATAGGAATTATTGTTTTTGACAAAAGAAAAAAAAAAAGAAATGAGCTTCATGTTTGTTTCTGTTTTTTTATCAATGAATCTCATTAGATCAGTATAGTTTGCTCTGAATACAATCTCTAGTGAACTCCATATGATACGAATTATTCTGTATCTAGGTTTTTTTCTATTCCACAAAGTCGATTTGACAATCTAAAGGGACTAGTATATAATTCTCATCACAATAAAAATAACTTATATCAGAATACTATTGAACAAGTTCTTAAATATTTCTCAAATAACTGTATTAAATATAGTACTTACCTCAAAAGTAAGACCAAAATCTTCTTCAACATTTCCATCATAATCAAGTAAATATTGAAGACTATGAGCAATATCCTATAGAATATAAAAATAACAATTTATCTTCAAGAAACATTTTTGTTCTTAGTCGTTTTTTTTTTCAATTACAGGTCGAATTGTTCGAAAATCTGCTAATGTTGGTTTAATAATTCCAACTTTAGTTTTTGATAAATGTGTCATAGGTTCTGCTATAAATGCAGGTGTTAAAAGTTTTTTATAACAAACCAAAGGAAAACGTATATCAAGAATAATTGCATTATAAACTGCTAGACCCATTAATATACCAACTAAATTATATTCTCGAATATTATCAGTTGATGCACCATTAAACCAATAAACACCAGATAGATCATAAAATACAAACATTCCTAAAAGAAAAAGAAAAACGAATTTTTTGATTGAAAATAAGATTACAAAACTAAATTACCATAATCAGGTAAAAATATTTGTCGAAGTAATAGAAGAAACCATTCTTTTGTTAAACCACCCATATCAAGACCATGTTCACCAACAAATGTAACACGTAATTTTTTCTTTAAATCATCACGTTTTTTTGTAACCTGTAAAACAAAAGTTATCACGAAAAGCAACAAAAACATCAAGACAATAACGTACTTCAGCAAGAGAATCAAGAACTAAATGTGATCGTCGAATGTAAAGATTTAAAAAAAGCATATTTAAATTTGGTGTTTGCTTATTTTGAAATTTTTGTATCATACTACGCTGAAATAGATTTAAAAAAAAAAGATCAATTCGATAAATTGTTTTTTTTTTTCAATTATAGGAAAACTTACACGAGCATTAATAATCATTTGTTGTTCAGAATCACGTTTTAATATAGTCCGTTTAGCATTAATACTGAATACAAATGGATACTGGCAAAATGTAAAACTAAAAATAAAAATGAAAAAAATTGTCTGATTTTTTTTTTCGTTAAAATAATAAATCATATCAATAAAGAGAAAAAAAATTAAACAATAAAAGCCACAAAACTTTTCTATACATGTATATCTCAATAACGACATCAATTAAACAACATATTTCTAACCCGCCAATTATTCCACGTGATTTTCGATGTTTCCATTCAAAATAATCACGTTCTCCATCAATATAATTTAATGAATCTATTGCCATTTCGGCCAAAGGTATTATACGACCATTGATCATTTCATTAGCATGATCTGTTTATATTAAAGATAACAAAACACAAACAATAAAAGGCATTGCAAATATTTCTGTACTATATGGATTAACAACTAATTATCAAGCAAAAGAGAGCGTAGAAAAAAAATAATAAATTTATCTTTAACTACCCTGCAGATCTTTTTAACCAAAGATGATATTCAAATTCAATATCAATATCATCAAGTAAATCAATAATAAATTCATGATAATTCATAAAACTTCGATTTAACTGTTCATTAGCTACATCTTTACTTATACTATGATGTAACACTTTCTTTCTTCTATTTTATTAAACTTACTAAATAATGCTAATGTTCGAATAGCACATGGTATCCACCAACCGTTAACAAATGCTGATGTTGAATTATCTGAACGTGATGGAAAAAGATTTATAGCAACAAATGTTTGTAAACGATGAACAGTTGATCGAAATATATCAACTGGTAATCTATTATAATAAACAAAAGACAATAAAATTATAGTTTATTTTTATGATAACTATCAAATCATTCTTACGTTTGTAAAAGTGATACTATTTCTTGATGTTCACGATCTACAAAATGTGCAATACGACGTAATACATGAGCAAAAATATGATTATTTGATGAATCATCGAAAACAGGTGCCTAGAAAATCTTACAGTTATTTTAAATTAAAACAAAGAACAGTAGTATTTAGATTTCCAAGAAATAAAATTCTCTCATGAAAAATTATACGTCAATAATTGCTTTCATCAAAAAATTATATCAACAATAAAGTTTGGAAGTTTTGAGAAAAATTTCAAAGTTCTTTATATAACACTAAGAAATTTTTAAAATAATTTCGACGATGAGTAAAATGGAAAAGTAAAAATATTAGTAATTTTAGTGGTTCCATAGAAATCTCGAAGTTTATCATGAAATCTTAGTAAAAACTGGAATTACAACATACTTTCTCTAGATGCATGTCAATGTATTTTATAACTGAGAAAAAAAGCGATTACCTATTCAAGTGTAAGTAGTTTTCAAAATTTTCCAGTAATTTCTTAGTATAACTCGATGTTGGGCGAAACATCGTTTTCTAATGATATTGTTATAGTTTTTTAGTAGCTTTTGAAAAAGGTGAGAAATTTCCTGTTCAGAAAGTGATAATTGTTAATATCATCAGGAAATTATTTCATAGCGTTTGAGTAGTTTCATAATTCACTCAGAAATTTCTTAGTATTCTTTTTTTTTTTTTTGAGAGAAAATATAGTGATTTCTGGTTAATCTACTATGACATTTTGATCTGTTTCGTTCGATAGGTACTATGAAGTTTTAGAAGTGTCCATCAATTTTCTCTATTTCACTCGTTGTGTAGAAACTTTCTATACATGTGAAAATTTACTTTTTTGGAAATCTAAAAACGCATTAAAAATAAAAAGAATATATTACCAGTATAAGAATAGTATAACCTTTGAGAGTACTTTCACATGAACTATAAACAGAAAAAGAAAAATGCAAAAACATATAGAAAATGCAACGAAAAATATTTCAGTTAATACATTTTGTTTTCTTTGAGATGAACCTCAATATTTAATTGCATAGTTTTAAACAAACTTCAATATTGAAAAACTTTAGTTAGATGCACAATTACCAAAACAGAAATGGTAGGTCTTTAGTGTTTTATAGAATTTCTAAGAGTTAGTAGTTCGAATCGGAATCAATGAGAATAGGTCGAAAATTTTTTTTTCGGAAATGCATATTTAAATACTAACATATTCGAATGGATTTTGAAGATCGAAGACATTCACCGTTTATATGTGGATGACTTCTTCAATATAAAAATGATCCTCTTTCCATGATCTCACATTGTTATTGTTTCTCGGTGAAGCCTAGCACATAATTTATTTTTTGTCGAGATTTTAATAGAGACACAAGCATAGGATCAATGTAATTTTATTCACTCAACGTACGAAAATTAATTCAGATCTGCATGAATTTTCTTTTTCTAAGTCAAACTTGAAAGAAAATTTGTTCTTATATGAATAGTTCTTTCTTTTTATACTCAACTTGTTGATTATGATATGAAAAATAAAAACTGGAACTAATTAATTAATAAATTTAAGAAAAAAAAAACATTCTTTCTAAAGTTCTTACCGAACTTCTCGTATACAACATGATGCAATTGTTTTAAGTACTAATCGAGATATTGTATCAGAATTTTTTATAATATGCTCATGAATTATTTGAAGATATTTCCAATCTATTTGTTTTGTATTATCACTCTGTATGAATAAATAAAATTTTAAATTTACATAATCTTGTCTTTTTTTCTTACCAGTGTTAATGATTGTATCATATAAACGAAATTGGAATAAAACATTGAGAAAAAAGCAAATATTTGATCATTATCAGGACTTTCGTCATTAATCAAGCTCCTATTATTAATAAAAATAAGAATAATCATTTTAATTTAATAGAAACTTCTTACTGAAAACTTTCACAATCATAAATATTAATCGAGGGCATAGGTGATGCTGTAGTTAGTGTTGGTAATGATGATGAGGTCAGGTTATCTTTGCTTGTCTGTAAAAAATATATATATATATATTATTCGAAATTTTTCAATGCATTTCTTCATAAATTAATAGTGATCCAAGATTTCACATTTTCACTGTAAGAATTAGTCATGAGTGCATTAAACTCAAGAATAGTTTTCCCTATCGTTATTTAAGCTAATTGATAGACTTACACATATGATAAATAGCATCAAAATCATCTGTATATAAACTCGTTGACTATGTTATTTTTTTTTAGAAAAAATAAAGTATCAAACTCTACTCTTAACATGATATAAGTTAAAAAGTGTTGGCGATCATAACTCTTGTCGTTAGATTTGATTTAAAAATATAATGTTATTACTAGTAGGGTGTATGTCAGAAACAGCATTAATACTGAAAGTGTCTGTTTTACTTTATTCCGACTTCGCCGTAAAAGATGTACTAGAAAACAAAATATTTTTTGGCACTTTTTTCTGCTCTAGACAAAATCTTCATCGTCACTCACAAGAGAATGTTTTTAAATGTTAAATAGATTTTGAATTGGAACTAGATGCATCATGCAGCTGATAATGACCTATGAATATCTTAAATAGAGGTCAGACTAATAGCTTATTACTGCCAAGGTACTGTATTTTTAGTAGAATGTCATAGTCCCCCTCAGGAACGTCAGAAAAAGTGACGTGAGTTTCGATGTAAAACTTTGCCTAGAGACAATTTTTAATGAGAATAGTGCATTGTAAAAGCATATTGTTCACGTCGTACATGTACAACAGTTAATTTCGATGTTCTTATTTAAGAATAGGCTCAAATTGAAAAGTCCAAAACTTTCATAATAAGCTATTTTCGTTAGAACCTATCTCAGTACAACGTTTCAAATCAAAATTTGAAATTTAATTTTCCTGCTGTTTCTGAGAGAACGGATAACACTCTGCTAAAAATACAATATCTCAGCAGTAAGCAGACATTAACTCGAAGTCTTTTCAAGATATTCATAACTCGTTAGAACCAACATAATGCACATAGTTTCGGCTCAAAAGTAATTTGACACTTAAAAAAGAAGCGCTTCCTGGTCAATATTGTATGTGTATGAATTACACCAATAAATGAAGTAATTAAATTTTGAAAGTATTAACTCAAATCGAAGTATCTTTCATTCATATGATTAATTTTCTACTATCTAAATTATGATATAGAAAAAGAAATTTTTTCTATAAAACTTTTAATCCTTGATAAATACTAATATTATTTCAACTGTTAGCACTTACTTTTTCACTTGTTTGTTGTTTATTTTCAATCGATGGTAATTTAACATTTGTAATTGTTCTATTTCGTCTATGACTTTCTGTTATACCATTATTATTAATAATATTTTGTCTTCGTAAAATTATTCGATTAAATGTTCGACTAAAACGTGAACGAAGACTTAAACCATGATCAATATTATCATCTCTTGCTCGTCTCTAAATAAAAAATAGAAATTTAAAAAAAAAATACTCTAAAAGAGAAAAAAATCTACTTGAATATCTTCTTTTAATTGTTGAATATTTGGTAAATTTGGTCGAATAAGAAATTCTCCACAAAATGGACATAATATTCTTGTACGTCCATTACATTGTGGATCAGATTCAATATCAAGTTGACATCGACGACAATGAGATATAACTGATGGTATTTCAGAAAATGAATTTCGACGTAAAGAATTAGCCATGATGAAATTTATATTTAAATAATGACAATTACTTTTCTTGCTTTCTTACACATACTTACTTACTCAAGATATTAATATTCCATTGGTTTTAAATAAACAACCAATCATGAAAATACATGATTGTCAGTTGTTGTTGTTATTTTTCATTTCTTTCTTCATTCCACGTGTCGATTTAAACTAGAAATTTTTGTCATATTAAAACTCAATGCCACAAATTATGTTAATGAAAGCTGAATATTTAGTTTTACTTAGTTTATTACTAACAACTGTTGTTATTACCAATGCTTTTTATATAAAAAAACAATTTTATCCATCAGTTGTGTATTTAACAAAGTCAAGTACAAGTCTTGCGGTAGAAAAATAATAATAAATCAATTTCCTAAAATAGTTTTCATAAATATATATATATATATTTTTTTTTTGTTTCTTAGGTTCTTTATGTTCAAGCATTTGTATTTGTTATTTTGTTTGGTAAACTTGTTCAACGAATATTTCTTGGACAACTTCGAGCTATTGAAACTGAAGTTTGTTGAGAATAAAAAGTTTTTGATTTGAAATTTTTGAAATTTTTCTAACTTTTATTTTTCAAGCATCTTTATGATCGTGCATGGTTTTCTATAACAGAAACATGTTTAGCATTTACTGTATTTCGTGATGATTTCAGTCCACGTTTTGTAGCGTTATTTGCAATTTTACTTTTTCTTAAATGTTTTCATTGGCTATTAGAAGATCGTGTTGATTATGTAAGTGAAATAAGATTTTGGTTATTTTTGTTTTTATAGAAAAGAAAATCTTTAATTTAGATGGAACAAAGTCCTGTTCTTGGAACAATATTTCATGCAAGAGTTGTCGGTAAGATTAATTAATGAATTTTAAGCTTTATAATTAGTCTATGATTTTATTTATAGGACTTTTAAGTGTTTTATGTCTTCTCGATTATTTATTTATTTCATCAGCTTATATGCATACAATAGCAAAAGGAGCTTCTGTTCAAATCGTTTTTGGTTTTGAGGTATAAAAAATTGAATTCATTAAATTTTTGAATAATATAAATCAGAAAATTTGTATATAATTATATTCTTTTATAAACAATCGATTTTTATTTATGACGATACTAGCTATGATAATTTTTTTTTCTAGTTAAAAGTATTCATTAGTAGTGTTTCTTGATTAGGATAACAAAAAGTGCGATCTAGTTCAAAAGAGAAGGATATATTTTTAAACCATCAGTTTTAAGTAGAGATATGCAGAACTATGAGCGACCGGAACTTATCATTAAGTTACAATCCAATTCGAGATAGATAGTCAAAAAAGTGCTAGTCGTCGACTTAATATATTCTAGAATAGTTTTCTTTAGATTGGAACTCCAAAACCTTGGTTCGACATACTCCTAGTCTTAAAATACTCATATTGATCTATTTTTCAGTAGAAGATGACAATGTTATTTCTATTAAAAATATATTTTTAGTATGCTATTCTACTTGTTTCTGTTATCTCAACTGCAATAAAATATATACTTCATTCAATTGAAATTCGTGCCGGTGAACAATGGGAGAATAAAGGTGTATTTATGCTTTATTCGGATTTAATTCTTGGATTTTTTCGTCTCACACTTTACATGATATTTATAATAGTTATGATGAAAATTCATACATTTCCATTATTTGCTATTCGACCAATGTTTATTGCAATGAGGTAAAATTTCTTCTAGATGATTTATTTATTTATTGGTTTCTTTTATTTTAAAGATCATTCCGTAAATCATGTAATGATGTCCTTGAATCACGACGTGCTATTCGTAATTTAAATACAATGTATCCTGATTTAACGGCTGAAGAACTTGCTAATGTTGCTGATACAACATGTATAATATGTCGAGAAGAAATGCAAGTACAACAAAGTATTAAACGTCTTTCTTGTCAACATATATTTCATAAAAATTGTTTACGTTCATGGTTTCAACGACAACAAACTTGTATGTATAGTAAAAATTTTTCATTGCATATAAAATGTTAATATTATAGGTCCTATTTGTCGAACTACTGTTTTACGCCCTACACCTCCTCGAGCAGGCGGAGTAGCTGCAGGTGCAGCAGCAGCACCGCCACCACCACCACCTAATGGTCAACCAGCTGCAGCTTCGCAAGCACAAGCTCAAATACCTGTATCTCCGGTTAGATTTGTTGCACCGCCGCCACTTTCTCCTTCAGCTTCAGCTGCACCAACTAGTTCTAGCTCTACATCAAATAATACAACAACAACTCAAACGTCACCACCAAATTCTAATACAATGGGTGTCGGAATATTTCCACAAATACCATTTAATCCATGTCCTATGGTATTACCACCATTTGGTAAGTTAGTTCAAAAATATCAAGGTGAAAATCTATTTCAATATAATTTATTATTCATTAAGCTTTTCCTCCTCCACCTTTACCACCAACTGATTTTACTGGTATGTCTGAAGAAACAATTCGAGCAATGGAAGGAACAGAATTAGCTCATGTTCAAGCACGTATTCAATGTTTACGTAATGTAAGAACTTTATTAGATGCATCAATGATACAAATGCAACAATATATGAATATTGTATTAACACAAAGGTTTGTTTTTTTTTGTTTGAAATATTTTCTTTTAAAAAATTAAATTTTTTGTTTTATAAATAGCAATATGGAAAATGGTCCTCATCTATTAAGTAATCTAAAAAATGATCTTGATCAAGTTTTATCATCATCAGAAAATAATAATTCAACAAATAGTAATATTTTTATTTTATTTATAAATAAATTTCTTAATATAATTAATTATTATTTAGATATATTAAATTCAATGGATGAAAATGATGCTGATGTTATACGTCGTCGACGTTTAGAACATTATGCAAATAGATTTTCTCCATCAACAACAAATCAAGATAATAACAATAATAATAATAATGATAGTTAAACTTATGGTCATTCATATTTATTTGAAACAGTGCTGTCTTCACTTTTGATTTGACTGTTTTTTTTTTCTCAATTGGAATATTCTTTCATTGTAAATACATATATATTAATACAAGAGAGTTTTTTCATAATGGTTAGTCGAGCGAGTTAATGTTTTTAGTTAATATAAGGAAAATATATAGAAATATGATTTCATTTATGAAAATAAAGTGATGAAGTATTCGTTTTCTTTTCTTTTCTTTAATCGAGAATGTTATATCTTTTTTTTGTTTTCATAATGAGAAGGAAATAACAAATCTTATGGTTTATGAAGTCTGTTATTTAGCCCTTTGGTGGGTATTATGGACCTGATGAGACCTAATTTTCTCTTCATAATAGAATGTATTTGGTAAATGAGTATTTTACATATGAAAAATGTTGTTTTATGATTAGCATTCACAATTTTTGTTCTATGTTTAGTAATATTTATATTATAGTATTCTACGCCATTATAAATAAATATATCAATATGAAGCATTATCATGAAAATCTTGCTATTGAGTTGCTAATTCTAGCGTTGGAATGCAACAAATCCTTATTTTTTGTACAAAGATTGAAAATTTTCTGAATGAAAACCCACCAAAACCTGGTGTCAATTATAATCCGTTTTAATCGCTCTTTCTGATACTGGTATTTATTTACCAAATCCCTACCAAATCTTGCGTAGGATTTGGTGGGATTTGTTAAATATATCGCCATTTTCACCAAATCCTGCCAAACCTTACGCAAGATTTGGTAGGGATGTGGTAAATAAATATCAGTATCAGAAAGAATGATTAAGACGGATTATAATTGACACGAAGATTTGGTGGACTTTCATTCAGAAAAATTTCAATCTTTGTACAAAAAAATAAGGATTTGTTGCATCCCTATCTAGCGTTCAATTAATGTTAAGTGACGAAGTTGTTTATGCCATATTTTTACTAGAAGATCTATGGATGAATGGTACCAGATTTTTAATTGATTAAAATAGATAAGACGCAATTACCATGTAACATTCATTATATATGAGAAGAAGATAAGCGTAACAGTGATATCTGGTTTTTTTTAATGAGGTGCGATGCACAACACTTCTTTAGTCAGTCATGTATGTATTCAGCCTCAATGGTTTGCGTATTTTTTGCTGAAACAAAATATATATTTTGTGCCTCGATGTTCTAGAGAAAGATAAGTTCCTAGAAATTTGTTTGAATTGTGACAGAAAGATTCATGTCTCGAAACAATACAAAGGTTTTTAAATCTTCAATATATATGTTTTCGTATATCTTGAGTAAGTTTTGCAAAACCGTAATTTTGATACTTTGGCTTTTATAATTGAACGAAATAATTGACGAGGGTGAGCTCGTTCCCAATTAACTGTTATGTACTGGAGATATAATGAAAACTTTCGACATAGAGAACCGAAATTCAAAAACTACTCAGTTTGGATGTTCTTGTGCTGTTGTATTCCCACATCAATGAAGGTAATGGATTTGAAGGGGCCTTTTCTTATAGAGATTGTTTATATTTGAAATCAAAACCGATTATATCTCTTTAGCTCTTTATCTTTGTTACACTGTAGATAACAGAACTAAAAAAAACATTATTAAAATCTCAAACCAAATTTAACATAGCGCGTTGTTCTAAATTTTGTTCTCTATCTACATAGGATTGCGGTAAGCGTTATACTCCTGAGATTCAAAGTGTACCAGAGGTATGAAATTTAGATGATATAATTTGTTTGAATTTCAAACATAAGAGTCTCCTACGCAAAAAGATTCTCTGCAAATCCGCATTGTTAAACTATTATGGTTTTCATTGTATGAATAAGATAATACAATAACGTCTACCTATGATTAATCTATAGATAGGAGATGAGAAAAGGAATTTTTCAACATGAAAATTTCATTCGATTAGAATATCTGATTCAATTTGTACTGCTCTTACTAATAATATATTGAACAATAAAATTAGGTAAATATTATGGGAACTACCTAAACGACAAGTTGCTCTATTGAATCACGTATTATAACGAAAATTTCAACAAGGAACAGGCACTCAACAGTTTGCAAAACAAAGTAATTGAATATGTTTGAAAGAATGAAAAAAACCGGCGTGTTATGAGTATGTTGTCAATGAAAACTACACAAAACAATGGATTGATCTAAATTTTTTTAAAATATACTAGTCATTATAAGCGATAATCGGACGAAAACTAGATTATTATAAGATAAAATTATCTACTATTTGAATGATTTTGAAACCTATTATATATATTGATCGTTCAAACAGTGTTGTATAATTCTAAAATACTTCATCATTCTTCAGTTGGTATGATAATATAAGAGCTTCAATCAAAGCTTAACTACTATACATTCAAGCAGGAATTACTCATGACAGACATTATTTTGTTTTCGGAGGTCAAACTTCACCTTTGAGAATAGTTTCGTAAAGGTCAAAAAGACGTCGAAGACCAAGAGTACCCTACCAGATCTGTAGTTCAAATCATTTCATTAATGATTACTCTTGAGATCAACCGTGATGATATATAAGTAGCGGTAATTTTTTTAAATTCACAACAATTGGAACTTGTTTTTCGGATGACGTCATGACTCCGACTAATATGTGCTTGAAATCTGCCAATTGTAACATGATAATCATCATTAGGAAGGCAATCAATCTGTTCGATTTTAACTGAAGTCTGACTACCGAAAATAAACATAGGTCAGTAAGAACTTAAATGTAAAAGCGAAAATTTTCCTAATGTAACAAAGTCAGAATTCAACAGCTATGATCGAAATTCTAATATTGTCACAACAAATGAAAAATTGTGAAATATTATAGAATTGTAAAGCATGATTTGGACTATCCGTTTATATACGTATAAGAAACTGTCAGTAAACCCTAAGTATATTATCTACTTCATTGACAACGAAAAAATAAACAGTAATCATACTATGTCATTTACTTTGTTGTTTTCGTCAATTAACAATTAGTAAATCTTCTCTATCCAAACTACACATATCTAAAAGTATTTTCTCTAATAAAGGAATGCCTTACCGACAATGTATAGTTTCACATTTATTAAAATGTCTTCCTTCACAAACACGAACAAGTCGTAATTCATCATTATCTATTTTTTGACAACAACGTGGAGTTAAATCAACTCCTTCATTCATAACAAAAAAAAAACTTATTTTTCTCAGTTATGTATTTCTTCTCATTATTCTCAAACTTCATTCATGAATGGAATAACAAATAAAGTAAAAGTATTTCCCATTCAATAGCGTTCATTGTTGTACAAAATTCTTCAATGATAACAATTCCATCAAATATTTATTTAAGAAGTATTAATTTACTACAGCATGTTGCTGAACATAGTCATTATGGTAAGGAAAACATATCTAAAGTTGTTGTACAACCTATAAAAACAATTGATTGAATGAAACAATTATTTTCGACATAGTTAAATAATCCTGATAATCGTTGCATACATTGTTTTAATTATGATCAAGTATTTATTCAAATAATAACTGATAAACAAACATAAATATTATTGATACTTTTCATTAATGTCATCTTCTGATTAAGAATTATTTTAAAAAAATATGACTTATTTTATTTGACGAATATAACACTGTCTTTTTTTACAATATCGCATCGAACAACTAAACAAAGGACAATCATCATGTAACATAAGAAAGAATTGTGTGATTACAATATTTATGCTAAATTCATTGTGTACAACACAGTATCACATATTGTGTAACGATGATAAATAAACACAAAATGAAACAGTGCAATTGCACAATGTTTTTTATTTAATCATGAACAACTATTGATTAGCATTTATGGCATTGCACTTCATCTGCACTAACTGAAACAGTTTGCTGCTTATGAGCATTTGCTTATACCAAAACTGGAGAAATGAAAGAAAGCATTATGTATAAAGAGAAAACTTTCAACTATATATAGTATAATAAAAAATTGTGGTCATGACAATATGTACCAAATGAACTTATTCTGAAAAAGATCATATGGTATTTATAAGTCTAGTTCTTTGCATCAAAATTCAATGGCAATGTCTTAGAACGGTAACCATGTGAACTCATTCTTTTGTACGATAATTTTCTTCATATTCTGTCTCACAATTTTAAACATATCATCAACATTCTAGCGATTATCAAACTCATATTTTAGCCAACCAAACCAGTGAAATCTATCTGACTTCAGTTCAAACATCACATTTTTAATTTGTTTTAGACATGTAAAATAAAGCCAATGATATTATCATACAACGAATATAAAAAAGAGATATGAATACAAAACGAAAGAATTTTTTCCTATTTATTAGAAAAAGAAATTACTTATATGGATATAACTACTAATTTTTTTCTGACTAATCTATTTTCACTGTTAATCTATATCTGATCAAATCAAGATACAGTACAGTTTTCGAGTCCTATTAAAACGTTTCTTCATAAGAATCAAATGGTTGTAAAGTAAATTGAACAATGGATTCAATAATCCATTCAGGACTAAGAAAATGAACACCATTTGAACGACATAATTGAAATAATTGTTGTTGATTGGCAGACTCAAATGGAAGTAAGGCATTGCACAGAATAATAGTCAATGTTGAACTATCACTGGCTGATGTTAATGGAAATGTAGAAAGAATTGAACCATGACATAGTTTAATTAAAGCACACAGTTCATTTTTTGACTAAAAAAAAAAGAAACGAAAACAATTTTATTTAAAAAAAGAATCTCAACAATCATGTAACCAGGTATTGTCATCAGAAAAACTAACAAACAATAAGTAACTTCACTTGATAGTAAACAATACATTTATGCCTTCAAATTTGTATTCATATTGATCATAATGATATGACTTCATTATAAATAGATATATATATATGTATACCAGTACTTAAAAATTCCTACTACCATATAACTCTTCACATTTGTTAAATTACAAAACTAGTTTTAATTAAAAAAAGACCTCTGGTTCACAGAGATCAAAATCGAGTGGAAAAAAAAAACAATTGTAGCTTTAGTATCTGAAATTTAATTAACCAAAAGTTTAGTCACAGTTCAATCTACTAAATATCGACTTCTTAGTATTTGAAAAAAAAATCTAAATCTTTTACTCTAGAAATTTCAGTATGAGAAGCAAATTTCATGTCTCAAATTTTAATTAACTTATCTACTTACCATTCTATCTTGACAACCATCACATAAAAGAAAAAATTGACATTTTTCAAATAATTTAGTATCTTTTGATAATCGACTTTTTCTCATTCCATCATGATATTCACCAAATGGAATATCTCCACGCATTTCATAATCAGTTTCATCAATAAGATCATTTTGTTTTAAACATTGCCTAATCCATTTATATGATAGAATATATAAATGACGAGCAATTGCTTGAAATAATTTCGTTGTTAATGGACATAATAATGCTTTTTCTTCTCTTCCGATAATTAAATGAGTTGTATGATCAGTAATACCATCAGATATTGATAATTGATTAGGATACATCGATACTAAACAACGAAGACCAACCTAAACGAAAGTTTTATGAATTATTTTTTAATTAAGTTTTGTTTTTTCTTTTTTTTGTAACATACCAGTTCAGTACCAATTAAACAAGAATATGCCAAAATGATTCGTTTATGATTTAATGGAATTGGTGAATTAATATGTACTTTAACTTTTGTATTGTCAAGTAACATTGATAAATCAATATGTGATTCATTTTTTTCATCATCAGATGATACTGTTAAATCTATAGTTGCTGCCACATTATTTGAATTATCCTTTTGGTTTTTATTTTTATTTTCTTCTGACTTTTCTGTAGATTGTGTCTTTGCTTTACGCATTTGTACACGAGCATTTGTAAACCATACTTGTATTTGATATGCAGACATACTGGTTTTTTTCATTAATTCTTGCCTTTCACTTTCTGTTGGATCTACAAAAAAAAACAAAAGATAAATATCAAGACTACTCGAAGAAGGTTACATTCGAATTGCGGATAATATTTCAACCATTATCCATATTGTCGACTTTCTATTTAGTTTGATTTCCGATTTCAATCCAGAACATATAATGGAAGAATTCACTCATTACTCACATGGATTATCTTGATGTTCATATAGCCATTTTTTTAAAGGTGTTGTAGTATTACGTTCACGACCAGTTGTATTGAATAATGAGGATAGTCGTTCATTTTCTCAAAAAAAATCATTATTATTCCAAAAACAAAAAGAAACTGAAATAAAAATTTAATTACCTCTACCATTTGATTCTGAATTTTGGATTTGTTCGATACGTTGTCTTGCTTTGTTACTAAGCATAGTTGGTATTGAATCATCTTCAGTTGTTGTTTGAGATGATTGTTGATTGAGTAAATCTATCAATGATGAACCTGATGGTACTATTATCTTATTAATTAATGAATTATTTAATTTTGAATCTTCATAAGATGGGGACGACATTTGTTCTTCAACAATGGCAAAAAACGGTTCTTGTTAAAATGGAAATTGTGGGAACGAAATTTAATTGAATATAAATAGAAAATGTACGTTCCGTAAATACTGATCAGCAGAAAATAAAAAAGAGAAATCGTTTTCAGTTCGATGTTAGTCTTCTACAGTAATATGTAGTTAAGATGTAATATATGTGCGAATGATATTGTCGAAGTATTCGTCTGTAGAAGAAATATATACTATAGTCAAACAAAGAAGCGGTGAATGTATAGATGTCAATTACCCGAAAACATAGCTGCCTAATTTTCATAACTATTAGCAGTTTTTGACGAATGCCGCGGACGAGTCATAACGGCTGACTAATCTAGAAGCAAACTATCAAACTATAATGAACGTGAACGAACGATAGGTCATATATGCTTCTCTCCATATTGTTTGTAGCATTTTTCTCTAAATATGCAATGAAATTAAGCAAAAAATTCCTTTTTTTGCATGCTCGATAAAATATATCAAGAAGATCGAAGTAAATAGTAAACATATGATAACGACATAGAATTAGATATGCAAGTTCAGTGATGGAAAATAGCATTAACATAAGTTTTTCTTCCTACAAAGTTAATATAAATAAACATAGATATGCAACGGCTCACGAAATTATTCGACCTGGTTTATTTTCCACTTTAACTTTCAACAAGAATTTTCAAAAATAAAACAACTTCTAATTTTTCAATGATATAGTTGCTGAAAAAACGAAATCGAAGTTTTCCCTCTCCTGGAATTCACAAATAACATTCTGTTTAAAATATCCAAAATGATAGATCAAGTGATTCTCTATAAACTGAAACGTCTTTCATCTTTCTGCAGCATTTTTTGTTATTATCTTCGTAAGTGTAACATCCAAAAATGCTCACATGATAATATAAAGAGAAATTATGTTTAAGCATCAAACACAAGTATAAATCCGATGAGTTTTACAGCTGCCACCAATATTATTATACCAAGTATTGAATTTGCTCATGTAGATGTAAGAGAGTAACCATAGAGACAAAAGGAAAACATTCGAACAAGAAATCTTCAGAAATTTGAGACGAACGAATTAAATGAAAGAGAGAGAGAAACGAATGAAGGTACTCCCCACAATGTTTTCTTGACTCAGATAGATCAATCTAAAGCAAAGCATCAACGTTGTGTTTTTCCAGCTATTTTCTATGGAAACAAAATGTTTATGCCTCTCATAAGATTGATGCATCTCATTCAAAAACAAAAACAAATGTTCTAGAGAGGTAGAATATCTTTCAGTTTTTTGGAGGTGAAGTATCTGTTTCTTAGAGACCCCAATTTTTTGAAAACTATCAAACCTTTTCATCTTCGAAAGTTCTCGTTTGGAAGAAAATTTTCTATACAAATCACTGTTTGTACTCTTATTGATCAGCACCAACGCAACATGAAAATCAAAATATATGAAACCCTGCCACTGCTATATCGTCGCTCTGAAAGACCGTTTGATAACGATGTTGCTAACCTACTAGATAACATCTAACTGTAAAGCATAATCTGTTCATGAAACAAACTCCATGAAGATTACTGACATGGATATAAATTACTGCCGTAAACTTGTTTTTTTTTAATACTGTTTCTCACTAAAATTGCTGCACATTCCGTTTACCTTAGTGCGATCGAGATATACAACCATTAAGTACTACAAATTTGCATTCGTTCAACGTGTGATGATGCAGAATAAACAAGTGTAACTTTATGGCTGATAGATACCTAAAAAAACTCCTACTTGCTTTAGTTGCTTTATTAAAATGCATTCTTGTCTGGTTTGTATACAAATGATGTTTCGCAGTGTTCAAGGTATTTTACAGAATGATTTCATTATACAAAGACTAGCTTCTTCTCGAAAATATAAGAATTCACTGTGTAGTTTCGATAATATTTAAAGAAAAAAAAAACTTGTTTCATGTCATGTTGCTGCATCAAATTCTTATTGGATATGTGTTAGACAAAACTCCTAGATCTGTTACTTACTTCATCACTATTTTCATTCATTTGTATTCTTCATCCTATTCTTCCTCAACAGTTGCAATTACAGTAGAATCTAAAATTTGCCATTCACAAATGTTTTTCCTAATACAATATCTTCTGTAGAATAGCACTAATCTATTATCACAATAGTTTATTCTAGTTCCAGCTCGTGACTATCTATTAATCTTGTATACGGATCTTTCATTGAACCATTTATGAATTCATCGTGAGCAGAACTCACATCCAATTTTTAAAATTAACATTCGACCACTATGACAAGTGATACGTTCGACCGTAATAGTCTCCATGTTGTATAAATATTCTTTAATCAAAGATGAAATTCAACTTATATATACACCATATAAATATGAACTTTTCTTCTGAAATATCCACAACTTGCAAAGAAAAATAGGTATTAATGTATTTTCTGTATAGAAATCAAATGAATTTTTCTTAGCACATCTATTCATCTATCATATATTCTACATTGTAATTCTTATTCTAATTAATAAATAATAGTATATGTATTATCAGCTTTTTGTTCTTACAAATAACATGACTCGCCTACAATATTATTTTTCTCAAATAATAATCTTCTTTGAATCGGATGAAAAACAAAAAAAAAAAGAAGCGAATACTTAATCGGTTCAATATGATAGTAGTTAATTGGTTTATATGCATATATGAAAATTGAATGTCACTTTACAGAACATTTCTTTGATTAGTTATAAGTAAGTAACTAGATGATCTATATGAATTGAAATTGGCTTTTTCGATATAATGAAAGTAAAATTCTCGAGAAAAACAAGAAATAGTTCATTTACATTTCAAATTAAAAAATGCATCGATCACAACAATCACGTAAACGTCATTCTTCATCATTTATTAAATTCGTTGCTCGTCTTCAACATACATTTTCTACAAAAAATATTAAATCATCAACTCCTGTTATTCAACCACAATTACCTCGTCAATCCAATTCTACTCCTGTAAGTTTTCGTATTGATCGAGGAAGAAAACAGTAATTTTCAACACGATTCATTTATTTCTAGCTTCCTACATTTCCATCATTTTCAAATTTCAATTATCCACGTTGTCGTTTATCACAAATTCTTTATGATCCATCACGTCAAGTTGAATATTTAAGTGAAATTGAAGAAAAAACAAATTCTGATTTATCTGAACAATCACTTTCTATTGATGACCATGATTCATGTTATGATTCAATGAGTGATCATCGTAATGATAAATTTAATTTATCACAAATGAATGTTAGTATGGACGATATTTCAAATCATCAATCTCAACCATTGAAACTTCTTAAATTACCTAATTCATTGGATACTGGTCGTTTTCATTCAACTGCTATCAATGATATGGGCACTTTTTGAAACCTATCTATATTTATGTGTATTTTTTTTTCTGTATTATTTATTTATTCATAATAAATTATTTTTTTTTGATCCTAGGGGTCATTTGTCTAGAGTAGATAAAATAATTTTTTTTTTGGTTGCGTGTTGTACAAAGGAAATTCGTTGTTTTGTAGGAGTGATATTTTCAATAGTTCCACTGACATAGTTAGTTTCGCTCATGATATAGTAATCTTAAAAATGGAAGCATGTAATATGAAGACAAGATCATAGTGGAGCAGTTTAATATCTTGAACTATTCGATCATAACACATCAGTTGAGATTTTCCTTATCCAAGTTCTAAATCTGATGTAAGTAGACTGGCCTCAATTATTTCTATGTATGATATCACAATTTATTTTAATAGAGTAGTCTAATTATTTACTAAAGAGAATATGAAAAATCTAATCTGCTTGAGCTTTCACGATGAGATATTTTATTTTCTGTTGAGAACATCGCTTGTAATCGAAGGGTTACGTTAAGATTTATTCACAAATGGAAGAATACACTTTTAAATCATATTCTATAAATACCTCTTTGTATGATCAACAGTATATTAAATTAATTAACACAAAGTGAAATAAGAACTATGATTCGATGTTTCGTTCGAAATTTCTTTTCTCAATTAAAATAATTAATATAAAAGAAAATATTCTCACCCTAAAATGAAACGTACACTCCAGTAACCAAATTTTTGTCGATTAATGATTTTGTATCTTCAATCAATCAGTGTCTTTGCAATATATGTCACTGCTTCTGGTTTTCTATTTTTGCTAATGAATAAAAGAAAAAATAGCCGAATAAGAAATAACTTCAAATATTCTATTTATGTATTCCCGATCGATACATGTCATAAAACCGTCAACTTCAAATCAATAAATATACGTCGGTATCAACTTTGTCTATGATTACATTAACACACACACACACATATATAGAACATTTTCTCTAGAGATATGCCCTAATGATCAATTTGATGGAGTACAGAGCTACAACGAATGACATTATATGATAGAAAAAACAAAAGATTGCAATCACTAGCATTCAAGTGCGTTGAAGGGTGTAAACTAGAACAATCAAAGATATTTCTGTTTTTTTTCTGTTATATTCATATATAGAACTACCAACAGAACAGAAAAAAAAACGGATTATTTCAACGAATCAGAGAAAGAAGATACAATTTATTCTCTTTTTTTCTTTTTTTTTTGTTAACCATTCAGTGGATAGATATCGTCTCTTAGAAGCGAATGATGACAAACATTTCGTATTGAATCTATTGAAAGATCAAATGAGAAAAAGAAAAACATAAAAAACAAAACATTATATTATGTTTCAATAATATACTATTAATTGAATAATCGAATAGTTTAGAAACTATAGTAAAATGACAACTGCTCAACTAACCAGTAGTTTTTCAACATATACTGACAATATTAATAATCATATTATTGAATCATTGGAAAATGATATGAAAAAATCATCAAGGACAAAAAATAAAACACGTAGAAACAGACGATCAGGTTAATCATATTTTACTCTAATGAAAAGTTCTTTTATTTCACTTCAATAATTCGTAACAAAAGAAAAGAAGCAATGCCTAGATTTGTAAAGATTAAGTTGTTCTGTTAATCTATTTTTAGTTTTTTTTTTTTACATTCGATCATTGAATAAACTTTTTAATTTCATCTACAGGTTACTCACATATACGAAAACGTATTCGAACAGCATATACAAATAAACAATTATTTGAATTAGAAAAAGAATTTCATTATTCAAAATATTTATGTCGACCAAGACGTGTTGAAATAGCATCAACTCTTGTACTAACAGAACGACAAGTCAAGGTAAAAATTCATCAAATCATGTTCGTTATTTTAAAGTTAAATTTTTTTTCTTTTGTAATAGGTTTGGTTTCAAAACCGGTATATTGAGATATGTTTATCAAACTTAATAGAAATTTATTAGTTTTATTTTATTTTTTTCATGAATAGTCGAATGAAATACAAAAGACAATTAATGTTAGAAGATCCAAAATTAGCTGAAATTTTCGATATAAATGAAAGTAATATAAATAATTATTTTAAACAAAATGAAACAAAATGTTCATCACATTCATGTTGTGAAAATGAGAAAAATGATCAATGGTTAATGGATCAAATGGATGCTGATTCATCAAAAACATTAGAAAAAGTAATTAAGTCGAAATATAAATGATAACTGTTTTTGTTTTGTTTATTCATTAGGATCATTCAATAAAATATGAAAATCCTAAAGAAAAAAATGAATCGAATACTATCATGAGTCAACAAATTCAACCAACTTCTTTATCTTCACAACTTCATAAAGTCCAACAATTATTACCAAATAATACAGCTAAAGATGGATCTCATGAACAAATATTTACAATGAATATGTCTCAATCTAGACTAACAACTACTTCCGATTGTAATTATAATAAACATTCATCATCATGGTTTCATGATAGACATCCACATACATATTACTATTCACAAACATCTTCATGTCAACAACAACAACAACAACACATGACGGTAAATGTACCTGAAGTAACTAATGTTCATGATTATTCCGTATCAATTTCGAATGATCATTATCAAAATTATAATTTATCAAAAAAACAAAATATTTATTATCAACAACAACAACAGCCAACATCAATATATAATCAGCAACAATATTCAGAAATATTTATGGAAAACAATCATTATCCAACGTTTTCTTCTCATTATGATTCTGTAAATGATCATCCTATATCATATTCTTCAATTGAAAATACGCAGCAAATGTATGGACATATTTAATATCCATTACGAAAATTTAACTATCATAGCATTTTAAATATTTTTTTTTTGATGTGGTAAAACAATAAATTGTGTGTAATTTTAATTTATCTAAAGCATATATACTTCATTATATCAACAAATATTGACATACATATCGTCGGATTCGAAAAAACAAAATATTAGAAATCTTTAACAATGCTTATCATTGTTCTTTGAATTCTATATATCGAAATTTAATGATAGACTAACTCAATAATAGTGAGTTCTTCTAATTTGCAATACACACTTAGCAGTAGCAACTTTAGAAAGGGGCATTGGAAGGAGCGATTGTTCTCCTTCCAAAAAAATGTTTTCAAATAGTAAAAGCTTTAAAATGATTTTGTAATACTTCGAATGAACTTTAAAACATGTTTTATGATCCTAATCGTCCTCTTCATCAAAATCCTAGAATTCATCACTAATGCTTAGATTAATTTTTCTAATTTGAACTGCATTCGAATACTATTTAAACATATTCTAAATAGACAAGATATTTCTATCTGTCTGCTAGTGACATTCGATAATGATTGGTTCTAACTTATAGATACCAATGACTCATCGCGTAGGTACAATGTTGTTCTGTCAGTTAGACACATAACTCGATCCTTGTCACATCAATGGATGACTGTGCTACGGAAGAAAATGACAAGGTCGAATTTCATGTATCCTTATTACCACATGATCTATTTACAACAATTTATGATATAACTCGAGCAATATTTCGTCATTTACCAATTCGTTCAGTTGATTCATGTTCATTAGTTTGTCAATCATGGACAAATATATCTCGTTTAACTAAATCTCATCGTCATACAATTCATGCTTTAACATATCCTTCAAATCCATTATCAACAACAACAACATGTTCTAATCTTTTACATGATTTTGATCAATTTATATCATTATATATAAATAATCATCTTTGGTCAATACCAACATTTGCTTTAGTTGTATCAACAAATATTTTAGCAAGTAAAGGTTTTTATTCGTCAGCTAATTCTCCACCACCAATAAAACATCCACGACGAGTTCATTCTGAAACAGGAAATTTAACACGAATTACTGAACGTTTTGATATATCACAAGCACTTACAAGACATTTAAATAAATCATGTAAACTTTTAATGATAGCCGCTGATGGAATTATTGCATCAACAGAGAATAATCAATCGAATGAAATTGAATCAAGTATATCAATTATTTAAAAATCATTAAATAAAAAAAATATTAATTCATATATATATGTATATTTTTTTTTTTGATTTTGTCTAGATGATGCTATTGGTATTTTATTTCTTCCACATTTTCCTCCTGATGTTCTTGGAATATATCCATTTGAAATTCCATCAACTGCTCAAATATCATCTGATATGTCACGTTCAGAATTACATCGTTTTCTTGGCTCCGTACCTGATGATGTCCAAATACGATGTGTTATATTTTTTTTTGTAACACGTCAATCATATGCTGTTGATTGTATTAAAAAATTACTTGAATATTATCCATCACAAATAGCTATTATTGGAGGTTTTGTTGATAAAATAAATTATGATGATAGACAAATCCATACAACAAGAACATTATATGATGCATGTGGAATTGTTATAACAGGTGATAAAAAACGTTTACATATTGGAGAAATTTTATTAGAAAATCATATACGTACACGTGAACAAATAAGAAATAAATTAAATGAATTAAAATATTTAGATAATAATCATTGTTTATCATTTGCTATACAAATAAGTTGTATTGCACGTGGTTCAAATTATTATAATGATGAAGAAAATGTTGAATGTTCAGAATTTCGAAAATTATTTCCAAATACACCATTAATTGGAGTTTTTACTAATGGTGAACTTGGTCATGATTATTTACCTAATTATAATCAAACAATAACAAAACAACAAACAGGAAAAAATTTATTTCGTGGTTTTTCAACTGTATTTTCATTGATCTCATTACATATGTGAACAGTATTTTAACAATAAGATAAATTTACATGATTTTAAAAAAAAAAGGTTTTGGTTTGTTTCGGAATGTATATTAGCAATAAAAATCAAAATAATCTCGTTTTATTTATTTGTTGGTTTGTTTGTTTTTTTCTCTTCTTTTGAGTTTTAGATTCAATGAGTTTAAATAATAGTCCGGTGTTTAATCATGATCAAACTATAAATAAACGTTCTCATAAACATTTAAATTACATTCCATGGGAACCAACACGAGCAGCTATCTCAAGAACAGAACAAATGAAATCTATTCCTCTAATTCCTGAACAATCGATTTCAACACAATTATATCGATATCAAAATAGTAGTAAATGTCCATCACCATTACCATCATCATCATCATCACCAACAATTGTCACGGGAAAAGAAATGATAAATGTTGGAAACAAAACTAAACCCACCGCTACTGTTGAACCATTCCAAGCATCGATTAATGTTGATGAAATTCTCTATGGAATTAGGTGAGATATTGTCTATCGATAATGTTTCGTTTCTAATTCAAAAATTATCTATAAACAAATTTGTTTTTCTTGGCTTTTTTTCTTGTTGTTAGACCATCAAGTCCAACAAATTATGCGTCCCAAGATCTTAATTTATCAAGTGATCAACAAGAACTTAAAAATGAATTAGAACGTGTACAAGAAGAAAATGCTGGTCTTAAACAACAACTTGAAATTCAAACTCAGGTATTTATTTTTTTCTAATAAATATCATTAATCAAAAAATTATTGTTATAGGTCAATGCTGAACTTAAAAAATTACTTGTTGCTTCTATTGGAACCGATTTTCAATATCGATTAGAACGACTTCTTCGGTAAATTTTGTTTGTTTGGTTTCTTTTTTATTAAATTTCTATTCTTAAAATGTTTATTATTTTATTCAAGCGATAAATCTCGTTATGAACTTGAGATTCAAATATTAACAAGAAAAATCAATGATTTACTTGAAGAAATTGAAAAACTCACTATTCAATGTGATATTCATCAAAGCAAATTAGCCGGAAGCCGGTATAATTCATCAATACATTATTCATTTACATATTCAAATAGGTTTTCTTTTTCTATAGAGTTCTTATTGATGAACTTAATATGCATAAAAGTGTATTAAGTGTTCAATATAATGATTGTACAAATGTTATTCAACTTTTACTTGGTGAACGTTCTAAAATAGCTAAAGAACTTATTCAAACTCATAGGTCTAGATTCTTTTTGTTTTGGTTCTATGTTCAAATAGAAAATTGTTTTTTCTTTTTCCTTTATATTTAGTTTTTTATCATTATTAAATGAAATGGCACTAAATAATAGTCGAAAACATTTATCAGTTTCACCTAAATTTGATTTAATTCAACTTTCATCTTATTTACAAACATTATCATCATCACTTTATAATTATTTAAAACAAACGATATTCCATCAACAAACAAATCATCGTCAATTGAGTATACAACTTGAATTAACTGAAACTGAAACATGTGCACTTGAAGTCATTTGAGAAAAAAAGAACATAGTAATCTATTTGTAATATAAAATAAATTTTTTTTATTTAGATTTTACAAAGTCATGCATCAGTATCATCATCATTACAAACATCAACAAATACAATTGATAAAAATGTAAACGATATTGAACAATTAGAAACAATGATTCACCGTTTGAAATTAGTTAGTAAGAAGAAATCACATGAACGTTTTCATCCAACAACACGTTATGAAAATTTAACATTGAATTGTTGTCGTGACTGTTCTGGAGAGATTTATGTTGTTTAAAATTGAATCTTCCTTCTTGTTTTTTTTTGTGAATTATTTATTAAAAACTAAATTTTTTTTTCGTATTTTTACTCTTTTCTTTTAATCAGATTTTATTGAGACGGAGAAAGAAATATACAAATATTTGTTTTATTTTTTTTGCTTTATTTAAGTTTAAAGAAGACGTATAAGTTTATATGAGCGTTATTGCATGTAGAATTTGTTTTTAAAATCTATGCGTCCGTCATGATGAAATATTGATTATTATTGCTTTGTAACAAGCGAAAAGAGAAGATTACCCTAGTCACGATATTATTCATCTCACGAGAACAATAAGATGAAACGTTTTTCTTTCAATCTATGATTTTCTTTGAGTTTAGTTGAATGTGTTATACATTATTGAAAGAAAAAAAAATCTTGAGAAAGTTAAGTCTCGATAGTTTACACTTCGAAGACCTTACTAAGTAATATACTGTTTTACAGATCTATGGAATTCATCTAGTTCCAGAACGTTACTTGCTTATGTAATAGGTTGTTAAGAACTCAAAGATTTGATGAAGAGTAAATAAAAAGGAAGGGAAGATGACGCCTGCGCAAGAACTTTATACTAGTGTATTGCTTCATCAGAATAAATGACATTGCATTTTCGATCTATCATTCATAGTTTATTATTTTAACTTACGAGTGTCATGAATAAATAGCAAGAAGTCGCTGAAAAAAAACTCTATAAATGATTATTACTAAAGATTCATTATCATTTCTAGGCTTTTTTTAATTCTTAACTAGTTGCCCTTACCTGTTTTTTCATGGTAGGCTATGCATGAAAGTATTTCAGGCTATATTTTTTCTTATATTACATAGTAAACTGTGCCCAATAAATTACGAGCACAATAATAATATGGAAATAGATATAGATTATTAAACCAATGTTAGAATGAGAATTTGAAAGTAAAAGTAGCTTTTGATTAAATTTATTGTTTTGTATTTTCCTATCAATATGACTGTTAAGATTGAATAAATTATTCTTATTTGTGACTAAAGCTTGTAGCTAAGACTGACTTAACAAAAATTTTGCTCGAGTAAAAATATGACACCATACGATAATAGTGTGAAGAATAAATCAAAAAAAATGTAATGAGAAATTTCTAGATGAAAGCCTATCACTATTGCTGCACACGCTTCAATCATCAAACATCAGTAATCTTATCAGTTGTTAAAAGTACTCGAACTCTATTTCGTTTGTTTCACTCTACTATTATCGATTATTTATTCTTTAGCAATAGATTTTATTATCATGAATTTTTTTTTCAAAATCTTATTGAAATAAATACTAAAAACTAGGAATAACTTAGTTTCATTAATAACATTAATCTTCAATATCAAACATTTATTTATTCATATCAAAATCGAAATTACACGATGACAATACAACAGTAATTTTATTTTATTTAAAAAAAAAATTAATAAAAGTCTCGTTAGTATTGTGTGTTTTTTTTTTATGAATATCAAGCGTGACAATCTGTATTTGTTAATAGAAAACTTCGAGATATCTCAATAGGAAAACTTCTTAAATTATCTCGAATTTGTTTGTTTGCGTTTTTTTTTCTTTTTACATACCAATCACATTGTTTTATTATACAATAATTAAATCAAGAATTTGAGGTCATATTAAATAATTTGAAACGCCATTTGATTGGCATTGGACATGGTACTGTTGTTGATGTTTTATCAATAAGTGATTGTTCTTCTGTCACATTCATTTTTGATGATATTGATTGATCGAGAACATTTAAGAGTTTTGTTTGTTCAGACTGATTACTATCAAGTTTTTCTAATTCTTGTTCGTGTTCTTGTTCTTGTTCCTGTTCTTCTTTATTTGTTAAATGTCCAAATTTTCTTGCTAACATATCAATTTTAGCTCGTAGTATTTGATTTTCATTATTTAATTGTGTTAACTTTGTTTCTAATACAAGATCATTCATACGTCGTTTAACACGTGAACGTTTAGCAGATAAATTATTTTTAGATCGTTGTGACCAATATGTTGGATCTTTTTTATCATCTGGTATAAACGCACGTTTTTTACGACGTGATTTATTGTTTAATAAGACATATTCTTTTTTTTGAATGTCAGGACTTGAACATGACGATGAAGTTGAAAATGATGTTGAAGAAGAAGATGTTGGAGTATCGTGATATGGATGGCTTTCATCAGAAGTTTTGATATATGATGATGAAGACGACGTCATACGTTGAGGTTAATCAAACAATTTTAATTGATCATATGTTAGTCATAATAACGAGAAACATTGTGAGAGATTTCAAGACGACGAAGACGACGACAAAATCTACCCCGACCGACTGTTCACTAGCTCGTCGTCTGTCTGGACATTGAGTGTTGCTCTTTCTCTTTCTCTTACTCTTTTACATTGAACAGACATTGATGGAGAACGTCTAGCATGATTGAAAGTAGAAAAGCAAAACGAAGGAGGAGGGCAGCAGACACATATACATAGACAGAATGAACCGATGGCGAGACGATCGTGTCATAATAAACACACATAGTTTGTACTTGATAAAGCGAAAGAAAGAGAAAAAGGTCAAGTATAGATTTGTCTCTTTTTCTTTCTATGAATGCTTAATGAATTGTTAATAATTTTAGATCTGAACAAAAACAAAATCTCAATAAAAAAACAAAAAAAGAAAATTGAAAATATGTCATTATCATCAATGGAACAAAAAATGCAGACAGTTATAGTACGACAAAAAATGAGTACGCTGGATGAAGAAGGTAGACTACGACAGGTACTATACAATGTTGTTATCACTTGGGCGTTAATCAAATGATATTTGCAAAATCTAATTACTAGTCATCAAAAAAAAAAGAAAGAAAAAAATCACTAGACATTTCAAAAGTGTTTTTAAGAATATTAAATTTTCTCTAAAGTAATTTTAAAGTCAATCTTTTTTCTAATTAGTTTGATATACGTGAAGATCCTGAACAAAAGGAAAAATGTGATCAGACAATGGAATTATTATTAGCCGCTGGCTATTTTCGCGTGCGGATCAAAGGCTTGTCTGAGTTCGATAAAGTAATCTTTCATTTCTTTTGTCTCGATGTATAATCATCTTTTCACAGGTGGTCGGTGGACTTGCCTGGAGCATTCAAGCTTGTAATTTTACTGTTGATATTGATGTTCTTTATCAAGAAAATGCGACACTTGGACAAAAAATGTATGAAAAACATGTTTTATGTTTCTAATTAATAAAAAAAGAAAATGAAAATGACTTTTTCATTAAATTAGATCATTAACAGAACGTATTGTTCTTGTTTTATCCCGTATGAAATGTCCACATCCAATAGAACCACATCAAATTCAAGGTGGAGACTTTATACATATATTTCCTGTTGTACAATGGCTTGTTAAACGAGTATTTGAACGACGTGCTGACATTGGTGATTTTAATCGAGCTTATACAATAAATCAATATGATAAACAATTTGGTGAAACAATAGATGAAGTACAATATCAGCAATCATCATCACTCAAGCAAAATGTTGAAGCTGTTCGAGTAATATTTCTATATGCAGAAATACATCATGGATATTCGTTTTAAATAGAAATATTTTTTTTAGATTCGTCATCGTCCTAAACGTCGTTATCGATGTTTGGATAGTAAAACAGCACGTTTAAACAATCCCGATGAATGTCGTAAACGAATACATTCCACACTTGTTGAATTTGGTCAAGCATATCAATTACTCACATTATCTAATAATCATGAAAAACCTCAAGAAGATGTTAATATACTTATTAAAAATATGGTTAATGAAAAAGTAATAAATAATTATATTTTGGTTTTCTTTTTTATTTTAAAGAAATCATTTTCTGATTTTAGTCTAAAATTACTACACAAATTGTACATACATTAGTCAATCAACAACAAGATACATTACGTGAAATTATCGAAGATTTCGAAGACAAAGTAATAGACAAAAATGAAATATTATGCTTAAATAATTTTTTTTATTAAAGGAAAAAGCTCGCCTTGAAGAAGCTCTTTTATCTGAAAATGGTCAACAACAATTAGCAATACGTACATTTAAAATACAATTAAATAAACAAACAGAAAAAATAAATACATTACAAAATCTTATTGAACAAACAAAAATACAAAAAGAAGAAAAAAGAAATCTTGCATTAGAAGTATATATTGTGTTAAGTTTTTTAATATTTTTATTTTTATTTTCTTTGCTAAAAGATCAAACAAGAATATGAACAATTAAATACAGAACTTGAACAAATTGAAGCACGAACAAAAGATATCGATTCTGAGTAATTCATTTAACTAGTTCTGTTTTATTTTTCTTTAAAAAACAATGTTTATTTAATTTAGATCACTTAAACATGTTGAAACGCTTGTAGCTGAATATGAAACAATAAAAAAACAAGAACAAGAACGACGTGCAACATATAAAAATCAGAAAAATGAACTTGAACAAGAAATTACTCAATTACAAGCTCGTTTACAATCATCATCTGATATAGATACAGAAGAAAATGAAAAAATGAAACAAATTGAAGAACAATATCAATTAGTTGCTGACCGATTACAAAATCAAAGACTTACTTTAGTAAATTGAAGTCAATAGTTATTATATTTATTTCATAGATATATCAAATCTTAATTCTTTCTTTTGACTAAGAATAGGTGTAGAAAAACTTCATTGGTTCTATATTCAAATCAGACTTATTCATTAATTCCAAATATGAATTTAAAAGAAAGAAGTTTAAGGATGAGGACTGAAGGAAACGAATTTGTTTTTCCTATTGTAGTTTGTTGACTACTCTCAAAATTTTTTCATTTTTACTTTCGATGTCGGAAATATGCATAAGAATTTTTCATTGAAAATATCAGCCAAACAGAAAAATTTAAGTTATTTTGTTTGTTCTATTCTCAGGCAAAGAAAGTACGTGAAATCTCTGCGATAAGTCGACATATCGATGATATACCAACTCCAATTGAAGTAGCTCAATATCGTCAAGCATTTTTTCAATTATATAATCAAAGTGCTGTTTTATATCGACAAACAAAACAAAATTATACATTATATAATACATTTACTGATATGATTAATTATATGGAAAAAGAAATAACACTAATTGAATCAATTTATCAAGGTTATCCACAGTAAGTTAATAGATTTTTAATCAATAAAAATATTTTCTATATTGAATAATTTTAGAGCTATTCAATCACAAAGTGGTAAAGATAATTTTCTAAAACAATTGGAAAACATTGTTGAAAGTGTTAAACAAAGTCGATTTAAAATTGAACAACGTCGACAAGAAGAAAAATCTAAACGTGATGCATTAAATATACAATTAGCACAATTAGTTGATAAAGCTAGACAATATACGAAAGTTCTTAAAGATTTTCAAGAGGTCTGTTTCTATATTTTATGTTTATCGTTCTAAATTTTTTTTCTTTAGGTTATACGAGAAAATGAATATCTCACTTCAAGATCTGAATAAATCTGTAAGACAAAGGATTTGTCATATATTTTCTTTTTGAATAAATAAATTAAAAACTAAAGCGTTAACTGTTTTTTTTTTACTTCGTTACACTTATCGAAACATAATCATTTCTGATTAACAATATTATCATTTGAGTCAACATACTCAACGAAATTTTCATGGATCACCGCATTGTCTTCAAATATAATTAAACTCAAAATACTAAGTTATGTATTTGTTCAAAAAATAATCAGTCGAATACATTTGACAGAAGATATGCTATTCATTACTTCTGAATAAACAGTAACTACTACAAATTTTTTCGTCTGTAGAACTTCGAAATTTTTGAGTGTTTTAATCGTAACACCATGATTTATAGAGTAAATTTAAATATGTGCTTTGATCAAAATGATCAGAGCAACCAGCTTTACATATGACAAAATGTTCTGAGAATCTTGTATTTTTTGCAGTAGACTATCTATGAAAGAATCCATCAAAAATACGATCTGCAGACATTTTATCGTTTATAGTCTGTTCAAGAGTATGATAAAAAAAACTCATTTTTATTCATAAGATGTACATTATGAGATTAATTAGAATTGCAAAATCAAGTCGTTATAACTATTTTCATAAGTCAATAAAGATAATAACATATTATGTCGTGTTGTTTTCCATTCAAAGGAATCTAAAAAATGTCAAATTTGTGACTGTAATTAATTGACAATGAAGATTATTGGACTTGATGATATACCCAATGAAGATATTGAAATAGTCATTGCAGTGAAGACAAATTTTATTATGTATATTTTCAATGCTGGTTTTTGAATCTTTGATTCAATACATTGAGTGTAACACTAGATTTTTCTTGAATCATATTTTTAAGTCAGACTACGAGAAAAGCTCTTTTCTTTTTAGAGTGTAGCGTCTCGATGTATCCAAATAATCATTACAAGATTCTCGTACTTAAATTTATAATGCATAATAATTCACTTTCTTCTAAAGTCTCATTAGGTTTCAGTTTTGTTTCAAGTGTTGTACCGAGAACTTAATGAACCATAATAGATAGTGTTTAGTTTTAAAAAAATTATGAAAAATTGCTTATCTGTCTAATAAATTTATTTATGTAAAATTTAATATAATTAAGTACAGGACAATGTTTCATGTTCAACGCTAACTAATACTTGAGAATTCTTTTGAAAAATGTTTTTGTTTTTAACATGTTGAACAAGTAAAAATGTGCATATAATAGCCGGAATTAATAATATAATATGTATTATGTCAAATATTATAACAGTATATGAATACTTTAAAAGAATTCTTACGGTAACATCAAATAATGTATAAATTAATTTTGCAATTAATAAATAAGCAGATACTTGGATTATTTGCCATATTGTTTTTTTTCGACATACAACAATCAAACACCAAATTAAAACACCAAGAACAAGCAAACAATAACTAATCCAATAAGTTGTATAAGCGACTTTTGAACGAAAAGGAATATAACGAAATGGAATACGTGTTATATGAGTTATTAAATGTGGAAAATAACTTAACGCACTGCTTATATGAAAAAAGACAAGACATATACGATAAAAATGCATGTTAGTGATGTAAAAGTATGTATGAGTATGTATTTAGTGTTTTTCAGAGCTTCAGTTTTCTTCAAGAAATAAGTGGGTAAATGCCATCAGGACCATCATTTATATAATGGTATCTTGCGTTCTTCTAATGTTTCTTATTAAAGACGGTCGGAAATGAAAAGAATGTAAGAGAAATTCCAGAAAAAAAAGAAACTAGTTTCTCATTTTTTTTCACACACCCTTGGCATAATATTCTTCTATTAAGTTATTGATACTGAGTGATGTATAATGTTTCGAGTATAATTCGTTTTGCATATATATATAAAGATGACTATACAGATGAATACTAAAATCTTGAGTTTCTTTTCCAAAGATGTGCTATCAAATTCTCTCAAATGATGATATCATTAAAAAAATCCGTTTGACTTGTTTTGATGTACTTATAGGGCTAAAAGTAAAGATGTATGAAAGATTGCTATTTGTCAGTAATCTCAAACCTAATAAAAATCTTTGTAAAAATACCTTGTTTATATTTATATCTAGATAGACAAATCATAAAAACTTACATTTTTTGAAATCTTACTTTGTAAACTTCTTTACCATATACAAAGCCATAGATAATCTTGATGTGTTCTAATCGATTTTAAAGACGTAAAAAACAAGATTCTAGAAGATGTTGTTGTGATTCCATCTTCTGAATTTAATGCAGCTCTCTATCTAAACCGCTTATTACTTTTTGCTCACTTTTATATTTTTCCTTATAACTTTCAAACATCAAGAGGACCACTTGCTCAGTATCATTCTATTAAGCAACGACTTTTTTTGGTACAATGAATTTGATTTTAATAATAAAGTTACTACTTGAATAGAACGTTTTAGTTACAGTATTTCGTGCCACTGTCTTTTGATTTCCTCAAAATAGATTAGAATAAATCAAGAACGTCTATTGCTTTGATTATGATGAGAATTTTTATGATGAACCGTTTCAAAAAAAAGTGCAAGTTTTATGATTCGTCTATCTAAAAATAAACAGGAAAAAACAGATATTTTTACAAAGATTTTTGTTACTTTTAATCTTAATAACAAGTATTAATCTTTCATGCATCTATACTTTCACTTCTATGAGTCTATCAACGCAAGTCAAAAAGACTTTTTTTTTCTTTATGTCATGATTATAAAGAATTTGATAGCTCATCTTTTGCAGAGAAATTCAGGAGTTTAGCATTCATATATGTAGACGCATATGCAAATCAAACTAGATTGCAAACATATTTGAATAACTGATAGATATTAAAACATTAAATAGACATCTTTTTACGAGAATCTGTTTGAAAATAATAGATTTAAGTTCAATGTTGTTGTATGATTTCGAACAAAAAAAAGGTGAGATTATCTTTTAATATATTATAAATAATAATAAAGAAAAGGAATTTCTTCTATTGAATAAACACTTTTTATTGTTGTCATATTTCCTTTCATATATAAAAATCTTGGATAAAATATAACATGACATTGACATTTAATAAATTAAACTTTTCGTGACGTAGTTTTGTTCCAGATATTTTGAAATCGTACTAAGATGCCTTGCTTCTGGCTTGTCAACTTACAAGAAATTTTTTATTTTCAAGCTATTCTATGCTTGTCATATTTTGTTTATTATAGAATTGTTGATGACATTTGGGATATAAATAGCTAAATTATTGCTTCATAGTGTAATAAATCAAATGAGCATACGTCTATTTAGGTTAAAACTGCAAAAGGAATGAAAGCATCTATTTTATATCAGCTATTTTTTCTCTTACTATTGTATAACACAATATAAGCTTATTGTACTTTGCTCGTCAACAATAATTTCATTGACTGACATATGAAAAAGAAATGATGAAAATAAACAGAAAGTGTATTTCAACTCTTGGAGTATTATTAATTAATCAATAAACTAGATTGGTTAATATTTCTAGAAAAAAAAAAATATACAAAACACTTGTTTATAATAAAATAAAAATAATAAAAATGACTATATCGACATTTACTTGTACATTAAAAATTGATTTTAAGAGAGAAAAAAAGATTGAAAGAAAATTAGTAGAGAGAAATAACAGGAAGAAATCACTTAGCAATCTTTTTGATTATGCCAAAGGTTTGCGTGTTTGTGTGATATACTCGATTAATACATCCTAAAAAACAAAACTTATAATAAGATTCGATATATTAAACTAGCAGATCATGATGAACATAATAGATAGAATCATTGCATTAGACTAAGCTATAATTTTCTTTTCGTAGGTCAAACGTTTGCTTCGAGTGTGACCCAAAAGAACAATTTCTTTTTGAACTATATATATAGATTTGACGCCTACATCAAGTAATTATATATCCATATGTCATCATATTTTCTTTTCTATTATCTAACTGATATAATCTGTAATAAAAAGAAAAAAATATATATATAGAGAGATGTCTTATTTTTTCTTAATGAATATATTTTGAATATTTATTAATAAATTTTAAACAAGTGAAAAATCTCCTCCATTGTTCATTGATATTTCACTAAAAGTTGTTGTTAACAATTCTGCTTGCATTAAATCTTGTTCATGTTGAGAAATTTTTTTGGCTAGCATAAAAGTAATTATTATAGCTGTTACAAATATTAATAAAGTAATAATATTAAAAAATAGTTCTCCAGCTATCGTATGATATGTTTCAACTATATGTTGAATAGCTGTTGAAATCATTTGTAAAAATTCTCCAATTAACAATATTCCTGTTGCACGTATTATTCCAGCACTGTGACAATCACTATACCATATAGCAATAATGCATGATGAATGATAAAGTGATATATAGAACAAACCCGTAATATAATGAATAATTGATGAAACTTGTTTATCATGTTTGAATGAATTTTCAACAAGAGATAAATGAGGATGAAGATTATATATTAAAAAAATTGTAAGTAAAACATGTAAAGAAATAAGTATGCAACGAATATTTTTCATGATTTGTTTTCTTTTTTACGTATAAAATTATTCTTTTTACTGGGTTTCATGCATATTTATAATATAGATACGATTCATAAAAGAATTTTATCTTTTAAAAAATGAATAACATTCTAATAGAAATATTTTCTATGCATACTTCGTAAATATTAAACGAATATAATAACTTCGATTAATGATATAAATTTATCAATCGATGAAATACAGTCCTGGACAATAGTAGCCACTCTCTATGAAGTGCTACTGTTGTTTATGATATTGAACTAATATTTTGGACAGATCCATGCGGATCGCAAGCACCGATACGCGCCCCCTCCTTTGATTCGAGCATGTTCTTCCTTTTGTGAAACATCTATTCAAGGAAATGATGTATTCAAAAAGTTTTTGTTTATCATTTTCCTATTGTACAAACTAATACTGTTTTTATCTAGCAATACAGGTAATCTTCTATATCTACTTTATTATTACCAAAGTCTGTAACACATAGACAAGATATGAATAATTAGCACGTTCTGAGATAGTGAACCTATGTCGTAGCGCTAACTCGAGTTCTGTCAATTCTGCAGCGCTAAAATTTTCAGCACAAACTTGTCGTCCCATAGGAGCTTCCTAAAGTCATTACTAAAAGAATCCATCTTACTAAAAACTACCATTTGCTCTTCAGCATACATTCCCAGTGAGAAGACAATATATCATTTATTTTAAAGTGATTTCTAATCAAATTCCGACTAGAAATAGCTATAATAGTGGAATGTCGAATGAGGCATTGGGCAAAAATACATATATGTGTCAATATGGTTGAAATACAAAGATCACAATAGGAAGGTTATGTCTGAATTGTAGCTCTAGTAAATGTAAACTCATGAAGAATCAGTTGATTCGTGCAATCAGGGTTCATTGTTGTAGACATGTATTCAAAATCTCAGCTCAATATTATAAAGAATAGTAACACATGATGAGAAGTGGCTAATTTTGTCCAGAACAATATTTTGACAATCAGATTGAAGAAATTATCAAGTTCATTTTGTAATGGATATAACATTGAAAATAAAAAAAAATACTATTGGCATTTTTTGTTTTATACATTTTAGATTGCATGTTTTATACGTGTGAAGATAAGAAATGTGTCCGCATATTAAAAATTACCATTGAATACAGAAACAAAAAAAAAACCATGTCCAAGAAGAGTGATGTCTAGTATCTTGTCAAATTTGTTCGATCGAAAATATCAAGTCATTGAATCTTTTATCTTAATAGATTAATTTTATAATCTTTTTATTCGTAAATTAAATTGATAATACTTCATATTGAATTTATCTTTAATTCATTTGTATTTTATTTCTTTTGCTCACGTAGATAAGTTGTTGATATGTTATTTCATATCATCTATCGTTCAATAATGACTCAAGAAAAAATTAGTTGTTATATATGTGTAAAATTCGTATGCGTGATAAATTATACGTTCAATCGTGTCAATTTGTAATAACCCCGAAAAGAAGTATTCGTGATGATTGTATGCGAGAGAAACATTTAGATAGATATCTTAACGTGACAACCTATAGATCTGACCAAACAGTCCAATATTTTAATTGGCCACTAGACATGTCCCAATGATAATGATAGAGAAAAATATCATACATTACTATTATCATTATTAGTTTGTTATTCAAAAGTAAAGGATATGAAGTTTTTACTAGAACAACCAACATATCCCTTATATAATAATCAAGAACGGATAAAACTGTTTCAAGATAATGAATTATTAGATGATAAAGGTAAAACAAAATAGATTAATATTTAATTTTCTCGTTTTATTTACATTATCTTAAGATTCTCCATCATCAATTGAAACTTTACAATCTGTTCTTGAAAAAACATTTTTTACTAATAAAATATCAAATTCAATAAATAATAATGATTTTATTAATAAATCTGACAATTTTTCAACAAATCATTTTGTTTCTACTATAAGTCATAATCAATTCAATACGAATTGTTCTTTATTATCAAAGAGAATACAAAAATATTCTCTTTCAAATCATTCAACAATGGCTATAACAGCAATAACAAGTTTTTCAGAAGAACAAACAAATAGTTTCGATTATGATAATACTTATTTATATCCTGAAGATATAAATAAATTAGATGATATTTCATCTTTGACAACAATTACATCACATTTACCAATGGAATTAAATGCTATTGAACAAGATACAAGTGTTTATTCAGATATGACTAGTTTTCGTTCAGATATAGATGACATTTCAGAATCAATAACATTCGATGTCCAACAAAATAATATCACTTCTGATATACAGTAAGTTAAATTAAAGATTTAAAAAACATATCTTATAAATTAATATTAACTTTCGATTGATATATGAAAGGTATATGATTCTTAAGTATTTAACATTGAACAATAATAGTTTTTAGAGCTTTTACTAATTGTATCGTAAACTGATTTTTTTTTGACAAAATTAGTTAAGATTCACTCAAAAAAAAGATACTTTTCGTTAGAATCATCAAAATTGAGATAAATATAGAGAAAGATAGCCCGTGATTTAATCTCTCATGAACGGCAAAAATTTTTACCCAGTACTTTGTTTTTTTCAAAATTTTTTTAGATTTCCTTCATCCCCTACTCGAAAAACAAGGTGTTTTTGGAAAAATACTGAAAATCTTTTTCCTTTTTTTCTCAGGTCATGATATCTCCAACGCACAACACAAATGTCTCTGCCCCGGCTCATGTAATGTATTTAAATTTTTTTTCCTTGAAATAGCATGTCCAGATGCAGTGGAGTACAGAGTCTTTTTTCATTAAGCTTTGTTTTTACTATAAATACAAACACTTATGTCAATAGAAAGCCATTTTTAGAAAATTTTTGAGTCATTGAACTTTTGATTCCTTTTCTTCTCTTAAAAAGTAAGAAATTTTAAAAGAAGGCTCTGTACTGCACTGCATCCTTACATGCTCTTCAAACAAAAAAAAATAAATCTCTATAATGAATCTGAACAGAGAAATTTGGTTTGCCAAATGAGCTACTTTTGACCCTTGTGTTTAGTCAATATCTTCCTCAAACGTCATATTATCGAGCATAGTTTAACCATTACAGCTCCAACATATCTTGAAAATTTCACGCCATTTGAACGTTCCTGGGCTGAAATCGATTTTTGAGGAGGGGGCGGCCTTAAAATATAAATTTTATATCAGTAGCTTTGCCAGTGATGCAAGTCTAAAGAAAAAGACTTCTTTCTAACGAAATCGCTTAGATAGAATATTCAATATTATTCAAATAGCCTAATATTCGTAGAGAGAGAATTTGAATGATGAAATAGTTGAATTTAAAATACTATTACAGATAAGTTCTTGTCTATATATAAATTAAGTTTTATCGCGACAAAACATCATGTGAATCAATTACTCGTTTGTTTTTTTTTTTAGATGAGATTTATGTAAATATCAAATAGAAGTTTTAATCGAGTCATTAATAATGTCTTAACACAGTAGAGTGACTTGGATTAGTACTTTTTTGTTTTTGAATCGTTTATTATCATCATGTTGATTATTCTTTTTTCGAATCAATACATTCCAGATCTTTGAATAGATTTCATTCTATCTTTCAAAATCGGACTATCATTGTCACGCTTTATTTCATAAAAGAAAATTTGATACTTTGTCAGTAAAGAAACAATATATATGTATTTATTGATAGATCATTTTTATGTAACCTTTTTTTTTTTCTATTAGAAACTTAAATGTCAAAAATGAAGATGAAAATATTATGCCAACAAATCTTAATTTAACTCCATCTAATTGTGAATTTAGTGGTTTAGTTTATGCAACAAAATGTACAGTTATAAAAGAAGACGAAAATGATGATGATGATGATGAACAAACTTTATCCCTTTATGATAATGTTGATTATTATTCTGAACAAAATAATAAGATAAGGTCACATGCAGACAATGTCTCGTTAAATTCATCGATGACATCGTCTATGCAAGACGATCATTGTCCTATGACTTTTACCGGTGAACAACAAAATAAACACGGGAAAAAGAGAACAAATGAACAAGAAGAAGATGATGATGATGATGATGATGAGGATGAGGATGAGGATGATTATTTTATAGTATATCAACAAAAAACAGTTGATCAGTTAACAATGATGAATAGTGAAAATGAAATTGAAATAGAAGAAGAAGAAGAAGAAGGATATGATCATGATGATGAACATTTTGAATCAACTAAATTAGTTGATAATGGACAACATGGTGGAATTCTTTCTGATGAGTCTCAATATTCAGATGATTTAAGGTTAGTTTGTTTTTTTTTTGTCTTTTTGCTAAGCATATCTCGAAAATCAATATTATTAAAAAAAAAATCTTATGATTTAAAACACATGGGAAATTTGCTTCTATATATTCTCTTGATTATTTTATATCTAAATACACATTTATTTTTTAATAGTAAGAAAAATATTTTTATTTGAATAATAATCTTGAGTGATCAAGGTTATAAAAACCGTTATTCTCTTTTATGAACATTTATGTCTGATGTTGCTATATGAACAAAAAGAAATCTCGACTATCAATTAATTTTTTATGATATAAATAATTTTTATACATTAAAAATATAAAGTTTTAATCTATTTGAAATCGAAGATGAGTGTTTAATATATATATTCATTCAGTTGGTTTCGAAATTCATGGTCTTCTGTAATCGCTTTTTTGCAAATCGTGACATATAATTTTTCATCGTTCTTTCGTTTCGTTTTCGTATATGTACATTGAAAGCAACCCACAAAAGGATGTATTCGTTTTAATAATAGCTATTAATACTAGTATAGTCCCAGTTAAGAGTGATGTAATAAGCAGAATAGAATTTCTTCCTCTTTCCACCTTTTTTTTTCAACATACTGTGTAAAGGCGTTAACAAACGTAAAATAGTTCAATCAAGTTATTTCTATCCACCACATATTTAAAAAGAAACGAGCAAAGAATAGCATGATGACTAACTGTATGATGTCGTCGATAGAAATTGACCGTTTCATGCTTTTTTTTTCCTCAGACAAGAAAACACACATACACGCTAGGTCAGTAGTAAAAGAAATGAACTATGGCAGTACCTTTTTGTTTTATTCACTTTGTTGAAATGCTTAACCTTCTATTGTAGAAGATACATTGGCATTTCTCGCGTTTTTTTTTATATATACTCTTAATAGTTCATGGACATTTAACATCAAGGTCTCGTTTCGTTTGTTAATCAAAATTGAAATGTAAATGGAGAAGACATATATAGTGAATTAAGTCAAAGAATCAGTTCATTTTCCAATTCTTCCTTGAGCGTAAGTGAAACTGTATAGACATGTTTGTATTTAAGAGACACCTCATGTACATCACAACTGATTCAACTCAGTTAGAGGTCTCAAACCTTTGTTTGAATCGTCATACAATTCAAAAGTCATCAATATTTGACAACAAAGTTTAAGCGATATTCCATCTTCTTCTTTGAAGAAAATTCTTTTGGAAAAAGGATTTTTCTATTGACGTCTTAGCATATTCATAGAAAATTCTAATGAACAAAAACTTTATTCAGATTATTCTAATATCTTGAGAAAGAGATCTCCACTGAGGCTAAAAATGTATTACTATATCAAGAATAACATGTTCTACGACATTGAATCAATTTTTCACACATCTCAAAACTTGATTGAACACTTTTTCATTATGGTAGTAGGTCAAGACTCACATGGAATAGCTCAAAATAAATATTTCCCTAGTGAATATTTTTCACTTGACCTTGATAAGTCGCATGCTATTCATTCTAGACATAATAAGAATAATATATTTATCTTAACTAGCTAAATTGAATTCTAAGCATAAGATTAATTTTGTTTTAAAAAATAATCAAAAAACATTACTTCTATTCAAAAGACATATTAATAATCTTTTGATATCTATTTTCTATCAAATATTTATCTCTTCAATAAATTGTTTTATTTATATAGATATTCATTAGATACAGCACAAAATAGTTGTACTAATGATGATCATAATAATACAAGTTCAACATTACGTCAAGAAGCAATTTCAATAACAAAAGTTCGTTGTAAACAACGTAAAAATTGGATACATTCATCATCAACAGTCAATAATAATTCAAGAAATTTTATTAAGCCATTTTCCTTAAATAATCATGGTAAGAATAAATAAAATAATAAATTTTCATTTTTTTACAAATAGGTACTATAAGACAGTGATTACTTTATAATGGGTAGGGCATACTCAGATGTAATATATACTCTCTTTCTCTATTTGCTTGATTCAATTTTGCATAGTATAAAATGTATGAAAGAAGAAAAAAAAAAAAAAAAAGAAAAACTGAATTCATCGGTTACTATCGTTCTAGTTGATGGAACGAATATAACTTCTACCTGTCTAAACGCAAACATGAACTCAACAACACGTGTTCAAACAGCAGCTACAATGTTGTTACACAAGAATTCTGTAGAGTACGTAAAAAATTCCTCATTTTTTTCGAATATATTCAATTGAGAGAAGAAATCTGTGACTCACTTAGCAAACTGATTCACATTCATTTTAGTTTATGATTTATGCATAGATTAACTAATCTTTCGTGCTTCTTTTTTCTTTTTTTTTTATTATAGTTGTAATAAAAATGAAAATAAGAATGGTGAAACACTCTCTTATGACTTCCTACAGTCGAATCAGAATCATGGTTCGATGAAAACTGATAAATCAATATTGTCACCAATGTTAAAACCAAACAACACATATGATAAAGGTATTATAATAGAAAAAAGAATCTTTGTGCGTAGTATTGGCAGCAACAGAAGTTTCTTTTCTTTTTCTTGTCGGCAGGTAAAATGCAAACGACCATGACGACGGCCGTCCTCTTACACCGTTAGTCGTCAGTCGTGATCCCACTCGCTCTCCTTTTTTCGATGAAAAAAAAAAAGGAGAGAGAAAAAAAAAGAAGAGAGAGAGAGAGAAAGACAAAACAATCGACGTAAGCTTGATGTTGTTGTTTGCATATATTTTTCAGGTAAAAAAAAACCAAGGGTGCATCTAATTTCTTTTCTTTTGTGATTATATAAATAGATCTATATATGGTAAAGCCTAATCTACCTACATTTCAATCCACAAGAAAATAACCTGTAAGCAAAAAAAACATGGGAGAGTATTTTTCTTTTCCTTTCATTCCTATGAGAGTGAGTAATCACTATTGGTATATATTTTGTCTGAAACATCTGTCTATTCATTTTTTTTAATCTTTAACATTATACGTAAATCCAAACTTATCGATATGTTTTCATATGCATCCAACTGACAGCAACTTGTTGAACTCTTTGAAATGAATGATGCCATTGCGACATACTCGTATTTCATCTACAAATTTTTGTTTTTTTTATTCTTCATCTTCTTCTTCCTTTGAGTTGTGTATTGAATCATGCATACTCACTCATACACGTTTTCTTCAGAATATATATATTGACTTATTCAAATAATGATAATTCTCTTTTAGATGCATCATCATCAACAACAAGTAAAAACACAAACAGTTTCTATTTAATTCATCATCAATCATCTTTAATTCCTATTCAAGATTTATTAAATAAAAATATTAATACAAATATTGAAATTATACAAATGGATGAACAAGAATGTATATTGGAAATAGTCGATGGAGTTTTAACACTTGTACCTAAAGATAAATCAACATCATCAACAAGCAATAGTTATGGAGAAAAATCTGAAGAACAACGAAAAAATTCCATTGATTATCAAAGAAATAATAATTATGGTAAGAGAAGAAATCGAGAAAAAGAAAGCCTTGATGTTACGTTTTTTTTACGAAATTCAAATATGATGACTAAATAAATAAACTGAGATGTAAAACATCTGTTTAAAAACGAAAAGCGTGTGAACAGAGGTCGACTAAAATTTAAATTAAGCTATTAAAAGATAAGAAGGATTATATTACTTTTCCCTTTTTTGGTAGTCTATTCAGTTCGAGTCCCAAGTATTTGCACTCGATGAAATATAACCTATGAAAATAAATATTTTATGTAGATTCTTCGAAACGCAAAGAATGTTCATTATCAATAGCATCATCGATTTCTACACCATCTATATCAGAACATGAACAAGAACAGGATCAAGAACAGGATCAAGAACAAGAAGAAGAAGAAGAAGAAGAAGAAGAAGAAGAAGAAGAACAAGAACAAGAGCAAGTACAAGAACGTGATGAAATAACATCATCATCCCGATTATCATGGAATCAAGAAGAAGCTCAAGGACCATTTATACTTCTACGTGATATTCCACCAAAATCTCCTCCTCTTCCATCACAATCTGAACAATCTGTTGATTTACTTGATTTATTTTCTACTCCATTGGTACCAATATCAAATTCCAATACTTATAACAATGAAAAAAATACGAAAAATTTACTTGATGATAGTTTATCATCTGTTTCATCGTATGAAAATAATAATAATAATAATAATTCAAGTTCTGATTCATTTGAAAGAAAAAAGCTACGTTCATCATCACCGATACAAAACCAATCAAAGTCTTCATCATCAACATCATCATCATCTACATCAATCAAAGGTAAGTTTAAAAAAACAGATTCCATTATTATTCTAAGAAGAATCAACAAAGAAAAAGAAAAAAATGTTTTAAAAACGAAGAATTTCATCTTTCGATACGAAACTATCTTGACTGATTAGTAATGAAAATGAACGAGATACATGTTAGAAATCTTATTTACCATATATAGAGATTCGTAAATATTTAGCTGAAAGCTCGTTATTTCTAATGAAAAATAACCTTCGTTTTTTGATTATAAATTGCAACTGAACTCCATTTACATCTCTTGAGAGATTTCGTGACATATATCAATGCTTGGTATTGATTATAAATCTTTTTCTCTCTGTCTCTGTTGAATATTTTCTTCATTACATTTTTCATTATATACCTTGTTTCGAGGATATATAAATACTTAAAGTAGAATGAGATTTCTTTCTTTTGTTTTAAAATGATTGTTGTATTTCGTTATTTTCTTTTTTTTGTTTTATTATATCCGATGTATAACACTCTAATTGTTGTACGATGTTTATTTAATCTCTCGGCCTCGCATTGACATTCTTCTTCCGAAATAGAAAGAATAAAAATGAAGAGGAGGTTAGACCGAAGGTGGTACAATTCTTTTCGGAAGACAAGCTAGTTCATTTATTCTTTTTCTTTTGTTTATTGAACAATTTATCTTCGTTGTTACTATTTTAATCTCTTATGTATGTGTATGATGAGAACGCAACAGATTGTTCATTATTTTATTCTTTGTCTATTGCAAAGATCGCTGACCTAACTAATGGACAATTTGGTACGTGTTAACTTAATAGTGCCATTGTCTCATCCATTTTTATTGAGTACAGACACTTAAATGAATTTTATATACATCTTGAGACAATAGTTAATGTTATATAAGTGACTATTTTTGTTTAGACGATATTCCTCCAGTGTCATCATCAAATCAAAATTCTGTTCTAATTGAACTAGTTCAAACAGTTGAAAAACCTGAATTAATCGACGAAACAGAAATAAATTATCCAATACCCAAAACTGAACCACCACCAGCGGCTAAGCCAATAAATAGAGCTCGTATAAACGAATTTGCATCTCTTCTATCATCATCTGTTCATTTGGCTCCACCACAAGCAATTAAAAAACCAGAAACACCTAAAATCATTACAACTGTAAATCGACCACCACCACCATCATCACCTTCACGTTCTGAAGATCAAAGTTTTTCTTCAATTCCGTCAGTAAATAGTGATCGAGACGAACGTGAATCATATCATACAGTGAAATCAAATAATAATTCAGAACAAGAACAAATAAAAAAACACATTGATGCACGTTATAACGAAAAAGTTGACGACCGAAATTCCATACAAATAAATACATCAAATATAAAAGCATTGTTTGAACAAAAAATTTCTGATACAAATAAAGCATTAACACAATCAAGTGAACATTTATTACATTTGAGTGAAGCGAGGCAACACCATAAAAAAGTACCAATCAGTTACGGAAGTTTAAAACGTAATTTGCCGACCAATCCTCAACAAACAACACCAATACCTAATCGACGACAGTCACAGCAAGAATTTTCAACTATGAATAGATATACAGATCATATTGTTGGAACAAAAGATGTTGTCATTGAAGATAAACAGGTATGAAAAATGATGGAATGGAAAAGTACGCGTATGAAAATACTGAGTATGTCAATGTGAGATTACATTTTGACAATATATTAATATTAATCTATTTATTTTCTATCCTTGATTAAAAAAAAAAGAAAAAAGAAATGAAAAATTGAGAATTTCATACGTGTGACTAGAAAAGAAAATATTTTTCTTCTCTTTTGGCTAAATAATAGACGATGTTATTACTTATCAAATATATATGAAGAGCAATCAAATCTTTCTCTAGTTCAACACTCATCCACTATGGATGCTTGAGATTTTGTAAAGTAATAAATGACAGAAGAACAGAATAAGTCTGGTCTATTGAAGTGGAATAATAAATATCCTCAGGTTAGTATTCAAGATTGATAATAAAAGATCCAATACTAACCCTTTTATAGTAGCATAACACAAAATAATTAGTCAGAGTATATATTACACTTACATTTTATAACATGAAGCTTCATTAGACAACTGCTATCAGTTGGTAGACATTATTTTTTATGATTTGATTATCATTTTTTTTTGGATCTACTAATTGTTGTCGTATTTCAACTTATGAAAACAATTACTTGCTCCTAGAAAGAGTTAATCAAATCGTGGAATATTCTATCAATCAACTCATTTGGAACACTAGTCTATAGCAGAAGAGTAAAGTATTTGTTCAGAGATGAACATCTCTCATTGTAAACATATTCACGTGAATGTTTCTCTTTAATCACAATTAAATAATCAAGATAACATTTGGTATCGTAGTATTTGGTTTATCTAATCATACCAACCAAATGCATAATCCGAATTCTATTGTCTTAAACTTATTGAATAATAATTTTAGCCTGAACATGGTCATCAAACTCTACATTATGTCAGTAATATACGTCGTAATAATACGGAAGAAATAATTCGTCCTGGAATTGATTCTTTAACAACATCACCAGTTTCAATACCAAATGGTTACTATTCAGAATCTTTAATAGCTCGTGAAATTCGTGAAACAAAAGAAAAAGAAGAAGAATTACGACGACAACGTAAACAATGTGGTCTTACTGAAGATTTATCATCTTTAATAATGATATCAAATAATGATTCAAACAAATCTGATTCATCAACATCAACAAAACAACCAGTTAAAAGTAGTTCATTCTTATCAAATTTAGATTTTTTTACATCAAAAACAAATAATACATCAAATGAATTACCATCACCACGTCGTTCAACAATAGCAATACAAAATATTACTTATGATTCTCATGCATCAGCAGCATCATCAAATGATGATCGTAAACAAATTTCTAATGTTGTTTCACAAGAATTAAATCGTTTTAATAATAGTGGTGTACCTATTATTCGTACAAGTTCAACAAATAATTTAATTCATCGTTCATCATCAAATCAAAATATGCAATCAGCACAAAATACAAATAATATAATTCAACGTGAAATTGAAGCTATACGTGCTAAAGAAGCTGAATTACGTCAATTAGGTCGAATACAACATACAAGTGATGAACATTCTGATCCAAGAAAATATCAAGAATTAGTTTCAACTTTACCAAAAAGTCAATCTGTTAATACACTTTCAACAGGAAAAGTAAGAAGAGATAGTGGACGATCAACTGGGCCTTTGATTGCATCATCCAATGGAGTTTTAAAACCAAAATCAACAAATAATACTTCAAGTAAGAAATCTTTTATTTTATTTATTTTATTTTCTTACTTTTAATTATTTATTCTAGCAGCTTCATCAATACGTGGTAAATTTCCAAGTCCAAATCCTACAGCACCTATTATTAGCTCATCAAATAAATCAACTGATTATTCAAAATTATCAACAACCGATCGACTTGAATTAGAAAAACGTGAATGTCAAGAAAGAGAACAAGAATTAAGGTAAAATTTTTATTAGTCTAATCAAAGCATATAGTAACTCTTTATAAAGATTTATATCTCAATAATTTTAATTTTTTTTCTATGTTACAATTACCAAAAAGATGAAAATGAAGATAAATCGAGTTTCATTTGATTTATGTATATATATATATATATATTTATAAAAAACTAAAAATATCTTATTCAATGCAAGTAAAAAATTAGACACTGGAACTGTTCTATGGATGAGTTTATATTAATAAATAAAAGAAAAAACTACTTGCTAAATTATAACTTAACAATATTAATGTTATTTAGAAAACAACGTCATTCAATAACTGGTGCTACATCATTCGTTAATCCAACAGTGAGTAATGATTCAGGAAAGGTATTACAAGATGAACATGAAGAAGATCAAGAACGTTATTTTGATAAAATAGAACGATTAAAACGAACAGAAAACGAAGTAAATTTTTTTGTTTTTTAATATATAATTCAAAATTTAATTTAATTTATTTTGTGCTTTCTTCTTTTAGAAAGCTCATGCCCCAATAATTCGTCCAGCAAAAAAATTAGATATGTCACAAAAATGGGAACAAATGATGGCGAATAAAACATCTGGTGATAATGATGATTAAAGTGAATTGATTTGTTTTTTGTTTTCCTTATTTACATTTAATATACGGGTGCTCTTATTGAAGACAAACGTTCTTATAGTCATTCCATTGCTTTGTTTTTTTTTCTTCTTCTTTAATTAGTTTGAAATTTCAATAATTTTTTTCTTCTTTTATTGTATATTTATATTCGCTAATAACTTGTAATCAAAATCATAACATATATATACAGCAAGAAAAGAAAAAAAATCTTAAAATAATCAAGTTCTGAATTATTTCTTGTGTTGTAACAAAATGTTTTGTTTTCTTTATTATTCTATAATATATCTTTTCTTTTAATGTTATTTGTTTACTAGAGATATTCCCTAGAGAAATCTTGAAAGAAAAAACAAGAATCATTTGAGTAGAAAAATGAAGTATTCAATAAAAATAGCTAACTGCACAGAGTGTATGGTATATGCATAGTAGGTTATTAGGAGGAGTGCAAAAATCAGAGAATAACAGCTTAAAATAAAACTTTTATTGATCAATACAATGAAAACTTTGGCATATTTTCTGTTCATGGTTTCTTCAAATAAGAAACATAGAACATATGTATAAATCATACACAAGACATGACCAAGATATAATCATATTGTCATAGAACACACAAATACGAAATTAAAAGAAAATAACGGTGACATAGCATATTTCTTTTATTACGGATCAAAGCTGAATTTTAAACTCCTATTGAGAGTTCTGTAAGTAATTTAACATTAATTTCCTGATCATTATATTCATTGAGAAGCACAGTTTGTGTCATACATTTCTTTATTATTTTCAATGATCTGATAACAACTATTAAGGTTCTCTCTTTTATACACCTAATTATGAATATTGCGCACATAACATGACTCTTTACTACGATTCAATTATTAATCACAAAATAATAGTGATGATGAGAATAGAGACTAGTAGAAATCTATTCTTTAAGACAATAAAACTTATAAAAGATAACTAACAAAAAAAAATTATATGTGAAAATCAAATATGCTCTGCTTTTTCTAACTTGTTCGAACATGCGACGATGCAATGCAAAATTTGTTATATCATGTGTTCATGAATTAGATTACATTGAGGATTACTTATCTAAGAAATATTATCTTACTTGCAATTATTACCTGACTTCCTGGATTTACGCTATTGACATGTTAATTTCACGTCAATATCTGAAGATAAATCATAATAATGTGAATGATGGCATATAACCAATACAGAGCTTACTTTCACCATTGGTAATATCATCGATTGCGTTATAACTAGCGTTTACACCATCAAATTTATTGTAACTATCGTAGGTTGATTTGGGATCGATTATTGTTTTTTTCATATACATCAAGTCTGTTATCTGAATCTTGAAAATTTTCGTAAGGTATTGTCCAGTTTAATTGACAGTTTATAGCAGGTTTTTATTTGCTGCAGTATCATCAACACATATGTGTTGAAATAATGTATCTAATAATAAGTATCACTGTAAGAATCATTCAAAATAAAAATCGATATCAACAAACATCATGTATAATATGAGAAAACAACAACTATCTATGCAGACTAAAGTAATATTCATTTTCTAGTTGTGAAGCGTACGCTCGAAAAGAACTGTATGAATAAAATATTTATCATCAAACCAACTATCACTTCACTTATTGATTAATAAAATCGTATTCATGTGATGCATATATGTAACTATAATCAGCGTATACCTGTAATATATATGTATGTATATATTTATGTACGAATATGATACATCGAAAGATAAAAGCAAATAATAAAAAAAAAATGTTAGGCATACTAAAATATACGTTAGTCCAGAGGTATACAAATGTGTTAACGCGTGACTTAAAAAAACATCATTGTTTTCTTTTTTATTACAGGAAAAAACCATACTGTGACTCCACTGAAGCGTAGTCTGCATTATTTTTTCACACATAGCTGATATTTCTTTAGATATTACCAATCATTCACTGATATTTTTTGTTTCTTGCTATAAGAGGAAGATATATTGAAAGTGTTTTCAATAAAACATAGATTACATCAATATTTCATATCCAATATCTAGTCTTCCTAGCTGCTATCAATCGTTAGACAATATTTTTCTCGTTTTGTAACGAAAAATGAGAAGCGAAATACGTAGAGTAAATGCACAGTGAACTAAAAATAATGCCTTGTTGAATTATAATACATTGAAATCTGCAATGATTGATCATGAAAAACAGATTCAAATGAAAACAAAATTACTCTACTTTGTAAGATATGAAGAAATCATGTTATTGCAGAAATTTAATATGTCAATTGAAATTTGTTTTTTTTCTGTTACATAGATAATTAAAGCTAGAACAACAAAACAACCTTGGGACACTCGAACGATATATAATTACGATATCATTATTGTTTCTTAAGTATATACAAGTATCATTTGTTAACATCTTTTATGAGAACTGAATTTATTAATCCTCTTTACCATCATATCATCTTTATTGATACACTTATCATTGAAGAGAAAAATAAATGACACTATATTCTTCGGTCTTTTTTTTATATGTCCTGTGGATTCTTGCAGTGATACATAAATTTGATAGTAATATAACTGCATTGGTAAATGATAATGGAACTAATTATGAATTAACACGTATTGATTGAAATGCTGTGGTGTGAATTCTTGAAACTGAAAATGAACAATGAGAACATGATTGTTGTTTCTTAATAACAGCTCAACTTGTTCTTCGTATGCGTCTTGAACAGCAAAATAATTACCTAAAAATACTTAATTACGTCTTCATACAACTGTTTTGTCAATTGTTATGGTTAATACCAAAAGTCTAGTAACAAAAAATTCAATTCAATCAGATTAAATAATAGTTGAATCATGAGGCACTAGTTAGTAACACACAAATATATGTGGAGATTTTTGTCTAACCTTGATGTTGTTATTTTTAGAGTACGGGTGACATGACGATGGCAGGATAAATTAGATGTAATGAATATATTCACCTCACGAGAGCTAGTGAATTCGATGATGAAACACGTTCGATGAACAGAGTTATTTTTTATGTAACAGATGTTAAAATAGATCGTTGGTATTATCATGGACCATTAAGAAACCAAGGAGCTACCTACTGGTCTTGGATCAATTCATTCATTGCTGAATGTGAATAGCAGAGCATTTATATCATCAATAACAACACAATAGGAAAATCTACGAAATATTATTATACGTATATTTTTTTCTATTGTTTATTCATTTTTTCATTAATAGTTTTGATAGAAATATGTCATAGTGTGTGAAATATTTTAAAGACAAAAGTACTTTTTTCAACTGAATCGAAATTGCAAAAATAACAATCGGATAGTTTTGTTCGTCGATTGATAGTTCTAATGATTTATCATTCACAGATAATAATCTTCATTATTTATTTTTTGATACTATTTCATAATGTGTAATCGACAATGCATTGAAAAAAAAACTGTATATAAGCTTATTTATATCATCAACAAAACATTGAATATAAGCAAATGTTTTATTTAAAAATATTAAATATACATAAAGTAATCAAGTCAAACATATTCAGTAGTAAGTGGTTTTATTCTTTTATCATAATCATGTTCATACCATTTACTACCCGGTGTTGAAGGCTGTGATTGAGTTCGTTTTACGATAGACAATGTATCTGCTCCATAGCTATTTATTGACTTTTTATCAGATGATTTTAGAACATGATTTGTTACTAATATTGGAGCTTTTTCAAAATTGTTCATTGTTACTGGAAGAGATGGAGATATGGTTGTTGGTGGAAGTGGTTGCTGTTTAACTACAACAGGAGTGGAAGATTTTTGTGCTACAACAGAAGTTGAATCAATGACAGGTTGAGAAGTTAGTATTTCTTTATTGACAACAGGGGTGATAAGACTTGTTGTCTGAAGAGAAGGCGGATCTTCTGCAAGTGGACGAGAAGAGATTGCATCTGCTTTAAGTGTAGAAGGATTTGTACTTTCGTTTTCAGTAGCGGGTGGAGGTGGATGATGATGATGATGGTGATGATAATGATTGTGATCTTCAGGTATGTGATGATGATGACGATGATGATGATGATGATGATGACGATGATCATTGCTTTTTGCACTGTGTGAATGGTGAACATGACTATGATGAGTTAGAGGACGTTCTTCGACGGCTTCCTGTAATACAACAGTTAAATCTTATTTATAAAAACAAAATAATCCTTGGCATACTACTTACATTGTTTGTTGGCGCTTGTGAAAAAAATTCCTTTTGCAGATATTCATCACTAGAAACTGCAGGACGATTTGGAGGACGTGCAGGATAATTTTGAGGATATGCAGAATAATTTGGAGCATATTCAGGATAATAATATTGTTCAGGTGCATATTGATTAGGATAATAGTTATACCCATTGACTGAACCAAGTACAGGTGGCCTTCTACCAGATGGCTGAACTGAAGTTTTTTTACTGTTTCCTTTGACTGTATTGTTTGTGTTACCCATTGTATTGAAAATGTACGAAAGAAGAAAAGAAAAGTTGTCGTTGATTTAATTTGATAGGCATGCTGTCCAAATGGGATTAAATAACATCTACTCAGTAGTCATGTTTATTCAAATACATTACACAAAAACTAGATATTTTCATTTTTTAACAAATTACTCAATAAACAAATATAAGTTAACGTTTTTTATTTTTTATTGATTTAGAAGATTTTTTTTGATTGGTTCGATTTTTGTTTGGTGAACTTCTTCCGATGTTGAGAACGAGATTTCGATTGATTATTATCATCGTCTTCACTTTCTACATTAGTCATAGGCAATGTAAAATTATTTAATCGATGAGAACCTATGTTATATGATAGAAAAATCATGTAACTTATGTATTTATTTATTTGTTCAAAACGTACGTGTGGAGAAACGAGTACTATAATGTATTGTTCGATCTATGATAGGTAAAGGTGATGGTTCTCGAATTGGTATTTCATTTTCTAAATAAAAATGATGTTCAAATAGAATTTGTTGTAGAAAATGAAATATACCATTGGTTTTTTTCGTTTTTCGTTTATTAGCTACTTTTCTTTTTGGTTGTTTTTCTTCCATTTCAACAAATGAAATGGGTTTTCTTTTACGTAAAACAATCGTATTAGATTTTGTATCATTATCTTCTGATACGGATTGTTTTCGTTTTCGAGTTTGTTTTATATTTTGTGTTGTATCAATTGATTCTGATGCATTTTTTATGGTAGAATGTGTTTGAAGTCTAGATATTGGTTCTGGAAAAGTAAAAGAATTTCTAAAAAGAAATATTTATACGTAATTGCGATAAAAAAAAGAAGTAGAAGTTTACTGCTGATCAATATTTGATTCTTGTTGACTTGAATCAGTAAGTTTTGGTCGAATATAAGCATTATTATTTTCACTATTATTAGTTTTTTGTGTTTTAAGATGATTCAATAAAAATGTTTCATTAACTCGATGAAGTATAACTCTTGGTTTGACTAAATTGACTAAAAAACATTTGTTAATCAAATTAAAGAATTTTTTATTGTTTACTAGTTTGATTCTGATCAAATGGTGAAAGTACATTTTTAATTGATTCAGATGGTTCATCTTGAATAAATGTTGGAGAAAAACAAAGTCTGGCTGGAAGATTAGGTTGAGAATACATTGGGGATGCATGCATTTCTGTTGAAGGTATATGTGAAGAAGTTTGAATTGGTAACAATCTATTAACTTCATTGTTTGTTGTTTCTTCAGATGTAATAACATATGTTTTATTGATAGAAGGAAGAATTTGATTAGATTTAATCGAATGTGAAACAATACTAATACGTTCTTGTTTAGTTGATATGAGATTTTCTGTTGATGAAGAATGATCAATATTGATGAGTACTTGTGGTTGATTATTCTAGAATAATAATAAATAATTTGAAATAGCTAAAAGAATTAATTACAGGCAATTCTAAAGTATTTTGTTCTTCATTTATTGTTTGAATATGTTGTATACATGGATGAATATCATGAGAAGTAATTAAATTTCTATAAAAAATTTTAACATAGGTAAGAAAATTTTAGTGTAATTGTGAGTCAAATCATATATGAAAACATACTGGTCAATAGCAGAATGAATTTCTTTCCAATATTCATTTTCTTCATGAAGAATTTTTTGAATAACACTACAATGTTCTTGTATAATGGTACGAATATTTTCCATGCGCTGAAAGTAAATTTCAATAGTTTGAAATTTTTATGGAAAAAAAATTTTTTTATTTTACTTTTTCAAAATAATTTGGTAACGATTGTGAAGCTATTTCTGTTAACCTATCAAATATATGAAGTTTTTTTTCATGTTTAAGTAAATGTTCATTTGTTTCAGTTATAGTTTTTTCGATATCAAGATTTTGTAGATGGATATCTTTTAATTGTTTTTCATATTGTACTAAAAGAAAATATGTTGTAATGAAAAATAATTGTGCCTCATTTATGCTACCATTAATACTGATTTCAATTAGTTTTCGAGCTTGTCGATATTTAGCACGTGTAGCATCAAAACGAGTTCGATCCCAAGTTAATGGTATATCGAACACTGTTCGGTTGATAAAGGAGAACATTGAACAGTGATAGAATCTTACTAAAGTTAATGATAAAAAGAATCGTTTGTATTTATTTCAGAACAAAGACGTCTGTTTGTTCGTTCGTTCGCGTCAATCATTATAATAAAAACCAGTGATTGATCATTGATCGACAGATGTCAGATATTGCTTTGAAATGCGAAAGAGAATAATAGTGATGTCTTTAGTTTCTTATCGATTTAAGAGTTACGATATCACAAAGTCTAAATGGGACATGTACCATCTCAATATAGGTGCACATAACATATATGTCTATGTAAACTGGATGTTTGTATCAGATTCCAAAACCTGACTCTGACTTGAATGTAGGTGTATATGACAAAGATGAGAAGACTTACATCTACAACCTCATCGAAAGGACCGAAATTCTAATAGAACGAAAAAGAAATGTATTTTTCAACTTTCGATCAATCGTTGCACCTGTTGTTGATTTTTTTCAGATCGACTTTACTAGAAACAACTTTTTGTCGTTTTGATGTAGCGTTCAAGAAGAAAAAACATTATAGTCATCAATAATTTCTTCATGCAATGCCATCATTGACAATCCAACTCTCCTATTTCTGCTCATGCATATTCCCATCTCACTGAATGTGTCTCGGTGTATTGCTGTCTCCCTTATCAAGTATCTAGCAAAAAGCAAATATATGATCGGTAGAGAAGATGATGTTTTCATGTGAAAATTTGCTGTTCTTTCAAAAAGAAAGGGTTTTATCTGATCATAACTTTTTAATGAAAATCTGGCAAGGATTGTGTTCAATGTCTCTTTTTTTAATTTTATATAGGAAGTCTTTTCAATGTGAAGTCATCCGCGACAAGACTGTAACTATTTGTCTGCTACCATTTTATACCTATTAAGTTTTAATACAAAGAAGTGTGCTCAATATTTTAGATCATTATATAGACAGCGTTCAAAAACTCTAAAATCACTTTTCTATAGGTTTGTAACATTATTTAAGAACACATTCAGAATAATCTAATAAATGGCAAATCATGATATGAGTTTTGTCGATTCTAAAAAATCTCTGGATTCTGTTGATTCCTGGAATTCTATCACCTCTATGGTTCTCGATTGTCTTTGAGAATGGGATGAGGGAAGACATTGGCTTTCTATTTGGCAGATAATGATCAAAAATTTTCGCAGACAATGCATTGAAGATTTTCTTTTCAAAGACAGCTAGTGGAAATTTTCCGGTTTTACATAAAAACTGATGATCGGGGGGGGGGGGGGGGGAAGAGGGAAGTAGTGCGGCAAAGGTCATCTTATTCCACCTCAAATGTCTGCCAAATCCTGAGAAAAACTGTATAAAAAATGAAAACGTCTAATTTCTATTAAAATTCATTAAGGAACTGAAAACATCTGCCAGACAGTAAAACAGGTTTTCAATTTTTTGGGGAGAGGGTTGACCTTCCCAGCCCTCCCCTCCCTTCTCCACATCGAGAGCCATGATCACCTCGATGATATGAAAACTTTGGTCTCTCCAAATCGTTCAGTTCTTTCAAATCCATGAATTTCTCGAAATATTCGAATGTGTTTGATTTCTCGAAGTTTTCGGATTTTTTCGGAATCCTTAAGGAATATGCAGTTTTTGGTCGTTTGAATTCCTTGAAATCCTATAGTTGCATGAATGCATAGAACTTTTTGGAGTCTCTCTGACGCTTACAGGTCCTTCAATATGTCAAGTCCCGAGAACTCATGGAATTGTTTTCGTTTCTTGACCTTCTCTAGTATTTTATAATGCCTTTCGTCAATAGGTTCTTCAAATAAGTGTTAGTGTGTGCATCATGTATCATGTGATGTTCATGCATTACTTCAAACACTGTATATCACATATACTTAGATCGTATCAGAATACTGGTTATTGTATACATATATATATTACTACAAGTTTCCTTGATTATATGTGTATGTGTCTACCTGAGTTTGATGGTACAGAATATCAAATTGATAATCGATTATATAAATCAAATATTTGTTGAAATGATTCTATGTTATCGTTCATTACCATTGTTTTAAAAAAAAATCGTTTCTTTTTGGTTACATCTTATGAAAGATTAAATACGTCATTTGAAAGTTTATACAAAATAAACAAAAGAAAGTTATTGTGCAAAGAGAACACTCATTTAAATGATGATATCTGTTGATGATCATTTTTAACTATACATGTGAAACTCTTTAAAGAAGTTATCATATAAGAGATAATTTAAGAAAACAACTCAATCTTTTTTCACTAGTCAAAAAATTATTTTTGTCAATAACCATCCATTAATCAAAGTATCGAATCGAAAAAAAAACTATTTAAAGCAACGTTTGCTGATGTATATGTGAGCAGTTCAAAACCATATTTTATATCAAATAAATAATATAATTTAAGAAGAGAAAGTTAGTTTTGGAATCAACTTTTTTCTTCTTTTATGTATATGATTAAAAAATACTGAATATATTACGAATAATTTATGACCCATATATGAAGCTATTTTCAAGTCAGTGAATTTGTCCGTTCCAAGAGGTTTAATTGGCACTCATACATAAAATTTCTTTCTGTTGGCTTTAACTTTGTACTAATTGCGCGTTGAATATCGAAGTATTTCTCAAAATATCTGCTATATAAAAAAAAAGAAAAAACAGAAATTCGTTTTTTATTGATAACTGTAAATGTTTCTCTGTACTAAAGATAGTCACAGCTTGCATGATATTAATGATCATGATAATGATTGTCAAATATTATCCACATGTAGGCGGTGTTTGCTTTTTCTTTGTTTTTTTTCTTTTATATAGGTTTCATGGAATAGCATTGAAAATTACAGTGAATAAACGATACAATCTGTCTTAGAACATGAAAAAATCATCAAACAAGATTGATACTAATAGCAATGATGACTATGAAGTTGAGAAACAAAAATTATTGTATAAACTTGATCTACATCTACTTCCAACTCTTTCGTACGTTTTTTAAACTTTAACAAATAAAAAAGCAATGTTTTAAAACTTTTTTTCAGCATTCTTTACTTGCTGTCGTATCTCAATGGAACAAATATTACAAATGCAAAATTATTTGGTCTTGAACATGATATTCACCTCACTTCAGAACAATATCAATGGTAAAATGTCTCCTTTTTCAGTCGAATTTTTCATATGGATGTCATTCTTCCTAGGTGTTTATCAATCTATTTTCTTGGTTTTGTAATTTTTCAAATACCATCAAATATTGTTCTTCGTCGATATCAACCATCTAGTTGGATTTCTCTAATCGCTTTTCTATGGGGTAAGTACAACATCTATTATATGAGCTTGCGATATCAGCGTCTTTTCCAAATAATTCAGTCTATTTACCCTTTTCTTTAAAATAATGAAGTACTTAAAAAAAATTCATTTACCGACAAAAGTTCATCATATTATAATCATGCTTTCACAGGTTTAGCAGCAGTAGGTATGGCAACTGTAGATAGTTTCGAAACTCTACTACTAGCTCGATTTTTACTTGGGATTTTTCAATGTGGCTTTTTTCCTGGATTTATCTACTACATATCATTATGGTATCAAAGAAAAGAACAAGCTATTCGACTTGGATTCTTTTGGTCATTTTCAGCACTTGCAGGAGCTTTTGGTGGTTTATTTGCATATGCTATTGCTCAAATTAAATTACCGAAACTAGCTGAATGGCAACTTATCTTTATTGTAAACTTTCTTTGTGCTTATTTCCTATATTGCTTGTGTTTGTATATAGATTGAAGGTATTCCAACAATTATTGTTGCAATTCTCTGTTGGTTTTATCTGCCTGATTCACCAGAACAAGCAAGATTTCTGACTGATAAACAACGTCAATTAGAAATTGATCGTCTTATAGAAGATGCTGGTGCATCTCATCATGATTCATTTTCGTGGTCACAAGTTCTATCTGTTTTTACTGATTGGAAAACCTATATTTATGCTATGATATACATATGTGGAACTACTTCTTTGCAATGTATAACTCTTATTTTACCTACACTAATATATGAAATGGGTCAATGGACATCAATGGAAACACAATTAATGACGATTCCACCCTATTTTGTTGCATTTATATTTATATTACTTGTTTCATACAGTTCAGATTAGTGAGTATCTCATTCGGAATTTATGTTTTGTCTGAAAATAAGATTTTTATAGTTTTGTTGAGCGATCTTATCATCTTGTTTTTACAAATCTATTAACAATATATGGTCTCCTTTTATTGATGTTTATTGATCAACAACATGTTTACATTCTTTATGCGGGTGTTATTCTTGTTACATCGGGCTTATATTCAAATGTTAGTATAAGAGTAGCTTGGATTAATAATAATTTGTGAGTGAGATATTGTTTATTTGTACTAAATTTCAATGATATATGTGTTTAGTGCTTCATTAACTCGACGTGCAGTTGCATCAGCATTCATCATTTCAATAGCTGCTATTGGCGGTTTGGTAGCAGGACAAATATATCAAGCACAACAAAAACCACGATATTTTATTGGTAATACTATTGCACTTATCTTTATTGTTTTACAAACAATATTAGTCATTATTCTTCGTCTGATGTTTCTATATATTAATCGTCAACGATCTCAAATGAATACTGAACAAATTAATCAGCAGATTAAACGATATGGAGGAAATGAATTAGTTGGAGATCGTCATCCAGAATTTCGTTATACATTGTAATAAAATGAACTGTTTTATCGATGCAAATAGTTTTGACATTTCTATGACGAAGTCTTTTTGCTAAGAAAATCTCGATGAGAACATATAAATTCAGTATTTAGCGTTGATCAATCCATCTTCATTCAAGCGAATTGATTTTGAAATTGTCGTTTTCATTCACGCTTTGTTGGTTATTTGTTCTTTTGAATTCTTTTTCGTATTATTATGTGCTTACTTGCAAAATGGAAAACATCTTGTGTTTATTGTTGTGTGACTTACTGTTGAATAGAAGATATAAAATATTTTCACTCAACATATTTTCGAGGATTTCCATATGAAATTCGATAAAAAATTATTCTTTCTTATAAAAGAAAATATTTCACTTTGTAATCCATCGTCTTTCAATTGTTCTGGATTTGTGATCATCTTTATTAAATAGAAAGCTACGACATTTCTTATGTGATTTCTATTTATTAATATATTCATTATCATATCTGTTGTTTTGTATAGTTTTTATTCATACGATATGTTGTTCGAATGTAATGTCTACATAAATGGTGAGATACGATTAGTTATGCATGTAAATAAGAAAGTATAGCGATTGCTATTGTTGTCTAGTTGATTTATTGGTGGATTGGATTTCTTAATAGATCCTGTAGATTATCTCATCAGAAGACGGAACATAAATAGTGATCGATGATTTTTAAATGATGCAGTGGATATAATTATTTTATTTGAAAACGAAGAATCATTTGATCTTAAAGGTCATTAACAAAGTGTGTCTTTTACCTTTATCATAACATATGAAATTCAGAAAATTGCATCTGATATTGTTTGTTCATACCATATCCTGAATCATGTAATCCTTTTGATTTGAGAAAACAAAGAAATTTTTATTATAAAATTTTGGTGAAAATATGTTTCTTTCGATTGAGATGATGCAAACTCATTAATGACAGATTTCATCGAGCTTAGATGTGTACAAGAATGAAATAATTAATCTAAAGAAAAGAAAATCGATAATAAATGTTGACAAGAAGATATTTATTATTGGTCAGATTGAAGAACTTCAAATGCTCAATTTTACGTGTCATCAAAATTTTTCTATTCAATTTCATCCTACACATATGCAAATTATTACAAGCGTAAATGGCTCAAGTAAATTATAGAAAAAAATGCTTTTAGATTTTCAGATGAATCAAATTTCAAGGAGAATAGATGAAGATGTGCGAGTCCTGATATCGGTGTAGATGAACAAACGACACGTACCCACATCTATATTCTGCTTTTTTTTCTAGTGGCATATAGTTAAGGTGTTGTAGCCAAAAGTTCTTTACAAAAAAATTAAATAATTAATTAAATAATACAACGTCAATTGAAAATGTATCAATATTCTATTATGATATCTTTTCCTATGACGCAATGAATTAGAGAACTTTGCTTACTAAATCTTCATATAACTCGTATTATTCTTTTTCAACAAGCATTAATAATTTATAGTGCTCATATCTTTAAGTTTCGGAAACACCATCAGTTATTTGCAATTTAAATATTCGAGAACTTTTCTGTTAATATGAACACATGAATTTCATGGTACGGTTATTGATCATTCCAATTGTGTACTGTAACAATTTAATGTCAATTGTTTCTTCAAATATATAATCCAATTAAATCATATTCCGTTTCTTACGAAATGTCAGTTTAATGAACGATCAATTCGACCCAATTGATTGTTTGATTTGTGTTTTTCTTTATCAAAGTCAAGCTTCTTCCGTCTCCTCTCGTTAAAAGAAAATTTGTTTTTTAATTTCGACTTTTCTTTTCATTTATGTAGTTCTTAATGTTGCATACTATGTTTAAAGAATGTACAGCAGAGCACGCATGAATGTTAATATCTTAATAAATAACACGAAGCGCATTGACGATTTGAAATCAACATTTATCTTTATTGATTATTTTACTAAGCTCATTATCTATATTTTTATTTGATTCGACTCAGTCGATTGCTCAAAACCAAGAAATAAGACTAGTCGATCGAACTTATCTTTTCTTCAAGATATAGGTCAGTTTGTTTTGGAAATAAAGAGAAACTTTTTGTTTTGTTTTTTTAATCCAAAGTAAAATAAAGATGCCATTCCTATATGCAAGTAAGTATTACATGAAAATACCTGTCGAGTAGTTAGTTATTGTTGCATTATCAATTCGAGTCGCTTATAAGAAGGCATTGAAATCTTGCTTTTCTTCCACTAAGATACCTATTTTTAATAATAGCGACTATCGCTATGAATTAGATTTCGTCAGTTCCTGTTGCCTTCGTCCTTCACGCTCTTGATAAGAAAGATTCATTATACATATATCATGGACTTTCTCGACATTTCGAAAACAGTTAATAGCGTTTAACAATACAATTTTCACCTACTTTCGCTCACTTCAATGGTACAAAGGAACTGGTGTTTTCATCTTGATCAGTGCTTTCCAAGTAGACCAAGTGATTTCATACATATCATATACTTTCAGAAAAAAACGAAAGTTTTCAAGTATTCGTCGCAAGAACATCCACTAAGGAAACATTTTTCTGGTTACAAAAACCAGCTGAAAAATCAGTTTAATCAATGTGAATCACTGCATTAAAGATAGTGCAATCTCAAAACTGCGCCTCGTTACGGTGCGATTGCGTGTAAGGGTGATGCAAAATGACTTCTACGCGTAATTGCATCGTATTGAATTAAAACGTATCACATGGATTATATTTTCTCGTTATTTCAAGAAAAGACAGAAATCGTGATTTTCTCGGTAGATGACACGATATGTTTCCGAAAATCAAGAATACGCGTTTCACATGTCCGAAGACAGAGACTGTAAAGTGCCAGCGCTAGTGCCAAGAATCACTAACAATTCACCTCATAAACTCCTATATTGTCTTGAATAAAATAGAACCAGATATTTTTCGTTTTTTCAGCGAAGTGTGGCGATGTAACGCTATCAACTGAGGCGGCTGCTTGTCGGAGCCAAACGATCGATAAGCAGTAATGTGAATAAGTATACCCAGAGCACTGCATTTTTTTTGCGAAAAAAGCATCTATGCTACTTATTTTATAATGAAAAATATCGAGTTGTGTTTCATTCATGACAACAAAAGAGACTTTTACGCATCAAACTAAGCGATTGATAACAAAACTAAACCGTTTGCATTGATCATTCGTGGATTCTCATTAAAACCACATAGAATAGAGTGTACGTGTGGATGTAGACCAAAGCAACACCCATATAAACACTCATCCTCATTCTTACGCAATTATGTGTGTATAAAATACAGCAACCAGTGCCAATAATATGATTAACCTTTTAAGGACGAAGTCCGTATATATACGGTTTGAAAGTTTCAGCAGAAATGAAACAATTTGGATTTCTTAAAGTAGATTCTTTGAGCGTTGTTTCCTTTTTTATCTTAGTATTGTGTATTTGTGTTTTGACAGTAAGAACAAGTATGACAATTATGGTAGGTAATACTTTTCAGATTATAACTCATTTTGGCATTTAGGACTTTATTTCTTTTATTAAAAAAGCCCATCTTCAAAGAGTTAATCATCAACAATCAGAGATGAATGATGAAAAAATTAAGAAACAAATCGAACAATACCGAAGAGATCAATCAGATAATGATTATCATACTGAATAGCAGTATACGTTATAATTTTGCTGATGTCATCAATAAAATTTTCATTAGTGCTTTTAAAATCGTATTCTCATTTTATTTCTTAAATATGTACCAAATAGAAACAACTTGTTTTCAAAACTTGGTCACATTATTAATGTTTTCACTTATTATTCAACTGATAACTGAATAGTCCAAGAGAGTTATTGACAGTGCAACATTATTTCTATAATAATCAATGAGATGTATGTTAATCTTTTGCAAATATATGAAGAAAATCTGCGAATTATTCTCATATTCTTCTTTTCTTTTGCTTTTAGATAAACTATTAAAATATAATGTTTATCAAAACTTATTTTGATGGCTGTCATTCAGTACAGATAGGATGCACAGCTTGCATAATAATTACCATAGACACAATACAGCATATATATATATATGATTTTTCTTTTCTCTTATTTTCAATTTTCGAAGAAAACGAATGTAATATGGAAACGTCATCTCCTATGATAGAAGCTGGTAGCAACTATAATAATAGCCAACAAAATCATATATTGATACGTGAACTTGATCTATATCTACTACCACTTATTTCGTGTGTATTTTGAAATAGATATAATAAAATAAAATTATAGGTCTGATTTCATTATAGTGTTATTTATTTATTGGCATATCTCGATCGATCGAATATTGCTAATGCAAAATTAGGTGGTCTTGAACATGATACGCATCTCACTCCACAAGAGTATCGATGGTAAATCAAGTGCTTTATATTAATTAATATTTATCATATACTCATAGGACTTTATCAATTTTCTTTATTGGTTATGTCATATTTGAAGTTCCATCTAATATTATTCTTCGTCGATGGCGACCATCAATATGGATTGCTCTGATTGTTCTCTTGACGGGTAAATATAATATAGTAGTTACATTCAATTTTTAAATATATCTAACATTTTTATTTTGCATTTATCTTGCGTTGAGAAAATAATAAAATATTGAATTTTTTTAAAACATAGACTATGAAAAGCTTTAGAGAGAAGCCTATGAAAAAAACTCTTATTAAATTGTTCAAACGTTTTCCCATAAGGAAAATCAACAACCTACATCACAGTGCTACTTTTTGCTATATTAAACATTATAAAAAAAATGTTGAAAAGACTATTTTAATTTATGAAAGAAGTTTACTTATATAGTTTGCGTGAAGTAATTTAACATTTCATTATTTTCTCAGACTGATATACATGCAAAATAAAACTGTTGCAAACATGTTCGAACATTCATTATATTTGCATATTTACGTTTCTAGGCACAGTAGCAGTTAGTATGGCGGCGGTGCGCAATTTCAGTACTCTTCTCCTTTGTCGATTTTTACTTGGTTCATTTGAAGCTGGTCTCTTTCCTGGTATTATTTATTATACATCATTATGGTATCGAAGAAGAGAACAAGCTATTCGACTTGGATTCTTTTGGTCATTTTCAGCACTTGCAGGAGCTTTTGGTGGTTTATTTGCATATGCTATTGCTCAAATTAAATTACCGAAACTAGCTGAATGGCAACTTATCTTTATTGTAAACTTTCTTTGTGCTTATCTCCTATATTGCTTGTGTTTGTATGTAGATTGAAGGTATTCCAACGATTATTGTTGCAATTCTCTGTTGGTTTTATCTGCCTGATTCACCAGAACAAGCAAGATTTCTGACTGATAAACAACGTCAATTAGAAATTGATCGTCTTATAGAAGATGCTGGTGCATCTCATCATGATTCATTTTCGTGGTCACAAGTTCTATCTGTTTTTACCGATTGGAAAACCTATATTTATGCTATGATATACATATGTGGAACTGTTCCTTTACAAAGTGTCACTCTTTTTCTACCTACGTTAATACGTGGGATGGGTCAATGGACACCAATTCTAGCACAATTAATGACGATTCCACCCTATCTTGTAGCATTTATTGTTATTTTGATCATTTCACGTAGTTCAGATCAGTGAGTACTTGTATTGGTCTTCATGTCTTGTATGAAAATAAGATTTTTATAGTTTTGTTGAGCGATCTTATCATCTTGTTTTTACAAATCTATTAACAATATGTGGCCTCCTTTTATTGATGTTTGTTGATCAACAACGTGTTTACATTCTTTACATCGGTATTATTCTTGTAACATGTGGTGCTTATGCCAATGTTAGTGTGAAAATAGCTTGGTTCAATAATAATTTGTAAATGATTTTTTGTTTTAATTTTTACTAATGATCTCTGATAATTTTATATAGTGCTTCATTAACTCGACGTGCAGTTGCATCAGCATTGATTGTATCTTTTGGCACACTTGGTGGAGTTATATCAGGACAAATATACCGAGCAAAACAAAAACTGCGATATTTTATTGGTAATACTATTGCACTTATCTTTATTGTTTTACAAACAATATTAGTCATTATTCTTCGTCTGATGTTTCTATATATTAATCGTCAACGATCGCAAATGAATACTGAACAAATTAATCAACAGATAAAACGATATGGAGGAAATGAATTAGTTGGAGATCGTCATCCAGAATTTCGTTATGCATTGTAAAAAAATGCACTATATTATCAATACAAGCGTTTTTAAAACTTTAATAATGAAGTCCTTCTACTAAGGACATCTGGAAGAAAAAGTGTGAATTCGATGTAAAAGACCAACCAATCCATCTTTATTCAAGCACATTAATTTAAAAACTTTCATTGTCACTTACGCCTTTTTTTTATTTTTTTTTTCTTGTAAATTCTTTCGTATTGTTGTGTACTTACTTTCAAAATAGAAATCATCATCTATTTGTTCTTGTATGGCTTCCTGTTGAATAGAAAATATGAAATATTTTTATTGAACATATTTTCGAAAATTTCTATATGAAATTCTTTGATAAATGATTTTTTCATATAAAAGAAATATTTCACTTTGTAACTCATTGTCTTTCAGTGTTCTTTGTATTAGTAAAAATCTTTATCAAACAGCAAACTACGACTTTTTTTTATTTGATCTTTATCTTTTAACATATTTTTTATCATCATATCTGTTTTCTTGCATAGTCTGCATTCATACGATATGTTGTTCGAATGTAATGTCTACATTAATGATGAGATACGATTAGTTATGCATGTAAGTAGGAAACTATAACAATTGTTTTTACAGACGGATGGATTTATTACTGGATGGAACTTACTTATTGATCTTGTTGATTCTCTCATCGTAAGATAGAACATATGTAGTAATCAGTAGTTTTTATAAAATAATAAGATTATTTTTTACTTTAAAAAAGATGTCACTTGATTTGATCTTATATGTCATTAACAAAGTGGGTGTTTTTTCTTTTTCCTAACATCGCAAATAGAAGAATTGTATCTAATTTTTTTTGTTCATATCATGTTCTTAGTTATGCAATCCTTTTCACTTCAGAAAACAAAGAAATTTTTATATAGAACTTTGATGAAAATGTGTTTCTTTCGATTCAGATGATGCAAAATTATAAACGACAAGTTCCCTCGAACTCAGATATGAACAATAATGAAATAATTAATCTAAAGAAAAGAAAACCGATAATAAATGCCAACAATAGGCTATATAGTATTGGTCAGATTAAAGAACTTCAAATGCTCAATTTTATGTGTCATAAAAATTTTTCTATTCAATTTCATCCTACACATATGCAAATTGTCACGGGCGAAAATGGCTCAGGTAAATTATAGGAAGAATACTTTTAGATTTTCCTATGAATTAATATATATTTAAGGAAAATCCACGATAGCGAATGCAATTTGTCTTTGTTTGGGTGCACAAGCAAGAACCACTGGACGAAGTTCAAATGTTCAATCATTTATTCGCAAAGGAGAAACGTAAACAAAAAGTTGTTTTTGAACTCTTATGATAAATATCAATATATTTATCAGAGAATATTTATAAGAGAATTAATATAGTTACGAGGAACAATCGTCGTGGAAGTCTAGTCAAGACGGATTTATTCAAATTATAATGCTCAAATTAGTGACAATTTGTAGCTTATCTGAGATTATACATAGAGTAGTCAAAAAGTTCTGCAACTTTCAAATATTTATTCATAGACAAAATATTTTGCTAATCTTTTTACAGCAAATGTTCGAAGTAGTCCCCATGATGTTCAATACAAAGTTTTATCCTTTCAATCCATTTCTGAAATATCTTTTGGTATTCGTGAATAGGTATTGAATTGAGCTCCTTGGATAACGCTTTAGCTAAACTTGTAGCATCTGGATAAGTATCAAGGCTACGTTTCAGATAACTGAACAACCAAAAATCTGAAGGAGCAAGGTCAGGTGAGTATGTTGGATGAGCCATAACTTTGATTTTTTCTTCTTGAAGATAATTAAGAACAATATCATTCACATGGGGTCGTGCATTATCATGATGCAGCTTAATGTGATTTGCTGTTGATGATGGTCTTTTTTTATATAAATTTTTGATTAGCTTTTTTAAACATTCATCACGATAATAAATAGCATTAATTGATGTTCCAGAAGGTAATTCATGGATAAGTAATGGTTCAGATCTTTAACTGCATCAATATTTTGTTGAGTGATGTCGGATAATGGGCGACCACTTCGAGGATTATCTTCCAAAGATTCTCGTTCATTTGAAAATCGTTGAATCCATCGAGTAACTGTACAATATGAAACTACATCCTGTCCATAAGCAGTAGTTAATTCATCATGAATTTGTGTAGCTGTTAAACCTAATAACCAACGAGTTTTTATATATGAGCGTATGTACTGTTTTTCCATCTGAAAATACGGGTGTTCAAAAAATTCGTTGAAAATTTGCCATAATAGACAGTTGTGAAACTTCGTATTGGTATTTTAATACTTAAGAGATGTCACTATTAGAATAGGCCAACATGAGGAATAAAACCAATTAGGATGAAATTTTAGACAGCTGTTTGCAGAACTTTTTGGCTACCCTATGTAATTAATGGTTTTAAGGCTTATTTGAAAAATATAAATAGAAAACTAACCATAATAAAATGTCTGCTTTAGTAATAGATGATCGTTGTGGATAATTCTATTGAAGAGTAATGTGCTCTCTATTTTACGGCTGAAAACTCGATTTTGAGCTGGACATAAGCTATGGTAGCCTCAAATGTCATGTTCAATTAGACAGCTTATTCAACTCTAAACAGCCTAATAATACAAAGTTACTAAATATAAAATGTTTTTTTTTTCGTAGTAATCGCATTTTGTTTCATAGAATCGAAAATTTTTACCACAGATATTTGAAAGCTATCCGGACTTACAAAGTTTTGAAAATCAACATCTTTTTTTTTTGATTATGAATCGTTACGTATTTCCCTCATACAAAAAAAACTTTTTTTGAAAACGCTCAAAAACACTTCTTACATATAGTTGGACATATCTTCGAAAAAGTTTAAGCCAACTCCGATGAAGTTTGAAGAGGTCATCATGTGTCAGGATGTGGTCCTATGAAAAATCCTCTTGAAAGTTTTTTCCTGGAGCAAGTGTCTCTTTCCAATCTAGTCGGTTGTACCCGTTTCGAGAATTAGATGCAGTCAAAAAAGAGGGGAAGACGGTACCACGAATATATGTATATATTTCCGCTATAGAAGATAGAGAATTTGCTATGTTATACTTAGGCATAGATCATTTGCAAAAGTACCGCAAACTTTGTAGAATAAATATTATTCTAAATTTGAATGGTTTTAATGATACATGACGGATATTCAGTAGAACATTGAGCTCTTTTAGAACTATTCTATTCATTCTAAAATTTTACCATTTGTTTTATATTCAGATCAGCTCAATTGACTATTACCTTAGCAAATGAGGGACTAGAAGCATTTAAACCCGAACTTTATGGTAAAGAAATACAAATCATTCGAAGGATTGGCTCTCGACAGTCTGGTTATAAAATCTTAGGTAAAACTGGAACTACATTTTGTTTTCGTATAAATTCAATAACATATTTAGGTGCTAACCGTAGAATAATAAGTACACGTAAAGAAACCATTGATGAAATAATCCAAGCATTATCAATATCTCCTGAAAACCCATTATGTGTATTACATCAAGAAATAGCAAAAACTTTTTTAATAAGTAGTGATTCAAGAAAGAAATATCAAGTATAATTAATTTTTATTATTATTTTTTTTAATTGCAAATCTCTTTTTCTAGTTTTATATGAAAGCTTCACAATTAGACCAAATTAAACAAGCTTATGAACAGAGTGTTTGCACTGTTCAGTTACTTACTCAACGAGTTAATACTATGAAAGAGGTAAAATTGGTTATTTTAATGAACTATATTGTTTAATGCTGATTTTTTGAAAATAGAAACATGTTGATATGCTTCGACAATTAGAACCATTAGAACAAGAGGTCAAAAATATCGAACTTAGACGTGATTATGAAGTAAAAAGGCATGTATTAGAAGCTGAGCTTATTTCAGCTCGCGCTGATCAAGCACGACAGGTACGATTCAAAAGAAAACTAAATAGATAATTAAATACTTATTTTTTTTGACATATAGAAATTACTTGAGGTACAATATGAATTAGATCAAATAAAAAAGACTAAAGATGATATTGACCCTCAAATTATTGAAACAAATGTAAGACAAATAAATAAATAAATAAATTTTCTAGAAATAAATCTTTTGTTCTTTTTTTTCCGTTTAGAGAAAAATTCTTGAAATAGATCAAAGATTAGAAAATTATTCAATAGAAAAAAATGATCTTGAAAAAGATGCAAATGGTTTAAATGAATTAGTAACATATTTTTCAAAGAAGAAACAAGATATTCAATATAGAATTCATACCCTCACTCAAGACTGTGAAATTTACCGTAAAATTTTAACAGACGTTGAACTTGAACAAATTTATTTACAAAAACAAATAGTAAGTTTATTTATTTGTTTCAGAATAAATTGTTGTCTCACAATTCATTTATAATACATTTTTGAAGTATATATGTATACAAAAAAGAAAGAAAGCGATGCTCAGTGGTCTTAGTTAGACTGATGTAGTAAATTTTAAAAATATATGTTCCTATCACTGATAATTAATTCAGAAGATTCATGGATCGGATCGTCTGGAGTACGAGTTTTGACCGAATGAATTAGTCTTACATATTTAGCAGAAGATGAAGGAAAACAGCAGAACTTTCAGTCTTGAAGTCGTAGTAGTCTTATGAAGTCTTTTGAAGGTTTTTGAATTCTGATTTTTGCACCTTGATAGAAGCTTATCAAGAGTGTATGAGAACTAGTCACTCAAATCAAATTGGATTCGAATATAAATTGAAAAACTTTTGATACAATGTGCTTTATTTCATGAATTATGAAAAGATTGAAATGTATATTCTAAGATCGAACTAAGGAGAAATATCGTTATGAATACATTTTTCACTTCTGTGTTTCGAAAATACAAAAATAACTTAAAGTACGCCAGATATTATATATTCTTGTACCTAGCACTATTGTTAAATCTGCACAAATCAATAAAATATTTTGCTTTCAAAGACGACCTGTATGAAATGTTAAATAAGAGGCTTTGATATAGCTCTCGAAATGCAGACAGAGAAAAACATCAATGAACACAAAATATCATCATAGGTTTAAATAATGTTTAAAATTTTAATCCATCATATCTTGTTGAATTACGTTTGAAAACTTATTCTCATTAAAAAAAGCTATTACTAATTGAATTAAAACTTTTTCTAGGATAAATATGAAAATCTAAATCAACAATCCGATGATAATGATCAACGACGTTTAAAGATTGATCAAGAAATATCCAATCGACAAGAAAAACAAATTGAATGGGATAAAATAATTACATCATTAACTGAAGATATACGTATAAATGATGAAAACGCTCATGATAAACAAATAACGATTGATTTTCTAAAAAATGAATTAAAACAAAAACAACAAAATTTAGATGAATTAATTAAAATTGATCGAGATAAAACAAATGTTTATGGTACATGGATGTCAGATTGTTTAAAAAGAATTCAAAAAGATCAAAGATTTCATAAAAAACCTATTGGTCCAATGGGTAAAATTTTTCGAAAAAATTTTCCTTTATCTCTCTTTCTCTCTCTCTTTCGTAGGTCGTTATATTCATTGTATTGATTCACATTGGTCCTATGCTGTTGAAAAACATCTTGCACCTATAATGTCATCATTTATTTGTACAGATAATCATGATGAAAAAATTCTACTTGAAATACTTTCTTCATATTCATTTGATCGTCGCCCACCAGTCTATGTTCGAGCTCATTCGGATAAAGTTCATGATGTATCAGGAACATTGGAACATATTAAACAAGCAAATCTTTTATCAATATATGATGTATTAAAAATTGATAATATAACTGTTGAATGTGCATTAATTGATTTCAAACAAATTGAAGCTACTATTTTAATTGAAAATTTAGAACAAGTGAAACAATTACGACAAAGTGAAATATTACATTGGGAAAAAATTGACAGAAAAGTTAAACAAGTTGTTGAAGCATGGACATCGGATGGTTCAAATATTAAATTTGATAAAGCATTTCGTATATATACAAATGATAAACAACCAATTAAATATTTTTTAACACATAATACAGAATCATTATCAATTGAAGAATTGGAAATTGATATAAAATGTTCATATAGCCAAATTCAACAAATGAATACATCAATGGATGAATTACGAACAATTCGAAAAACGAAACTCGATGAAATAAATCAAGCGAAGAAAGCTAGTACAAATAATAAAAAGAAAATTAAAGAACTAATGAAGGTAATTCAAGAGAAAAAACATAACGGACCTTTTTGTCAGATTTTAGTAAAACTATGAGAGTCATTCATAAATCCAGATTTAAGGAAGATATAACATGAAATTATCTATTTAATCTAATACTGTAGTTTGTTTTAAAAAGTATTCAATTCATAAAAAATTGAATATGTAAGAAATATGATTATCTGATATCGTAAACTTCTTGAAAATCTAAAAGACAATTTTCAACCAGAAAGTGTGCAGTTTAGATTCTAGATTTAGAAATACAATCACAGTCAAGTTCTCGAAAGTTTTCCATAGGAAAATTTCACAATGAAAGTATCCGTATTCAAGAAAATATATCATATAAATTCTTTTAATGGATCAAGAGAGATCTCGGCTTTAAGTTATATTTTTTTTTAATGAGAGATCAAGAAATCTTTTCCTATATGAGTTGTTGCTCATAATTCATACAAAGTAGCCTCCTCATGTTATCCATCACTAGAAGAACATTTCAATCGTAAGGCATTTATATCAGTATGAAAATGTTATATTTGTGAAATTCTTCAGTTTTTTGTCATTTGACAAGACTACATATTCGTTATTTTATGTAAAAAAGAATCTATTAGAATAAATGTAGTTGTTCATAAATATGAATCCGTGAATATAGTAAGAGATATCGATGAACGACTTTTTCTGAAGTATATTCTGTCTGATTGTATATAAATGAAAATCATTTCGTAATTTCAAGAATAGATGTTTTTAAAAACCGATATTAGATTTCTTTTTCGAAATTAAACATTTCCTTATATTCAATTATGTTTTTTGTGTCTAAGGAACTTGATCGTCTAAATTCTACAATGCCAATCGTTCTTGATTGTTCTCTTGCTGATTTACAAGAAAAAGCTAAAACTTATCTGGCTACTCATACTGAAGCGATTCGTAAATATGATGAAGCAAAAGAAAAAAAGGACGAAAACGTTCGACAACTTGCTGATATAACAGAAAATTATGAACATACAATAAAAAAAATTGATTTCAAAACTCATCAATATGATCTTCTAATAGAAAAAATTAATAATGAACAATCTAATCGTTATGAAATTCAACAAGAATTTAAAAAATTAAAGAGTAAATCTATTCAAATCCATGGAAATCTTTCTAAATATCAAAAAAAATTAAATCAATTAACTAAAAAACAATCAAAAGTAAATTTTTATCGTATTTGTTTATGTAAAAAAAATCTTTCATTATTTTAAGAAATCAAAAAAACCTACTATAATTACTCGATCCATTCGTGAAATTCAACAAGAACTTGATGCTATTACTAGTTATCTTAAAGCACATGAAGACACGTTCGTTTAAATTATCTTATGATTTTCATTGTTTTTTTTTTTGTTTTCTTTATTTAATTTTTCGTTTAGGAATGAAAAACGTCGAGAAGTAATTAATAAATATCGAACACAACGAGATTCAGCAAAAGAATATAAACAAACTTATGAACGATGTTGTCAACAAATTGAGGTAGAAAAAAAGCCAAATAAATTTTCATTAAATAAAAGGATATTTTTTCCTTTTTCAAAGTGTCTCAAACAATTTATAAACAAGCGTCAAGAAGGTTTTCTTACAATCGCTGAACAACATCAATATTATCTTCGTGTTAAATTTCAAAATTTAATGAAAAAATATCAGTTTGATGAAAGTGATATTCAAATAGATCATAAAAAAGAACAACTTGAATTAATTGTATGTTGAAAGACACTTACTTCGTTTTCCAGATTTCTCAAGAACGGCTTGATTGAAAACTCTGTAACTTTCAGACTAGATAGATCTCAACTAGTAGAACAAAAGTTGTCATAGATGTAGGGTTTCCAAATTCTTCCTTCTATGAGATCTAGTCGACATAAGTCTGAACAATGACCTAAAATTTTCCTCCGTAAAAAAGCCATAATTCATTTTCTTTGTAACAGCTAGGACCAAACCGGGCTTTATATGTTTTTCTTTGAAAAATATTGTTTGGTTCGCTCCCGAAAAACAAAATATTGGTAGCTCTGTCAAAAAACGTGTTTCTGTTCGTCTAGAATATGTTTTAATAGATCTGCCAAAAATCACCAGAACATTATTTAAAAAAAATACATGTATAAACCTTGATTCGATCCTAATTATCATACAAACAATTTCAATTCAATCAGTCGAAGTATCCAGGATAGAAAACACGAAACAGTATACAGTTTCACTTAAAATTGATTTCTTTTCAAATTTTTTAACGTTTAAAGATAATTTTTGCATTTTAAAATATACGCGGTAGGTAGATACTACTTCAGATTATAAAATGACCATAAACATTTAGCGCCACGAAATGGGAAGAGTACCCTTAAATCAAATAAGCAGAAAATAAATTTATTGAAGAAAAATTCTTTTTTTCTAATAGATAAAAAAACACCAACGAGATCCAGCATCATTATCTGGTGGTGAACGATCAATATCAACATTTTGTTTTCTACTTGCACTTTGGCAATCTATTTATCAACCATTTCGATTACTTGATGAAATTGATATTTATATGGTAAAATTAGAAAACTTCTTTTGAGACTTTGTTTCTTTCTAATTAAAATATTTTTAGGATAATGAAAAACGAAATTCATCATTAGAAGTTCTTTATGAAAATACTTTATATTATTCATCATCTCAACATATTATATTTACTCCGCAAGCCGTTGATTCACAATTCTGGAATGAGTTAGATGTACCGGTTTTTAATATGCCAACACCAAAGCGTTCTTTATAATCGAGAATTTAAATAATACGACTTATTTATTTCTAAATTTTGTTTGGAATTTAATTTGATACAAATTTTTCTTTATGTGATATGAGTGATTTTTTTATTTTCGAAATAAAAATAATTTTCTTCTTTACTAAATTTATATAAAAAAAAATGCTGTTTATTGAGACTTGAATTCAATTTAAGAAATTGTATTGCAAGAAATATATAATTAATCGATGAGATCTTGCATCCGTTTATCATAAAATAATTCTGAATATAAAGTTTTGATTTTTTTTTCGAATATTTTGAAAATATACTTTAGATTTTCAGAAGAATTTAATAATGCATTTGCTTGATAATATAAAATGCGTCATGTTTTTATGTTCTCTCCGTTCTATTTTCTATTATTTGTTCTGTATCTTTCTGATGACTAAGCTCATTTCATGATGATATCTACTATCAGACTTAGATACTCGGCATGCAAATAGCTTCAAGCCGGTCTGTTCCTATGAAATTTAATAACAGTATTGCTACTTGATAAAGATGCTTATATGAATATATTTTATGATTGAAGAGATTACTCAGATTATGCATAATGAATTATTTTATAAAACGAACAATAATATCTCATGTAAGCGACACGCAAGAACTTTATATCAAGTGAAAAGTATGGATTGATCATGCGACTACATATTCAACGGCACAGATCACCTTTTCAACTATAGTCATCAAATGATTCAATTTTGGTTTTTATTCTTTGAGTATATAATGACATGAATAAAATGATACCATTATTCATTCATGGTGGTTTTCATTAGTTATAGATTACTGTCATATAGATTGGCAAGTATGAGTTTCGAAGATTTGATCTTCTCTATCATATTTTCGATTATCGTGATATTAGTCATGAATTGGAAGCATGCTCTGAATTATACAAACATTTTTCGGTGTCTAATTATTCATTTTTCTCTACTATTGAGAATTAATTTTTCATTTATTTCTAAATCAGTATTCCAATACTGTTGTGAATATATGTTTACATCGTATATTCATCGAATTATTTTATTTCTTCTCTTTTAAGTGAAATATTGAGTAATTTCTTCAATATATTATTGTCTTTCAATTCATTTCTTCGTCTTTAGTCATCTATTCTTAATAAGATGACAACCAAAAAATATCTACCACTTCTTCTTGATGTAGCTTCTTAATTTGAACTCTTTTTTTTTCTTAACTACAAGAAATCGTTCAGACGAAGATATCAAATGCTATATCAATTTATTTTTCGTTAACTGATATTCAAAATATTATAAAATGTCGCTCAATAATAAAAATAAAAGCTTTCCTTTGCTGACTACTGATAAAAAATAGTTTTGAAGTGTGTATGTCATAAGTTTTCAGATAGCTTATCAAAATTCACATGTGCATTCCGTTAATGCATCTAATAGAAAACAAAATGAAGAATATCTATCTATAACTAAGTTTAAAAATCAATGTAGGACTATAGTATTTCTATTTACAAATAATAAGCATCTACGGAATAGAGCATAATGGCGCATACTCTAAACGAAGAAATTCCACATTTCTTTTTCTTTGTATATGTTGATACGGGATTCGTCTCTTTACACAAGAAATTCTCAGTATTCGATCCTACCAACTAATATTATCACAATAGAAAATGTATCAAGGAGTAGCAATATTTAGATGACATCGTATAATTCCCAGTGATAAGAATATACGACTAATAATTAGATGAACAATTAAATAAAAACTATAGATCAGTATTGATTGTATTTCTGCACTATATTTACTGTTTTATGAAGCAACAACTCAAATAAACTGTATGACTATATCATACATATCGAGACATCTTTTCTCTTGTAATTTATCAATATTCATTATTGGTCACAATTCCAACGAATCTGAAATTTTCCCCTGTCGTGTTTACTACTCACATTCAGTCTGGTTTTCTTACGTATTTTTTCGAACTAACTGATAAAAAATAAAAACTAAATCAAAAAAATAAATATTCCATGTCGGTATCATCTTTACTTTTATTTCGTCATGCCATTAAATTTCATTCCATTCGCCAATTCCATATAACATCACGTGTATTCCAAGAACGTTATTACACAAAAAAACATGAATGGGTACAAACGATTGATAATAAAAATGAAGTTCGAATTGGTATCAGTGATTTTGCACAAAATGCTCTTGGTGATGTTGTCTATTGTGAATTACCATCTGTTGGTACAAAATTAAAACGTGAGGAAACATTTGCAACATTAGAATCTGTTAAAGCTGTTGCTGATTGTTTTATGCCTGTTGATGGTGAAATATCAAAGGTCAATGAAAATTTAAAAACTCAAGCTGATTTAATTAATAAAAGTCCATACGGTGATGGTTGGCTTGTACAAGCAATAATTGATGAGAAAAATAAAAATAATATGGGAAATACATTAATGGATGAAAAGAAATATAAAGAGTATTTAGAAAAAACTAAAGATGCTGGTGATCATTAACGAAGTTTTTGTTATTCCAAAAAAATTTACTTTCATTCACTCATTTTGTGATAACGGACTGCTGCGCTTATTTTTTCTCTTTCCCTTTTTTTTTTTGAATTGAAGTAAAATAACGGATCTGGTTTGCTTGAACTTTAGATTTTTCATAAAATGTTAGGAAATCTCTTTGTAGAAGATGTTGGAGGAGGAGAATGTAAGTAAGATATTTGAAAGAAATATTCTTATTCAAGATATTTTATATATGTAGTGTCCCATCAAGTAACAACTATAAAATCTACTGAAAAGCCACCATTGCCAAGAAATGAAACGAATTTATGCGGATTACAAAATCAAGGAGCTACTTGGTAAGACTTTATTTTTTCTTTGATCTAATACAAAGATGAATTTTATTTTCATAGTTACCTTAATGTACTCATTCAAACATTGCTTTTTACACCTGAATTTCGTGGTATGTATATTAGGACGCTAATCAAAAAAGGCAACAAAAAATTCAAATTCACTGCATTTGTTGATTATACACATGGTTGAGCTAACGTTGACGGAATTCTAGTTGAGATGAATTGATTTGTCAGATATTTATGCACGAATAGTTAGAGATCTAATCAAGATAAAGATCTTATGAAAAAAAGAAATTTTATTTTCTGATGAAAACATACTTATTGTATTTACAATAAGATGAAAATTGTATATACAATAAAGATATTCTTATGGTAACTAAGTAAATTTTTAGTGGTATCTTCTTCAAAACAATGCTATTTCTCACTACTGTTCAATGATAGTTGACGTTTTCGAGTACTTTTGACCCTAGTACTATGATTTATTGAGTGCTTTTGGATATACTCTTATAGTAGAATGATCAGCACAATGAGTTCTGCATATGAAAAAATCTTCTGAAAATCTTGTAGTTTTTTGCGGTTGATTAGTCATGAAATATCCATATCAAAAATAAGATTCGCAAGCATTTTGTCGTAGATAGTAAGATTATATCAGTATAGGACTAATCTTGCCCATGTATTCATGAAGCAGATTGTACAATGTTGAAAATTTGTAGAATGCATAATTAAATGAATACTTCATTTTAAAACGTAACGTTCGAACACTGTTATCTTCGCTGTTCATAAAACATGGAGCTTATAAATAGCTTCTCTGATAGAAGTTAGTATTATCATTGACCATGATGAAAACGTTTGTCACGTAGGAACAGCTGAATTAGGATAATGGAATATTCTTAGCAGGTCGTTCTATGTTTTATAACATTCTATTGGTCATTTGAACAAAATGAATGTGAGTACTCTTCCTGATCATATGAGCCATGATGACTATCTTTGTTTGATCAATAACAAGAGATCGCTCAAGTTTTATGTTTTATGAACTTAGAGCAGCAATAACAAAAGGATAAAATATCTATTTCGGAATAATTTGTTATTCTAATCGAGCTTTACCACTATCCAAAATCTTTAATAACGATGCAAGGCTTGACCTTCTAATTTTTACTTTCGATTATCTAACTTAAAGCCTCTCTGTCCAAAATGAAACTATTTCTATTATATTTTGAACTCAAAATCTTGTCTTTTTAGAACCTCTTTTCCGTCTAACTCCTAAAGATCTTAATCTCCCAGCAAATTACAATGATCAATCTGCAATATCATCCAGTGGAAGTAGTTTAAAAGTAAATTAATCTGGTCATTTTCTTATTTAATTGTTTACTCTATACCAAAAAAAAACAACAGGTTCGTAAAATTATTGCTGAATTACAACGTCTTTTTGCTGAAATGCTTTTACTTAATCAACAAGCATGTTCATCAATTCGATTAACAGATAGTTTCGGTTGGCAATCTAATGAGGTTTGTATTATAGTTATATTTATATCAAAAAGTAAAATGTTTCTTTTTTTAAATAGGCTATTGATCATCAAGATGTTCATGAACTAAATCGTTTATTATTTGATGCTATTCAAAAATCTTTACAAGGTACAAAACAATCAGATTTAATACGTTTATGTTATGAAGGATCTACAATCAATTATACACAATGTAAACAATGTCAAAAGATATTTAAACGATCAGTAAATACCAGTTTGTTCTTTAAAAATATCATACTGGACAAAAATCTTTATTCTATCAGATCTCAGCTACCACAGATATTGGCGATCTGAAAACTTGCATAGATATAATCCACCAAGGATATAGAATAGAGTCATGATCTTGCTCCAATTGCTTAAATGCAACAAGAACTACAATGAACGTAGCCTATTTTTCACCTTACAAACTGTTTACTAAATTTTATGTTATATTTTTAACAAATATATGACTAATTTTTAATATTGTAATATGCAACTGAAGCCCATTTTATGATCTTTTTTCACTCAAAAGATCATGCAATTAGCTGTTAGATTGTTGTCTCTTGAGATTTCTGAGTTCTTGTCACCAACACGACAATTATTGCCATATTGTTTTTGTTTAGAAGAGTTTTTTGTGAGACTTATAGACCATAATGTTCAATTAC